ATCATATATATGAAAAAATAATCAGAGCGCGCATGAACCGAATTCCGCTGAAGTTTATTTCAATTTATCCGCTTTACAGCTAATTTGAGCCGTATATTGTGCTGCAGCTTTGAGCAACTAATGACCAAGCAAACGATTAATCTGAAAAAGATGAAAAACGCAAAATCTGCATTCTTGCAATATTACGTTCCGGCAGTGGCGCACCAACTGCCGTCAGTACTCTTGCACCTCCGGTTGGGCAGTATTCCTTGAAAGATAATGATGTACACCGACTGGGATCCGCAAGCGACCGTCAACAGCAGTACAAAGATGTACTGCAGTGTTTGGTCAATGAAGCAGGAGAAGAGCGCCAGCCACACGCTTAACCAGATAAATCCCATCAAACCGGTGTTGATGATCACGCCGTAAAACCTGTCCTTGACTGAATCGGCATTTTTTTCTTTATCACCTTGACGGACCGAAATTTCTTTCCGGCGCTTCCTGGTTGCTAGCAACGATAAAATCACAAAATTACAAATTGTAGTTCGCGGAAGCAGCCTTTCGAACCTGGTAGAAGCTGCCTAAAATAATAATCGGCTCGGCTTACTGTGAACGTATGTAGCCGGCAAGAATGTTAACATGTTCACGGTTCACGGTGTGAGCATATTTGCCGGGCAAAAATGCTCACGAATGAAATCATGCATGTCAAGTGTTGATTTTCTCTGCACCCGGTTTGAAATTAAATGTTTTATGTTTCTGTATTCTCAGTACGCAAAGGATGGCATTAATATATTGTTGGGAAATAAAACGTTGTCTCATAAAAACCAGTCTTTCCTAAACTTCGGCGGCTTTTATCATTAAGTTTTAAGCCATTTCTGTATGGTTGGAGCAGGACTACACAGCTATGATGAAGATGGCACTGTATTCGGCAGAAGATTCCCTGTCCGGCAGTCCGTCTTGTACAATACGCAATCGTGACACTGTTTATTTCTGAATAATATTTGATTAATTCTTTTCTACGGGTAGGTTGCCTTGCGAGCAGAACAAAATAGACGTTAATTTAGTGAATGGTGCCGGGCAGTGATGAACACGTTAGCTACTGGGCGGTAATCGGATACCGCTGATGCAAGCCACACTTGTAATCAGATCAGAAGAATAACTCGGCCGTCTCTGCGTGGCAGTCTGCTGTATGGTCGTGAACATCGGCGCCGGGCGGTGATATCAACATTTTTTAGTCATGTAAATAAATCTAGAAAATTTCATAAGACTTAATAAAACTTAGCAATAGTGGTAACAAGCAAGTTTTAATTTAGAACTTCGTTGCTCGATACCGGTTCAAGCATAATTCAGAATTATATTCATAATTAGATGCCATTATGCCTTAACTAAGCAGTACCTGCGTGATCTTTGGTGTTTAGTACATACATATGAAAAAGCGAAATCAATCTGTGAGGTGCACTGTAACCAGCTGACTAATCGGCTTCCAATTGCTTAATTTCATAATCAAGTACTCCCGCAACCGGTCAGTTTCATAATTCATTTTTTACAACTGGTCGCTCTCCTCATTCTGTTTCTATTGCTCCTTACAATTCTGTTAAGAAACCTGATATAACCACAAAAGTGATTTAGCTTTAGGTGCAAAATCGAATTTTACTCCCTATGCAAATATTTCAGCAACGTCAGGCCGCGAATTTCTGCTGTGGGCTGCAACGTGCAGTTGGGAATGGGCTTTAATACCTTTACAGAGAACCTATGGCACTCCCAAACACGTTTGCGCATTGTTTTATGAACTCTGTAGCCAAATGATTTGTATACGTACATTAACGTAAACACCGAGCCCCAGCATGCCTTAATTTAATTAAATTTGGTTGTGGGCTTCTGATTCGAGATTTTACGGTACATTAGCGTGAAAATTCCCGGGGTTCACGGTGCCCATTGCCTACTGGTGTCACATCTAAAAAGAACCGAGATAATAAAGAATTACCCAAATACAGTGCAACAAACTGAACAATGTTTGCATAGCATCAATAATTCACTACGATGCTCCAATAACTTTTTAAGGTTTGTATATTCGGTTCCCAAATCTTATACAGTACATATCAGGCCAAGTCGGCACTGGTGCTAAAAAATAATGTGGACATTCGCGCTCGGCACGCGTGCTCACGAATATGAGCATCCGTGCCCGGCCGTCACGCATGTTCACGGGTGTAATGCAGAATGCAGATTGCAAATGCTAGCGGTATCCGATTACTGCATAGATCTTACATCGTGAGCATCCCTGCCGGGTGTCCGTACTCACAAATACGATGTACAAGGAAAAACGTGGGCAAAGCTTAAACATATCTGAAAATCTGTGCGTTATTTATCGGTTATTTTAAGTGAAAACAAGCAACATCTGTTTATGTGTTGTATAGTGGTGAAGACTACAAAGACCAAACTGCAGTGGGTTCCATATACATACTTCCGCTTTGCGCTGTGCTGCATATTAAGTACGGATTAATATGAAGAATGAAAGAAACTAGTACTTCGTATAAACGTGGCCAGGTGTACAATGTAAATTCCCATGGTGCGTATATAAATCATGGCCGGTATACGGGGTACCTGCACCGTAATAAAACTATTCTACAATCAAATGATGTACATAGGGGTCTCAAAACCCTCTGTGCGCGCAACATCCGCTTGCTCAAATACAGAAAATGGAAGTTACTGTACAAGTAAAATTAAGCTGGTGGTTGTGTGCCGAAAACAGAATTTTACTTTGTCTTCTTGCGATTTTACCTCGAGGGACAGATATGTACAGAGATGATTCTGAATAAAAACTTGTTTCGTCGTACTTCCTTAATGATATTTTTTGGTAATTGTGCAGAAGTGGGCCAGAAAATAATATATTAAATCTGAATTGTTACGGGGCGAGAAAGCAGCCAGGCTGCGGGAATGCGGCTGCGGCGGTGTGGGACTGTGACGCTGCGGGAGTGCGGTTCTACGAGACTGCGGCGCTGCGAGACTGCTGTGTTGCGGCCTTGCCTTGCGAAACTGCGGCGTTGCGAGATTGCGGCACTGCGAGGCTGCGAGACTGCGGCCCTGCAAGCTGGACTTGTGGTGTTGGTGTGTTGCTAAGCTAAGCTGAATGCTGCTGAAAGTGGCCAGTTACTCCTCGGTTGCCGATATTTATTTAAATGTCGATTATAGGTTTCGAGCACTGCACATTGTTTCTGTCATTATTACGATAATGTCATTTAAAGTTTTTCGAGGAACCCGTTGAACGGTTGAATTAGTTATAGTCCACCGTTTATTTAGACCACCGAGAATTTAGTCTAATGAGCGCCGTCCCTCGTACAAAGAATCCGTATTATTAAATTAACGTTCTGATTATCCAATGAATAGTACCACTCTTCAATAAATGCGTTTATTCAATAAATTATTTATCATTATTTTTATTTATTTACATTTTATTAGAAATATGTCATATAATAAAAAAAAAGCAGAAAATATGTCATATAGCAGGCAGAAAAAATATGGCAGAAAATATGTCGTCAGAAAATATGTCATATAATCGTGCCAGCACCCGTGCCAACACCAAAAGGTCACTCGTGCACCCAGCTAACGCCAGTGTTTACCGTTGCACGCAGCCATAATGTAAAAAGTTGAGAGTGTAGAAATATGTCATATAATCGTATTTGTGAAAATGTTTACTACGTTATTTAAATATGTAAAAATGCCCGCGTAATGAGGCCACCTTTCAAATGCTTTATGATGTTTAAAATGTTTCGTGAAATTCACGTTCACACTGAAATTTAGAAATTATAAAGTAGGAAGGTAATAACCGCGCTTTGCTCGACTAGCTTTGTAAATGTTTTGAAATGGTTCGAAATTTAGGAAATGTAAAACTTTTAAAATAAGAAGGTAATGGCCGCAATGGTAAGAAGGTAACCTGCCACTTTTTCAAAATACACGCAAAAAATACAAAAAATAACATTCTTTTTCAAAATACAGGAATACGAAAATACATGTAAAATATTTGCCAGGATTTGTAACACGAAGGATTACTTTACTGAAAGAATAACCGAAGGAGAATTAATTTCGATTTTCTCAATTTATCACGAATGCGCAGGCTGCCGCAGTTTCGCAGGCTGCCGCAGTTTTCAGCCTGTGTTGATCTGATATTCCAGGGTCCCCCCCCCCCATAACATAAAAAATAAACATGTATCCATGCAACACTGGCCCACTTGTGCATTAATGCCTATTTTTTAAATGCATTTTTGAATGGGAAAGTGTTATGGGCAAAGACCCTAGTTGTTTAACCCAGTGTAGGCATACAAATCAATCGGGTACTGCCTGACTGAATACACTGCAAATCAGTGTTTAGTCGTGCGCGAAAGGGATCGAATGTCAGTAGATTACTAGATATACATGCACTTACGAGTAGTCGGGACACTTACCTTAATTGTCTTTTCGGCGACGTGTAGTTTCAGCACCGGAAACTCATCTTTACAATCCTTTTTTTAAATGTGGTGTCTCAGTCATTTTTCAGGAAAATCTACATGTAGCCTTCATGATTTCATTCGTGAGCATTTTCGCCCGTCAAAAATGCTCACAAGCATTTTCGCCCGTCAAATATGCTCACAACGTGAACCGTGAACATGTTAACATTCTTGCCGGCTACAAACGTACACTATCACCGCGACGATGTTCACTGCGCCTGCAATCGAAATTGGTACAACAAAAGTCACCCAAGGGATCCATAGATGGTCGCCGTTCAACCAACACCTAGTAAAATCATTCTGATGTTTAAATTCTGCAAAATATCGACTTTCTTTGGTTACCATTTCTCGTGATCTGCATAACCATAGCCACCGAGTGATGTGGTTAAAGTCTCGGAAAAATGCGGCATGGAGGCAAGAAGCGGAAAAACGCTGGGAATAACTAAAGACATAAAACTGATTACACATCGTTGACCGAACGCACTTACCGGCTCTCAGAACACGAGAAACGTTACTCACGTGTTGCGGCTAACCAAGTTTTCACTCTAAATCCATGGTATGAGTCTCCTGGGAGGTGATTTCCTCTCCCGTATCGTTCCGGATACAATATGACTTGAATAAGTTGAACTGTTTGAACCGCTGTCCATCCAACGCAAATCATGGAAAACCAGTGCACCAAAATGCCACTTGCCAGGCAGAATTTTTGTCCGCACAATTCAGGAGCGTAAACTACCAACTGTGAGAAAACTATGAAGAGATACATCCCTAACAGCGCTATCCACAAACCCATCCGTGTAAATGTCACCTTGTCACAAATAACGCTACGTCTCCAGATTCTCACCCTATAAATTATTTTTCAACATATCCAAAAGTGCTCTGAAACGATATGATATGCCCCAACAGAATAAACGACAACCTAGTACCTACACTATGATAAGGAGAGCAACGAGGCAGCACGCTGCCGAAACGATGGTCGTTGCTGTTGTCACAACCGCCAAATCCAAAGTGAGCGACTTATCTTTGGGAATGAAGGATCTCGATAAACTGCCACACAAAGTCAGCAAAAGCGAGAACGGTGTGAAGTGATTGCATGCGCATTCCACGGTTGTGCTGTCCCATTTAGCACTCTTTGCAAATATTCTGCACTCGTCTCCCGACCACTGCTTGGATGTATAGTTCAAGAAGATGCATTGGTGCTGTCTTTTGGCTCCAGATGGATGCTGAAAGTGACTTCGCCGTTTTGGTTCGTCTTGTAGTTTGGTTGAGACTATATGTTTATTTTGCTTACCTCAAATAGTACGTCCACGTTGTGTCGAATGATTACTGTGTCTTTCCTCTTGGGCCTGTGATTCATTGATGCGAGCAAAATTATCGGGCTTGACCTTTCGCGGAGTTCATTTTGGGGAATAAACTTGGCAAACTTGAATGACAGCATTGCAGAAAGTGAAAGGACGAACCTTACTCGTGTTTCATTCGCAGATTGTCCTGGAAAATACTTTCTTACATGATATTCCAACGATCTAATTGGATCCATTTATGAGAAACGGATAATAATGTAACTGCAATCGGGCATTTCAATGACTTACTTAAATCTTCAAAAACTTCTTTCAGTACTTCTTTCTTAAAGGCGATGCTGGCCACTGAGGATGAGCTGTCACCCAAGAAAAATATATTGCCTTTCGGATCGAAACCACTAACTTCCAGTTGTGAGGTTAGGCTGAGGCTTTCAAACTGGGACGAGCCATCGATTAGAACAGCACTGACGTAAACCCGCGAGAAAGAATTATTGAACACGTATAGGTCCTCTTGAGGCGGCAGTGTATGGTACATGTGCTCCAGTGCCTGATATATAGTCGCTGCAGCTGCGTGTCCGTCTTTGCTTAATGGCGGTGCTTGCAGGTTTCCACTCTCCTCAGCTCTTATTATTTGGTCAGTGATCTGTAGGAGCGTGTTGACGGCGTTTTCTTGCGCCCACCTTCTGGTAGGTTGGCCGGTATATCTGTTCCGACAAAATCCTTGAAGAAATTCGCAATCTCCAGAACGTCATCGAAAGGTAGCTCTAGTGAGCTGTCTGCTACCGCACTGTGAATAACGTCCAGAACACTGTGCGGTGACTGGGTGTAGTAAGCAGTGTCGTTAGCATATGTCTCCTTGTTTGTAGCGTTTTTCAGTTCTGTTGTGATAGAAATCCCTGAAAAGAAGATTGATTAATAGGCGTGAATATCCGCTTTATTATCATGCGTGTCTGAGAGCTGGCGCGCTTTTATCCTTAACGACGAAGCTAATAGAATCTGGTGCACGTTATGCCAAGAAGAACATTAGAGGGTATATGGTTTGTCGAGCTATAGACTTTTGTCTTACTCGACCCACCTGAACCAACTTGAGCCGTCGTTGTTGAAGTGGTTGTTGTGGTAGGCATTGTATTTACAGCCGGCCAAACCGGTACGGATGCGGTGCTGGATATGGGGGATGCGGCCGTAGTGATCGGGCACACGCCAGATTCCAGTTCGACGCTTTCGGCTGCAGTTAAAAATCCCCGTAAGCCTTAAAGAAATATTGAAAAGCTATTTTCGCACAAACCGTATTCAATCCGGATTACATCCACTGCTATGGTTTTTATGTTGGATAGACAATCGTCGTTATGGTACGCCAACAAGGAGATGAAAAACTTTGCATTGAGCTGACGCTCAAACAATATCTCCGCGAAATGCCACTGGTTAGGATGCTTTCCTTGGTAATCATCTTCATTTCCCCAAATTAGATTGTTTCTAAAAGGCAAACCACGGACTTCCATGACTACGTGCAGATAGAACCGTTCTTTCAGATTGCTGTGCTTGAACGTCGGTGAATGAGATAGGCGATAATAAAATGTAACACGAAAAAGCAAGCATGCTGTGGGATCGATCTCTGGGCTACGTAATACTGCCATCGATTCGTTAATTTGGCTGGGACGAGGCGGATCAGGGAGTTTGGCGCACCGTGACACGGCAATGACACCACCTGCATAAGGAGTGATAAACAGTCTCCACATTCGTTTCTGCTGTTGCATACGCTGTACAGTTTGCGACATCACTGTTTTCCGCTATATAATAATTATTAACTTCTTCCTAATTAGCTTCTTCGTACAAAATTAGCTTCTTAACTTACCGACATCGTTTCCGGGATTCCCAGCCTCGGTGACTCAGCTAAAATAATATGGAGAGTACCACAGGTAACCACGCTGCCACTTGAGATCTCCAAGTAATAAAGGGTCTGGAAGGTTGCACGCTTCGATCACCAAAAAATTGTTGTCTGGCACGGGTAGTGTTCCCATATCACACGACGTTACGGATGACCAAGTGCAGCACGATGGGATAAGGCATTCCGTGCGTGCATGTATATCACCAGGAGCGTTGCGGTAATCAGACGCAGCCATACCTACAACAATACATCTGAGTTATTTCAACACCGGCCTAGATTTTCTGGCTAGTGCAGGCCTTTTTATATGTGGACGAGGCAAGTATAATTAAAATGCACAAACAAATACCGCTATGGATGCCGGCAAAATACGTTTCCTATATTATACAGTATGTCATCCGACTTATCAAAAACTGTATGCTGTGTACTTGCACAGCTGCGCTATATATTTGTAGACAGTATGCAAAGAGGAAAAATAAATGACTTACAGGACAACAAACACAAGTGCAATATTGGGCGCACAAGGTTTGAAACGCGTTCCATGTTACGGTGAACCCACTTTACCGCACCACAAATTAAATTTAATTGAAGATTTAACGTGAGTATTATTAAAGAAAGTCAATAATCCATAATTGTAGATAAAGTCAGATCAGCGCACATGAAAATCTTGGAAACCATTTTTTAAAAATGGGATATTTCATTTATCACTGTACCGTCAGCGTCATACGGAATAAAGCTAAAAATATTTCTTTGATTGAGCAGCTGTTGGGTGCATTTTGTGACGTCCTGAACTATGATAATCATTACTGTTTTATTTTAATATTGACATTTTGCGATGCAGTTGTTTGAATAAGAGGCACTGTTTGTTTAAGCGTTTACCTGAAGTATGATAACATTGTTTTTACCATCGGATCAAATGTAGATACCGTAACATTGTCAGCCATGCCAGTCTTTTAGACGGCTTCGGGCTTATCGCTGAGACGCAGTGTTGAACATAAATACATAAAGTTCATAAATGCAAAGCGGCAGTTTTGAAAGAAACCTTCAGAAGAAGCACAGACTGAACTGAATTGCAGGTGCTGTTTAAGACGTACATACTGAATGTGTACATAAATTACAAAATATCGATTACAGTACGTAATTATCTTGCAAGCCTCGCTTCGGACATTTGTCTACATTTAGTACAAAACACTTAGCTAGTACACTTAAAACATAACGGGAAGAGTGCTCCCGAGCAGTCTGATCCAGGACCACTCTAATTGCCAGGCGGGAATTATTTTCAGGATGAATTCTACCGCGTCCGATCACTTCTGCCGCGTTACATTTCCGCGCACTGAATCACTTCGGCTAGCTCTCATTTCGGCAAAAAGGACATTTCGCCCATATTGGATTTTGAAATTCTTTCTTGTGAGCTTATGTTTTTTTATGGCTGGCTGGCGGATTAATTTAGATCCGTTCAGCCAGCGCGTGTAATCTTACTTCATGCATGTTTTTATGACTTCTCTCCTTATAAATTGGCAGAATGCGTAGAATTTTTTGCTTGTTCTTATGATATATGGCATCAAACATTTTGTTGATTCTGTAACATGTCATCGACCAAAATGTCGCCCATAGAGTTTCACCATCTAAACATCCAGGGGCTGCCCTATGATAACTATCATAAGCTTGATTTACTGACAGATTATCTCTGCACTGATGATAATATTCCCAAATTCTTCGCTGTTACTGAAACTCATCTTCGTCCTTCGGATCCAGACCAATTATTTTTTATTCCTGGATACTGTTTGTTTCGTAGTGATCGTCCTAATATTCATGGTAAATCTCGTGGTGGTGGAATTTTGTGCTATGTTCCTCAGCATATAACGGCTGAGCGTGTCGAGCTGAAGTATCGTTCTAAGGGGTTTGAGGGTCTTTGGTTAAAATTATCTGTTTCACATCGGAAAATTATTATTGGTACTGTTTATCGTCAGCCAGATTCGACTTCCACTGAAACAAAAGCTTTGTTTGATCATTTGCGAGAAGTATTACTGAAACATCCGGATTGTGATCACATTGTCATGGGTGACTTTAACATCGATTCCTCCCCTGGTTCGTCGAGCCCCTATGTTAAACTTTTCAGAGATTTTGTGGATGAATTTTCGTTCGAAGATAAGGTAATCGGATATACTCGGGTAGCCCAACGCCTGAGACAATCAGATAATACTTTATTTACAACGTCCAGCAAAATTGATGTAATTTTATGCAGTCCTAAGAATTCGTACACATCGTGCCAGCCGTCAGATATAAGTTTTTCGGATCACAAGCTGTGCAAAACGGTCTCTGCATTTCAGTGTGCGCAACCGGAGCACAGGGTGGTTTATTATAGAGATTGGAAAGCGACTAGTAGTCAGTCTTTTAAGAGCCAAGTATTCGATTTTATGAAGCGGTACGTAAACTACGTGGATTATCCTGACGTTGACGAAGAAGTGTCGAATGTTGTTGGTGGTTTGGCTGATATAATTGAACGGTGCTATCCGTTACGATCGAAAAGAGCTTCGAACAGCAGTGCACCTTGGATTAACGGTCACATTAGGCGTTTAATAAAAAATAAAAATCTTGCATACAAAGGAAGAAAAATGTCGAAAAGTGCTTCCGAGTATGAAAGCAATAATCGACAATTCAAAAATTTGAAGCGAGATCTGTTTACTGCAATCAAGAACGCAAAACAGGATTATTTTGAAAAAAATGCGCAAAATTCTAAAGTGATGTGGCGCGAAATTAATCGCTTGCGGGGAAAGAAAAGCCAAAGCGATACTGTGGGCGTCGATTTGAATACATTGAATAAGCATTTTGCTACAATGGGGGAGCATGGTGAACGGCATCCCGTAGCTGTCCTCCCGAAGGAGGCTGACACGGCGACTTTCGAATTCGATCAGATTACCCCAGACATGGTAGTTGACATGTTCGGCAAAATTCTAACTAAGAGGAAATGCGCGGGACCGAAAGGAATTCCCCATAGGCTCTTATCTGAAATTTCGCCCATACTTGTTGAACCCATGACCCATCTAATAAATCAGTGTTTCAAAAAAAGTATCTTTCCATCAGTTTTTAAAATCGCGGATGTAATCGCATTGCCTAAATGTACTCATCCGGCAACAGCGGATGAATTTCGGCCAATCTCGCTTTTATGTAACTTGTCGAAATTATTTGAAAAATGTGCCCAATTACAATTGAACAATTTTTTGAAGAACGAGGGCATTCTTGCAACGAACCAGTCTGGTTTTCGAAACGGCCATTCCTGCGAGACATTACTGTTGAAAGTGACGGAGGCATGGAAAAAGGCTGTCGATAACAAACAGTGTGTTGCAGTAGTTTTTCTTGATTTAAAACGGGCTTTTCCGTCAGTGTGCCACTTAACTATGCTGGAGAAACTTCGTGATATTGGAGTGAAAACTTCAGCGTTAACGTGGTTTTATTCATACCTGACCGGTCGCTCGCAACGCGTACGCCATGGCAATAAATTTTCCTCTTGGGAAAACGTTATGGCCGGCGTTCCGCAAAGGTCCATACTTGGGCCTATTTTATTCACGATATATATCAACGAGCTTCTGAAATTGGGATTACGAAATGTCCAGCTAGAAAGTTTTGCTGACGACACCATCTGCTATGCAGTTGCTAACTCGAAAGCAGAAGCAGCAAAAATACTAACGGATGCACTACCGGACATCTGTGACTGGCTAAAAGCTAACCGTTTATATGTCAATGAGAAAAAATTGAAATTATTGTTGGTAAGTTCAGCTCGCAACTGCGAAAGTAACGTTAACGTATCGCTGAACGGTCATCAGTTGCAACCAGAAAAGTCAGTGAAACACCTTGGAGTGATGCTGGATGAACATCTCAGTTGGGCTGACCATGTTAAAAAGGTCCAAAAGAGTGTTCGGTACTGCATATCACTGTTAAATCGTGTGAAAGTTGGCCTGCCAACATCCCAACGCATTGCGCTTTTCTATGCCTTTGTCCAGTTTCATCTGGACTACTGCTCTACAGTGTGGAGCGGGGCATCTGTGCGCTTGCGGGACAAGTTGGCCGCCATGCATCGTAGCGGCCTGCGAGCGGCTGCAAACTACTCTGGAATATCCACGGAATCGTTCATGACCAAGCACGGGATCCTTCCTCTGTTCACAAGATGGAGACAAAACGAAGCGACGTGGTTGTACAAAATCAAGCACCCGGAAAAATTCCATGTGCCGCAGTACATCAGCGAGATGGTGGAATTTAAAGAAGAAGTAAAACCGTACAATCTTCGAAAAGGGAACCGGACCATCATCAAGGCGAAAGCAAAGAAAAAAGTCGGCGAAACAACCTTGGCTTGAAAGCTTAATAAAATGTGGAAATTTTTCGTGGATTTTAATTCTTCTGATATTTTTAGTGTTCGATCTGTTGGTGCGTTTAAGCATGCGTTGCGCAGTGCAAATTTTGTTTAAGCGTGCTGGGAATTTCACTGTGCAGTTACTGTTTGGCCAGGTTTAAAATCCCATGCTAGTATGTCACCCTAGCCGGAAATGGGCTACCTGCTCCACGAAGAAATAATAATAATAAAAATATGGTTTGTTATGTTTTTTCTTGGTTTCTTATGGTTTTTACCTTTACAAATTTAACAACAATATATAACTGACAGTGGAGAAACAGACAGGAGAACATTATAGGGGCACACAGTAGAAGCACATTCTAGGTATTTATCGTGAATAATAATCCTTCAAAGTACAGTACTGTACATAAATTAAAATTTGCTCCTATTACAGTGGGCTACTGTATCCTTTGCGGCGGTGCTGCCGCTTGGGCAATCACTCAGTCACGTTTTTTTCTTCCGTTCCACACAAACAAACAAACTAGCGGCTGTGGCGGCAAAACGCCAGGGCGCTGCACAAAATCCCAACTCATGGAAGTGGTCAGTCGGGCCATATATCGTTACGCATTTTTCTTTTGTATGTTGTAAGTATGCGCCCAACCGCGCCCAACCAATACTAAATGCCTACCAAATAATAAGTACCAATACTATTTTGTTTGAAAAATACAATATTTCATCTGAACTTATAGATAATTTAACGTCAATAAATAAGCTAGGGTGCCAGCCAAATGTGCAGCCACCTGCTTGTGATGATTCAGTTTATCTAGAATCTGTTATTTTCTTGGCAGCATTAATTTAGACGGATATTTTCACGTCAGCGTCACAATTCATTAATTCTGTCGAAAATACTCCAACGAAAAATTTTTCGAAAAAAAAAACATTTCACCCTAATCCGTTAAATCTTGTAAGATTTCTACAGCTGCGGATACGGTTCAATGATTCCCAGAAACGGCTGCTAACCGAAGCCGTGAAGCGCACGACTGAACCCACCTGTTTCTTATGTCAAATGTTCTCATGACAAAATTTTATTGCAAATCCCCAACTAAATTTATTGGAGAAAATCATTTGTCAGCGGTATCAACCCCAAATGAACCCTCAAAATTTTTTTCTTAATATCTGAGAGAAAAAAACAATAATAATGCAAGTAATGGCAATCCGTCATATTATGTAATGCAATATACAATACATAAAAAACGCACGTTTATTATTGTTTTAAAATTGTACATTCATAAAATTTATTTTTATTTTTAGTCTATCTAAATTTAAAATATTATTAGCTATAAATTTACTACACATCACTGTTACGGGAACTATCACAATTTTATACATGTTCAAAATGTGTCACAATTTTTTCAGTATCTAATTGCACAGAACATGTAACCAAAAGTAATTATCTAATCAGTTAATATGCTATCAATCTCATAAATTTTCCGCGTTGCTTAGCATTATTTGACCAGCAAAACACGCTAAAGCCATTTAGAACCATTTAGCGTTTCGTAACCCTTCTTCGTTACTATTACCTGAACCAATAAAAATTTAATATTTAGTTTACTAACTGTATAAAACAAGAAACCACAATAAGCATAAACTAACGACAGAAAACACGTTTACAAAAAATACCCGCTACACCCATAAAATCTTAAATTCAAAATAACGACAAATTTCTATTATTTAGAATAAAACCATATCAAAATACTAACAAAATAATAAAATAACAAGATCAAAACAAAAATACTTTTTCCAAAACCACTATGTACTTCCGCTATTCGTCCAACTTCCACCATCCGTGATTAATTTATCAAATTTCCATTCTCCCACCAACTAGTAATATGTTACTACAGTTACTATTAAACCCTCGATTGCTAATAACAAATTCAACTAACAAAATTACCAACTTCCAACACCATCAAATCTCCAACTTCGGAATCAGTGCGCACGAGACAAAGATTTTCACCAACAAACTCTCAAATAACCAACTCACCAACTAATTTCAAACTGCACTCGGACTCCTTTATATACCCAAACCACACTATACTCGACAAAACAACCAATACAAAAGAAATCTCAACCCACTGCCTACTCAATCTCCCAATCAAAGACCATTTCGTCAGCGAACTTCAAAAGCGGCCTCATTTATATCGAAATACCCATGTCGAAAATTGTCCTCTCCAGAGGACATATAGGCACACTACAGCTTCTACAAAAAATACTACCCTTACAAATTCTACACACAACAGAGCTCATACGTCCTCGGGTGCTAAGCACCCGCTGTCGCATGGCTATCGCCTGGCGCAAAAAGTATTCGACGTTCTCACCAGTTCTATATATGGTTCTATCACGCAAGTAAATCCCCAATTCTACGCTTGCACCGTGTTGCCCATTGTGTGTACGGTGACCTTTCATCGTTTCTAGAAAGTGTTTTTGCGGTTTTAATTGATACTAGAGAAGCATTAACGAAAGCTCAGTCTGAAATCCACATCCGGTTACAAACATGTTATGCTGGATTATTATGGAAACATTTCCGCCCAGCAGCACTTTTTGTGCATTTTTAGATCGGCTTAAAGTGCTTCTCACCGCGGCCATCGCCACTTGAGCGGCTTGCAGTAACAAACGAAATTACGCGCCGAAAACAATGGAAGCCGACAACAACAAACTTTCTGCCACAAAACAATTTTCCAGTGTGTTTTCAGCCGGTCGATGATATCTTCAAGAAATCGGAAAAAAAATGATTACAAGCACTCTCCACCAACGAAACAACTCATAACCACCCGCAATAAAAAGAGATTATTTTCACGCTCGGTGATGAGAGCCATTGTCTTGGTAAAATAAAAAGCGGCAGATTGACAGTCGGCGTCCGAAGTATGTGGTAGTGTATGGATCTGTACACCGCACTGGAGTGGCCGCAGAACAATACGAATGTCTTATGCAACGTCCGTTCTTTTGCAGCATAATAGCTTCCATAAGAGTTATCAACTATGCATGCCTGCCAGTGATCATTTGCTTGTCCTGCCGATCAAGGCTGCCGAACAAACAACTTAACACAAACACACCTCCATTGCGTTGCCGGTACGTTATGAAAATGATCCGTATCAACTCGGAAAACGTATTTAACGCACAACTCTGCTCGGCCTTATTATATCGCCCGCTGTACAAGATTGTACATTGAAAAACTCAGAATTATATCGCTGTACGCTTTTGAGTGTTCTGCACAACGTTTTCACACAGTGAAAATTACAAATTAACGGACTGCGCCGAATTCAGTACGACGGCGGGACGGCGGGCCACGCCTCACTATTTACGCTTTACATGCATTTGGCATATCTGATGCGAGACAAATATTGATTTGAAGTATAAACTATCCAAATAATGTAAAACATTAGATTTTCTCCTTTATATATACCTACTTTAAATACTGAGAAGAGTAAATTTATGATAGCGGAAGACGTATGTAGAGGCACTCGTTCATAGCACAAACTTCGCGCTAAACACGTGCTATATGTACGTTTACGTTAGAAACTGCCGGATACGCTTGTACGCAGGGTTGTATGCGCGGATAAGACGCCAGCTTGTATATTCTTCTTGTTGCCGATCGCGCACTGCATTTACACAGCGCAGAACCGGTTTCGCTAAATTGTAGAACGCGGACCATTTTATAAGACGTATGGTACATGCGAATACAGGTACAACTGAGCGAATAATAACGCTCCTTACAACATAACAATACCGCACAGTACGATCAATACCTCCTGTGCCGCTGCAATGCACAGTGCATGAAAATATTACTACACGACCATAAAGACTTAATAAAAGACAGGCCATGGCACTGCAGTGCGCTGCCACTGTCAGCAGCGCGTTGATTATTTCTTTGGCCTGAATACCGGTATCTCAGCTGACGGTGCAGTGCCGGAGCTATTGATCGCGGGCGGATTACTACGCCTACTAACAGCGCTTCTTGCTGTTGCGCTGAACTACCGTCGCTGTATGCTGTTAGGCCGAGGACGGCACGTTGCAAGAAATCGGGAAAAATCGTGCCCATCCAGGAGATTTTGTTTGCAAATGCGCCGGTCAAGCGCAAGATACAGGAGGAGGACGCGATGCGGAGGCGAGCTGGGTGTTGGGAGTGCTACTCACCCCGCTCCACGAACGGCGATCTGGTGAAGCTGACGCTGTTGGTCGGTCTGCTGACTTTCTCTTTCTCCGCCTATTTTATCCTCGGCGGTCCTGGGCTGGACCGGTTGTTGCCGCGGGAGCGGATCTTCCTTAAAACTGTTTGCCCCGATGCATTTTTGTAAGTACCACAAATTCGCTTGGTGCAACTCTAGTTACTCCCGTTATTATCCAGCATTATTGCAGAATTTTACATAGAGTCAGCACAAATTTCTCAGTTTTAATGTTACTATTTTTCTTAGCTTTTCATTCCGCAGTATCATTAATAATCGATCCCCAAATATGCTATTAAAAGACAACTCATTCAGTTTATTATTTTGTAAAGAAATTCAAACTAGTATTTTCCGAAAATCCATTGGTTACTTAATTTTTCGCGGTTGCTACGAAAAAGCCTTTGATGAGTTCATTCGAAATGCGTCTATAAGCCACGGAAAAAATAAAATATTTTTGTTTGTTAGAACAAAATCCTGAGTATCTACAATAGAGTACTGAAAATATTTTCAAATCAGTTGTTATGAGATTTATGATGCGCAATATCTTGCGGCGATAATGATGAAGTTGCATAATTATGTACAACAGTTTCCAGGTGTCTTATGTTTGCATCTGACCGATCATCGTGTCAGGGTAAATTACGCTATGATCCAGCAGAATTAAATTATATTAAGCGTGTTCTGCAGGCAAATAAAATCGGAGGAGCTGGAGATAAAACTGCCTGATCACCGTCTCCAGGCCATTCGCCCGCCACTTGACGAGCCGACGACAGCTGCGGCCAGGAAACCGGTTGGCCACTGCTCCCCGCACCACAACATCGTCTTCCTCAAAGTGCACAAATGCGCCAGCAGCGCCTTCCAGAACATCCTCCTGCGCTTCGGCGAGTCCAATAATCTGACGCTGGTTTTACCACCGAAAGACAACTACCTAGGACATCGGGAGAAGTTCGCTCCCGAGCTGGCCATACCCCTCCCATCCGCCCTGGGCAGCCAGTATAATTTATTATGTCACCATACACGATTTCACCGCGAGAATATCGAAAGCATTATGCCTAATGACACGGTGTACGTGACGAGTTTGAAAGAGCCGGCCGCCATGTTCGAGTCGGCCTATGATTTTTTCGGACTGGTCAAGCGGTATGGCGTTAACCTCACCGATTTCATCCAACGGCCGGAATATTATTACAACAACCAGACTGTTGATTCGCTCGCGGTTTGCCCGCAATCCGATGATGTTCGATTTCGGTCTGGAGATGGAAGACTTCCAAGATCAGTCCAAGGTCAGCTATCGATACAATCGTTAGAAGAAATGTAGATTGGCCGTTAGATGCACAAATGTTTAACTACGAAAAATATTTTAAATATAACAATAATAATAAATAATAAGTGCAGGCATTTCTACCTAAATCGAAATTTATTGACGGATGTAAGAGTTTTCGTTTTAGTTGCGAAATAAAAAAAAATACAAATGTTTCGGCATAAAAATTTTAAAAAAATGGTTAAAAAAACCTTGCATCTTTTACACTGAATTCCCAACGCTCACACTTTTGTTATTCTGGCTGAATTAAGAAAGTTAACAAATAATAAATAAATACTCTCGAATTTTATTTACAAATTAATGAGTCAGTGTATTTTACAAATAGCATCTCGATAATAAAAATGGTGTGCGAGAACCGCTTATTTCTGCAGTGAATTATATATTTAAATATTTTTACAGATCGAAGAGAAAATCGCCGAGCTAAATGATCGCTTCTCCCTGGTGATGATCACAGAAGAAATGGACGAGTCGCTGGTCATGCTACGGGACCTTCTCTGCTGGAGCTGGAACGATGTAGTGACCTTTCGCGTAAACAAACGCCGCGACTCTCGCGTCGTTCCCTTAACCCGCACGATGAAGAAGAAAATCCGCGCCTGGAACAACGCCGACGACCAGCTGTACCGGCATTTTACGCGATCTTCCAGCGGAAGAAAAAAGAGTACGGACTGCAGCGTTTACAGGAAGATGTGGCCAAACTGCGGCAGATGAGCGAGTTATGGCGCGGCCGCTGTGAGGAGATCGCCGGGCAAGAGCTCAACGCAACGGATCCCGTCGCGACAATTTTTGATGAAGAATATCTGCATGAAATCAGTTACGAGCAGCACAGGCGACAAATTTACGACAAATGCTCGCGGTTGCAAATGCGAGAGTTGACCTTTACCGGGATGATGCGCGACCGCCTGTGGCCGGCGGATAAGCTGTGGTATGCGCCACCGGCCGATGTTATCACTCCCGAAGGACAGCAGCGTTGAAAAGCAGCGTACCGGAAATGAAAGGGCCTCTTGCACGGAAAATACCCAAAGATATTTTCCGCGTCATCGACTGTCACACTGCGTAACACCTATCGGTTGTCATAAGGCCCTAATGAAGTGCACAGTGTTATTTAAGATTGCACAGTGTTATTTATTCAAGAGGGTTGTAATGCTTGTCAGTTATATCATAACAAGTTGTTTATACACTTGTTATGATGGCGTGTAATCGCTACCTGTCCTGCCATGCAGATGATATGTCACACGTGGATCTCGTTGAACTTGCGACAGTTAACTTGGTAATAATTATTATGCATACTCTTTGCATGAGATTAAAAATCGTTTTGTTATGCTGGTAATATTTTCTCGGTTGTCACTTTACGTATTAAAAGCGGTTGTAAATTGTGCAAGGTATTATTTAGACCATCATAAGCATACCGCAAGTGTTTAATTCACCCTTAAGAAGAGATTATACCGATTTCGACCTCTTTCGACTATTCTCGCTAGCACAAAGCGTGCGCTTGTGTTGCATCATAACTACGCATTTGACATAGCACAATGATATTTTCACTACATGTTGTGCCACTCTTTCATTTGCGCTCACGGGACAGCGCTATGTCTTTCCATTGTCTAGCGCCTTTGTCATACTCTATGCGTCCTCACTGTGTAAACATGAGCCTTGTCTGCTCCTATCACACTTGCAAGCTGGCATGTATATAACAGCCAGAAGGCTTGTTCCAGAATGAAAGAATGCCTTCTTGAAGCCTTTCTTTCACTGATTTGACCACAGGTGGCAGTAGAGTAGAAAGATTCGCCAGCCCGCCAAATCGCTCCTCGTCGGCAACGAAAAAACTTAAATAACTTTTTTCGTTGCTACCTAATTTTACTCATCTTCCGCCCAGTAACAGATGTAACCCTTCTTATTGCAATGTAGAATTTTGAAAATTTCATTTTCGATCTTGCTACCATCGTATAAATTCTCCTTAAACAGCAATTATGTAGACAGTAAGTATGTATATGGTAAATGGTCATCGCCTTTTCGGCAATCGGCATGAGTCGGACCGGATTGTGCTATTCTGTTTAGGCACTAGTCAGACATGTAAAACACAATAAACGCCAACCAATATGTGATTTGGAAAGCGCCAATACATTCAAAGCAAGAATGCTTAATTCAGCAAGTAACACCGAAACCGGGCGGAAGTGGCGAAAACGGCATTCACTAGACACTACCGGTTCGCACCAGATAAATACTACTCTAGTACTAGTTGGTAGTGTCAATTGGTCGACCGTTTCTCACGGTAATCGTGAAAAAATGTTTTTACCAAAACGTGGGCTATTTTCCTATGCAACCTCAAGTCTGGTAAATACGCGCTAGCGGTTATTGCTAATCCACCAAAATTATTTCTTTCTGGGCTTAGTTTTGCCCCGGTACTATTTGAATCCTTACCCCTTTTTATTGGCATACGTAGTCTTGTTTTGCATGTTAATCTACTTTTATTTTTTCCATTTAAAGTGGTCAACGCCACGTGCTGTAAACAGCCTAAAATAAAATTAATCAAGAAAGGTCAATGTGCAAGCGCCTATCATAAATCTCGCTTTCGGTTTACTGCTGGCTCAGTATTAAATTCTGAACAGTCGCAACACGCCCGGTTGGACTACCGTTAGGGCTCTTTGGCCGCTTTGACGACTTTTCTGGAATTATTCCTTGAAAAAGGATTACATAGACCGCCTGCGATCCACATGCCACCGTCAGCGATATAACGAACACGTACTGCAGTGTCCGGTCAATTATGCAAGAGAAAAGGGCCAGCCACACGCTCAACCAGATCAATCCCATCAAACCTGTGTTAATGATCACTCCATGCAGCTTTCTTTTTGCAGAGTTCACACGCTTCCGGAGACGCTGGTCCGAAACCGCCATTTGTTTCTCCTGTCTTCTGATTGCTAAAGAAGACAAAAACATTTGGTGGCGTGGGTGTGGAAAGCCGGTTATTTAAGCGGCTTGGAGATAGAGAAATTACTCACTGTATAAATACAGTATCGCCGCGGATAGGTTCAGTACGCCTGCAGCCGATAAAGGTACAACATAGGTCACCCAAGGGATCCACAAGTGATCGCCCTCCAGCCAGCACCTACAGTGAAACCGCTCAAGAAAATGCAGCGCTTCGTTGTTCTCTATAACCCTGTTTAGCTGAATCGGAAATATGCTTTTTCGGTGATCATTTCAATATTTTATACCATTTCTCATCACTTGCATAACCGTAGCCATGGAAAAATTTCGTGGTGTCCTCGGAAAAATGTGGAATAGACGCCAGAAACAGGAAACAGTATTGGGATAACTAATAACAGGAAAACATTATTAGTTTGCTACGCAAACGCAGCAGTTACTGTTATCGCAAGCAAATTTCGGTCTTATCGATTAAACTGCGTACAGGATGCTGCCAGTAGAGTTTTCATCCTGAATCCACTGTATGTGTATCCAGGAATATTCACCCTTCGCCCATACTCTTCCGGGTACAGCGTTAACTTGAATGACGCCGACGGTCTGGACTGCCGTCCATCCAATGCTCATCAATGCAAACCAGTGCACCAAAATGGCACTGGCCAAACAAAATTGCTGCCCACACATTTCGGGAATGTAAACCATCAACTGGGAGAAAATGGAGAATGTATACATTCCCAATAGTGCCACCCACAAGCCCATCCGTGTAAACATCACTTCGTCGAAGACAACGCTTTTCTGATAAATTTTCACCCTGAAGCGCAAAATGAACACATTATAAGCAACGCCTACCCAAGTTTGAGCTTACTTACATGATTATAATAAGGGCGAAAACGCAGCAGACAGCCGCCACACCCGTGGTGGCCGTAGTCACGACCGCTAAATCCATCGTGAATGCCGCATCGTTTGGAACCAAGGATCTCGATAAACTGCTGCATAACGTTAAGAATAGTGAAAATGGCGTCAAATGGTCGCCCGTGCATTCCACGATTGTGTTGTCCCATTTCGGATATTTAGCGGTAAGAGAGCAGCCCTCTATCGACCACCGGTCGGTTCCGTAATTTAAGAAAGTACATGCGTGTCGCCTTTTCGCTCCCGATGGATACTGTAAACATAGAATTTCTGTCTGCATCAAATTAATGTTCTTTCCACTTGTAATTATTATTTAATAACAAATATTTGCCGGATTAGTAATCAATTACATTAAAAAGAATATCGACATTATGCCGAGTAGTGACGATATTATTTCTCCGTTGCGAATCGTCGTTTAAGGACGCCAGTAAGACTAACGGGCTTGCTCTTTCGTTCAGCTCGTTGGCAGGAATCTCTTCGGCAAATTTGAACACCACCATCGCGGAAAGCGAAAATGTGAACTTGGCGGCTTCTGTTGCATTAACAGTTTTTTCTAGAACATAATTTAGACCTTTCATAAATCTCAACTAAAGTGTCGACCGTTTATCCCAGCCTTACTTAAATCCTCAAAAACCTCTCGCAAAACATCCTTGTTGAAAGTAGTACTGGTCACGGAACCAGTGCTGCCGTTCCATACAGCTGTAATTCCGGTTCCCCAATCAAAACCACCGATCTCCAAGTTGTTAGAAAATCTCAGATCGTCGAATTGGGAAGATCCATTGATTACCGTCGAGTAGACATAAGTCACACAGAACGGAGTAATAAATACTCGTATGTATGACTCGTCGCTTGCCGGCAGTTTGTGGTACAATTGCTCGAGTGCTTGATAGATGCTCACTGCAGCGCGGTGGCCGTTTCCCGGTGAAGGCGATACTTTTAGTTTTCCAGAGCTTTCGGCGCTGACTATTTGGTAAGTTATCTGAAGCAGGGTTTCGACAGCATCTTTCTGTGCACCTTCCGGTAGGTCTTCAGGTGGGTTCATTGTAGCGAAATCTCGAAAATAATTGGCAGTTACTCGGACATCGTTGAAGGTAAGCTCGGCTGCATTCTGCAAGATGTTTAGGACGCGGTGTGTCGAAAGTAGGTAATAGGTGGTCGCATTCGGATAGGTAGCGTTATTAGTCGCGCTCTCCAGTGCAGCAGAAATGGGTGGTGGTGTAGCAGGAATAGGGTTGCCTACAGTAAAAGAGCGTTGTTTACATAAAGTCGCCATAGAATATTTGCCATTAACGTGGAATGTGATAAAAGAGAATAGCGCAGTCATAACACGGATGAAAAGCCGGAGTATCCTATGGTACAGTAATTGCGATGGAAGGCATGTTAAACATTAGCCGTGCACTTCACGACGCAAGAGAAAAAATAGTTACCAGGAGCTGCTGTAGATGATCCGGGACTTAGGGTAACACGCGGAGGAGTCGTTGTGGTTGTTAATGGTGTTCCCGGCGTCGATTTAGTAGTTGACGATGTGGATACTTCAGGTCGAATTAGCGTAGTCGCTTCCGGTGTTCCCATTGTTGATAGAGTTGTTGCAGTCATTTCCGGTCCCGTTGTTGATTCAGTTGTTGTTGTCATTTCCGGTGTACCCATTGTTGGTTCAGTTGTTGTAGTTGGGGTTTCCATTGTTGATTCAGTTGTTGTAGTTGGGGTTTCCATTGTTGATTCAGTTGTTGTAGTTGGGGTTTCCATTGTTGATTCAGTTTTTGTAGTTAGGGTTTCCATTGTTGATTCAGCTGTAGGCGGCGTAGTTGTGGAGCAGTTCGTAACTGCAAAAATATTCCGTCCGTCAAAAATCATTGTGATTGGTATTAGTAAAATGCTTTCCTTATTATAAAGGTAATGATTTGTATCGCTTGTGAATTTCACTTTTGACTGACCAGTTTCCACTTTTATTTCATCGAGCGCTATGAATCGTACGTTTTGGCAGCTATTTCTGTGCCAAGCTCGGAGATTAAACCTGACAAAAGGCCTTGCAACACCGGGGAGGAAAATATTGTCGGTAGGCGGGATTACCCTCTTCACTTGAACAAGATGCCATTGGTTATTAGGGGAAATCAGCGCGTAATCTTGCTGCCCATTATGCCTTCCTCACAGGACATCGGTGTAATGAGCTGGATGCCCTTCTCTCCATTCAGCGATGCCCAGTTCGAAGTACTCTGTGTTTATTATTGGAGGATCGGATAACAGTAACCAAAAGCTAACAACCATGGTTGGTTCGACGCGAAGCGCCGGGGTATAAAGAGTTGTAACCCGGATAACACCACTGTAGTCATGTTTAGGAGTGCAACGTGCGATGGCCATCATGTCATCTAGAATAAACATGCACAGGCAATAATTAGGATGTAGTGGATGAATCTCAATAGATGCGAACGCATAATAACAACAACTGAGGCGTACTTTCACTTGATCCGTTTATCTTTCCAATGATGTCCCATTGGTAAGTGTCCTGTGCCACGCCACTGCCAACAACACTGTTGCTGCGATACCAAGTCGAATTCTGATTTGGCGGATCCGACGAGCACGCCAAAATATATACGCTGGAATCGTCCGACTGATCTTCCGTTCCCATATCACAGGAATCCACCTCCTCGTAGCAATCTTCACTGCACACAGTGGCCAGACGAAACAAGATCAGTGCTGCAGCAGTAAGAAAATGTATGGTTTGTTTGTTTATCCAGCTTAATGTCTACTACGATCCGGGATATCCTGCACGAGGTGGTAGATCACCTTTAAAGAAACTGCTGTCCCGGTGGCAGCTCGAAAAACAGATACAAAACGAAACCACTTGAATGGTCAGCGATGAATTATCAATGTTATCATACGTACGTGTGATATGTGCGCTGTGTCGTACGTTTTAAAGCAGTTCTTTTTGTGTTATTAAATACTATGCGCGTTATTTGGTCACTGGTTGTTGTTATTCGCATATAACAAGGTAATAGCTGATTACGTAAATTAATGTTATTTTCGTAAATCGTATGTATGTCATACCGAATAATGGTAACACGGTGAGGGTCATGGTGGGGTTCATCGGACCGTGCGTGATACTCCTGCCGGGTGATCCCCGTGAAATCCCTCAATACCGTCCACAACTCCACGGCACGGTACTTCAATCTGGATTTCCTAAGATTGCACAAACATGTTAAAGCCGGAAACCCTGATTTTATCTATGCTAGCTGCCACATTTATACATACCTTTTTCTCGGCCCTTGCACGTTTCTCGGCGGCGGTTTTATAAAATTGACTAGTGGTATTCAGAAATACCTTTTCTGGCTGGTACTAATTTGCGGATAACACATTAACACGACACAAAATTTTTTAACTCTTTGCGACTACCTGAAGATAAACCGGAAATGTACAGTTTTCAGTAAACATAATGCTTACAAGGGAAGAAGCACGACAGTCATTATTTTAAGTGGCCGCGCGAAGAATATGATCTTGCCTATTAATACTGCAATGTTATCGATGGAACGGCAGTATGGTCCAGCTAACATCGTCACAGCTTGCAAGTAACCTATATAAACAATGATATCAGAATTGTTGGTTAACCAAAGTTAGTAAATGTTAAACCGGAGCTGTCAAAGACTGATATTGGCTACGCAGTTAAGTGATTTATGGTGAGAGTTGAATTCGGCTTATCTGCGGTTCCCGCATGATCAACAAATAATTACAGCCCTTAAAATCCATAAGTGTTGTCACGCATGGTTCAAAACTCCATTATTTCGTAACTTTGTAATTATACTTCAATAATTTGCTGATAGCTTCGAAATGACAAATGTCGGCCGAACAGGATGTCGCCATCTGCCTTGTCCACAACTTAGAGCACTCGACAAAAGTGTGTGTTGTTCGGTGTAAAACTAGGTTGATGGAGAGATGCGTATACTGATATCGTACCCTGGTGCATGCAATAAAATCCAGATAGCCGAAACGATCGCTGGAAGGTTGTCGGTAATGTTTCGCGGGTAATAAACTGTCGGACAAACTGATTACATATCAAGACTTTAAAGTAAGGTAACTCTGGTTTGTTTACATCTTATGGCAGGACCTTCACCGCGTTTCATTTATTACTTTACTCTGCGGCGCTCGACTCGTTGCCCTACGGAAAAAGGATGGAGGCCTGCGTCCAATTGCCGTCGGAAATGTATACCGCCGCATCGCTGCCAAGGCGGTGGATACCCGAATTCGGCCAATTACATCGGAGATTCTCCAACCACACCAACTTGGTTCCGGTGTAAAGAGGGGAGTGGAAGGAATTATTCACGCAGCTAGGGACTTTCTTCTTCAATACAGCAGTGGTGTTAAAGCCCTCCTTAAAATTGATTTCACCAACGCTTTCAATTGCGTCTCGCGCGAGGAAGTATTGCAGATAGCAGCCGACGTCATCCCGGAATATTACGCCTTTATTAAAATGTGTTACGGTGCACATTCTTCGCTGTTTCTGGGAGAAACCGTCATTTCCTCGCAGTCCGGCGTACAGCAAGGGGATCCTCTCGGACCGGTTTTGTTTTGCTTGGTACTGCAGTTCATCATCTACAAACTGAACACTTACCTGAATGCGTGGTATATGGATGATGGGACGCTAGGAGGATCACCGTCGGAAGTAATCCGTAACTTCCTGCTGCTGATAGAAGAAGCTAAAAAGATCGGCCTGGAAGTTAATATTGCGAAGTGCGAAGTTTTTCTGTGCGGGGGCACCGAAGCACAGCGTACATCGGCCGCTAACGACTTCTCCACATTATTCCCCGGAATAGCTGTAGTGACAGCTGGTAATCTGAATTTGCTCGGAACTCCTCTCTTACCAGCCGCCGTAACCCCGATGATCAACGAGAAGATCAGCCAGTTGGGAATTATGTGCAGCCGCTTGCAGCTTATCCCTAAACACCAAGCGTTGTTCCTGTTGAAGAACTGCCTTGGAGTGCCAAAAATTGTGCACATATTGCGCACTTCCCTCGCATGGATGTTCCCACAAGAGTTGTACAGGCTGGACCAAGTATTTCGCGAGACGGCGGAGATCATCACCAATGTGAAGATGGACCACCCAACGTGGCTCCAGGCCTCCCTTCCCGTTCGTTTCGGTGGTTTGGGGATCAGACGCACTGAGAAGCTAGCTTCTTCTGCCTACTTGGCATCGGCTTCCTCGTTGCACCCACTGATTTCCAGATTATGCCCGACACTGACGGCCACGGATGTCAATACCGTCACGCGCGCCTGGAAGTTAGAAGCAGACACTGACGAACTTCCGGTGGAAGTTTTCAGACACGTCCAGAAAGCATGGGACACTCCCACGACACTGCAGACATTCTCAAGGCTGACCGCACTACGGACTTCACAGGAGGAAGTTGCGCATCTTAAGGCGGTATCAGTCCCGGAAGCAGGCTTGTGGATCCATGCATTACCGGCAGCTTGCCTTGGTAATCTGTTAGAGGACAACGCTTTTCGCATAAGTGTCGCGCTGCGTTTGGGAGCACCGATCGTCACTCCACACGTATGCGTTTGTGGTGGGCTGGTCGACGAGTTCGGCCGGCACGGACTTCGCTGTAAACGGTCTGCTGGAAGATTACCACGACACGACGGAATCAGCGCGGAGTTCACCCGGGGCCTAAAATCAGCTGGCTTTCCTTCGAGAATGGAACCAAAAGGTTTATCCTTGAAAGATAAGAAGAGGCCGGATGTGATCACCCTCATTCCGTGGAAGCGCGGAAAACCGCTGGCAGTGGATGTTACCTGCGTGGACACGCTGGCAGCCTCGTATATCGACCGCACTTCCGTGAATGCCGGCGCAGCAGCCGAACTCGCTGAAAGAAAGAAACTAGCGAAACACGCTTGGATGCAAACAAGATACGATTTCGTTGCCGCAGCCTTCGAAATTTACGGACCTTTTGGAGACGGTACTAAAAAGCTAGTGGAAACGGTTGGAAACGGTATTGCGGCTTCAACTGGCCAAAAGCGGGCGAAAGAGTTTTTTAAACAGCGAATATCTATGCAAATACAACGGGGAAACGCGATTTGTGTAATGGGTACGATCCCCGACCAGGATAGCATAGAGGAAGTGTTTCTTTTGTAAATGCCGTTTTGTTCTGGTGCATAGTTTGCACTCGTACCACGATACTTATTAAAGGTATTATTTTTATTACTTTTATCAGTCATACGGACACCTATATCGTAATTTTGTTTTCGACGCATGGACGGAATTTATCAGCCGCCATAAAAGCGACGCATAGGCGCCCGTGCAATCCGGAACGCTGGTAGTCATCTTCGATACGTTCAGTGGTGACGCTACACTGAGTAATTTCGAGTCATGTCAGCTTGACGAAAGACTACCCGAGCAGCTGTGTTTGGGATTTGTGGCACCCGGTTGTAAAACGTAGTAGAACTGGAACTCCATTTTTTTAACGGCAAATGCGCTTAATGCAGGACTGGATAGTATGGCTATTTAACCTCACCGGCGTTCTGTGTAGGCGTTCGCACGATTAAATAGCGCCAAACGCAATTTTATTTTCTGAATCCATAAAAATCAGCACATTTAATTAATCCGTTCCACACCAAGCGTGTTAGACCGGCATGACCGTTCGTCAGATGAGGCACGGTGTTCCTTAATTATCTGTAACTGCGATAAGCTCTGCCAGAACAATTGATAAGCAGCGCGTTGGGTTTTACCGCCTCGCACCGTGTACAGCAGTTGCGGACGGCGCGGGGAACGGTGTGCAGTCTGGCCATGCAAAACCAAGTAAGTGGACCCGCTGAACCGTTGACGAAGCGACTGGTATAAGTGCAACTTTCTGAATGGTGTCGGCGCTGTGTCTATTGCTACACGGTCCAGTAACTCGGTTTAATGTTGTGAAAGCGCGCGACCGGTTCCGCTCGGTCTCAGGGTCCCTGCAGTTCGCCTATTTCATTTCATTCCACTGACCATTTCTCATGTTTTCTCACTGTAATGATATATAATACGATGCCTATTAGCAAAATTTTGTTGTACCGTGCGTTTCCCTTAAAATGGCGTCGACTAACTTCCGAATTATTTTGTCTTCACACGCGGCCGCAGCTGCTCTTCCGATAAAGTCACCACACTGCCGGCGCATTGGTAATAGCTTGCAGTTAAATACGGTTACAGGGTACAGTTAAGTTAATTTGGTTGTAGTTAATAATAAATAAATGCGGTTACGGTTAATACGGTTACAGATAACTAAATGCGGGTAATCTACATATTTGCCAAGCGCTAACAGATATCGGCAACGTCCAGCTGGAATTCACGAGAAATACTTTCACCATTGTGTGTTTTCAGTTTAATCATTTTTCATGGTATAACGGTCACTATAACCTATTACAATTAGTTAGTTTTTTCGGCAGCGTTTGTCCATACAGATACAGCGCGGGATTGCGGTATGCGTAACGGGCACGATTACGGAGCAAGATAGTATAGAGGAAGTGTTCTTGCTGTGGAACGATTGTTTTATTGAACGCTTATTGTGTTGTTATTATGCACCAAGTTACTGCCTGCACATACTGGCTAGAGTATCAGCTGTTATAGTATCCAGCACATGTACATAATAGTGTTATCAAGCAAATACATATGCGTTGTAAGTAGAGTACTTGGTTACGTGTACGTATACGTTAATATTTTACTGAAAGCGGATACCTATTACATTTTAATGGGCAAAAGCCGCCAAGACAACAATGACTGCAACCTAATTTCATTCATTTTGTTTTCATAGTATAATTTCATGGTAATCTGTTTAACCAATGGTATAGAAAATTTTAGTTGACCTTTTGCTCTAGCGCGTCTTTATCCATTACCTGCTCGCCGTGGTTTTGGTGCAGATCATGTCCGCGTTGCCGTAGATGTATTAGTAACACTGACGCTGTTCAAACATTTCTGCTTTCACAATACTTCCTGGCAAAAGCTGCTGGCGCTTGTAGCTGCCTACCTGCTGCAAAATGTCTATTTGCTCTTCGTTCTGGTTTAGCTGACTAAGTAGATATAGGAACAGGCAACAGCCATCCGTTCCCGTAATCCCATTGACGTCAATGGTACACAAACTTGAAGGGGTTCGCACTGGATGTTTGATGATAAATGCAATACCAGCCGTATCGCGTTCCGGGCATGTGATGCAGGCCAAGCTCTGAATAAATAAGTGAAAATGTTACACAATTCGCGATGATCTGCTATCCTCTCCACCACCATGGGACTGTTCACTCTTAGCGGCTCACTGCTGCCGTCCTCCATAAAAGTAATTCACCGCTTCGTGCCTTTTCATTCATACGGTATGCAATTTCCGAAAGGTTAATGCTTTAAAAATGGAGACAATGATAAGTGATCATCGCAAGGCTGCCTGATCATTTAGGATTGTATCCTTTTTTTTTGCTTAGAGTTAACCGTAAGGTACCCGGGCTGGCCCGCATGGCGCCGGAGGGTAGTGTGGATGCTTATTGTAAAAATTTCCTTGCGTCATCAAATGTTGTATATTAATTAAAGTTTTGGCGGACATTCATTCATTAATCTCATGGCGTTATTGTCTGGGGCGTTGCTTTAAACAGTAGTGCCATGAGGTTAAAGCAACGCTTTAAAGCAACGCCCGGTTTGACTGATTCTTCAACTTCTTGAACATGGGTGGTTATGACTGTTGACACAAGCCGCTGACAATTTGGCTGGACAGCCACGATTCTCCAGGATGAAAAACGCAGGATGCACTTGGCGACTTTGTGCAGGCACTCCTGTTGATCTTTCTCAAATTCATCGAGGCGATGTTTTAGTTGCCGGCCTTGAGCAAAAATGGCCTGGTCGATTCAATATCAACTTGAACCAGCCTGGGCATTTCCGTTCCCTGGCAGCCAGCCGCAACAACCCTTTACTGCCTTGGCTGCCGGAAGTTTATTTATATAAATACTTCCATCAGTAGTACTCCGTACCACCGCTATTACCATGATCTGCAAACAAATTTTAATCTCGACGAAAAGGTGATAGGTTATACTCGCGTGGCCAACAGGAAAATGAAGAAGGATAACATGAATTCTATCAGCTGCACCAAAATCGATACTATGTTGTGCTCCCCGCCTTCCCTGTATGCCAGTATGCCTGCTACCGATGTAAGTTTTCGGATCACCGCCTGTGTCGTACTGTTGCACAGTACAAAACTAAAATTCCAGTTCACAAAACAATTCAATTTCGATTGTGGAGCCATACGGACGATAACAAGTTTTTGGATGAAATCGGTGAAACAGTGAAGCGCTACGAACAGTATGATGAACAACGTGACGTGAATGAAGTTGTGGAGAATTTCGTGCAAGACCTCTCAGCTGTGGTTGACAAATGTTTTCCTACACGCTCCCGCCGTGTAAAGCGTGCATCTCCACCGTGGATGAACGATGATTTAAAAGCTATGCTAAAGATTAAAGACCAACTGTACGAAGAGAAATGCAGATCACGTGGGACACCGATGTACGATCACCAAGCCCGAGAGTATAAGCGAGTGAAGCTAGAAGTGACCACGGCTATTTTAAATGCTAAAGAGGCGTTTTTCAAAGAAAATCAGCGCAGGAGTGACGTAGTGTGGAAAGAAATCGGCAGAACAATGAAAAAAGAGGCGAAACCTAATGCGGTTGCAGTTAATTTAAATGCGATTAATCAGCATTTTGTGACAATGGGCCAACACGGGGCTCCGCACGATCCTCCAGAGCGACCGCCACTGGGGGACGATAGTAACGCTTTGTTTTCTAGGTTTGCGCATGTTGATACAGCAGTGGTGGCTGGGATACTTCATCGAATGGCCGCGAAGAAAAAAAGCCCCGGACCAAACGGGATGCTACCAAAACTGTTACAGAAAATCACGCCGCTCATCGCTCCAGTCCTTACGCAAATGGTGAATCAGTCGCTGAAGGAGGGAGTGTTTCCGTCCGTCTTCAAAAAAGCCGAAGTTTACCCCTTGCCAAAAAGTGTTTCCCCGCAGTGTGTTGATGATTTCCGCCCCATTTCGCTACTTTGTAATTTCTCGAAGGTGTTTGAGAAATGCGTCCAATTGCAGTTAGTGCGTTTTTTGAAAGAACAACAGATCTTATCCCCCAATCAGTCTGGATTCAGAGACGGTCATTCTTGTGAAACGCTATTGTTAAAAACAACGGAGAAATGGAAAAAGGCATTGGATAGCACGAATGTGACAGCAGTGTGTTTTTTAGACCTCAAGAAAGCATTTGACAGTGTAAGCCATTCGCGACTACTGTACAAGATGAAGAAAATCGGAGCCGGGGATATCGTAGTGCAATGGCTACATAGTTACCTTACCGGCAGAGTGCAAAGAGTACGAGATGGGAAACGAACATCCGACTGGCTGCCATTAACATCTGGCGCCCCGCAGGGCACAGTGCTCGGACCAATCCTGTTCACCATCTACATTAATGATGTACTTACTGTTAACGCAGAAGATTGTGAGGTTGATTGTTTTGCAGACGACACAATTGTCCATGCAACTGGAAAAACGAAAAGTATTGCGGCCGCTAAACTGAATGCTGGACTGGTGCGTGTCGGCCAGGTTTTGGAAGAAAATCTCTTGCACGTAAATGGAAAGAAATGCCAAGCCATTTACTTATGTTCTGACCGAAACAAACAACCGGATCCGGAAGTCGTCATCAACGGGTCGGTTGTCAGCATTGCAAAATGTGTACGGTATCTCGGTGTTGAGATCGATAACCACTTGAAGTGGAGTGAGCAGTTCAGAAAGGTGCAGCGGAAGGGGAATTTCGGCATTGCCATGATTAAGCGGGCACAAGAAGGGCTCAGCATGTCACAGCGCAAAGGTCTTTACCACGCTTGCTTTGGATGCCATATTGGACACCAGTCGCCGGTATGGTCTGCAGCGTCTTCGACGAGCGCGACAAGCTGGACGGACTGCAACGTAAAGCTGTGAAAACCATCACTGATTACAAGATGCCGGTTACTCCGGAACTGTATCAGAAGTTGGGTATTCCTGATATATTCGACCGATGACGTCAGAGCGATGCGGTGTGGTTGTTCAAGTTCTGGAACAAAGATCAGTTCTCACTTCCGGCCTACCTCCTGGACATGATCCAAGTAAAAGATAACACCGCGCACTACAACTTGGACTTTATGACTTAGACTTGGATTTAGGCATTTCTTATGTTTTTTATGTCTTCTTACGTTTCTTCATGTTTTCTTCGGTTTCTCAGGTTTCTTAGGTTTCTCAGGTTTCTTAGGTTTGTTAGGTTTCTTAGGTTTCTCAGGTTTCTCAGGTATCTTAGGTTTCTTAAGTTTCTTTGGTTTCTTTGGTTTCTTATGTTTCTTTGGGGTTCTTAGGTTTCTGAGGTTTCTAAGATTTCTTAGGTATTCTAGGTATTCTTTGGTATTCTGCGAAACCTATTTCATTTTCGAGATTTTCGAAGATTTTCATTCTCAGCTACGTCCCGTAGCTGAGAGATTTCATCTAGATCTTCCTGATTTTCACGCCGAATAGCGTTTTGATGATTGGGCTTTGTGCCTGTATTAAATTCTTCGACTTTAATAAAGTTTGTTTGGCAGCGGCGTGTTCTTTCGTTCGCACATCTGTGCTCGGTAGACGCCACGCTTTCAACAGGTTTCGTAAGACTTGGTTGGAATATATAGTGATGGTCATAAGAGCGAGGTAGTGGTGGTCTTCTAACGAAATCATCGTAAATCTGTTATTGTGCAGTGACACTATAGTCATCACTGCCTCCGGCTCCTTCCGCAGGGCTGGCATCCCTATTCTGGGCGTACCAGTAATCCAAACGTAGGTATGTTTCATCGGAAATATTGTCATTCACCGTGCGAAGCGCCTGCGACAGTCGAGCAGCATCCGTGCGCTCTTGCGGTATCCACTGCCAACACTCACGCATTAGAGAGTATCTGCAAAAAAAATCGTTGATAATATTAAATTCTTATCACATTGCTCCAGGACAAGCTTCCGGTCTTCCTAAACGCAGTCCGTTCTGCAGTAATGTCGGCCAATTAGGGTACGGGTTCTCAACAAGCTCTTCGTATGGAAGACAGCTCAGGCTAAACAATTCCCACATAAGCACTCCCAGGGTCCACATATCGGATTCGGCAGAAAATGTTCGATCCGTAATGGATTCTGGGGCCATCCAACGGTCGCATAATGTTTCCTGTTTTAAAAAGTAACAGCATATGTTCGAGAAAACTTATCTCCCTTCCGTCATGGTAATCTCTTCCTGTTTCATAAGATATATGGATTTTACGCATTCGATTACCGCCCATAATCTACCTGTGTATCAAGGGCGACGTATCTCCGTGTCTGCTTAGCCATTCCAAATCCGGCGATTTTAGCCACATGCCCATTGCAGATCATCACATTATTCGCCGACAGATCACGGTGAATAATCGAGCGGCTGTGGAGATACGCCACACCTTGACTGATATGGTAGGCAATCCTCAAAAGATCCCGAGTGGAGAGCAGCTGTCCATCGAATCCGTCCATTTCGGTTTCCTGGACATTTCGGATGGCAACCTGTTGGAGCTCATCCGCCATTTCCGAATTATACGACAGCAGCTCTCCATTTGGACTGACATGGTTGTAAAACCAAACACCACGGTGCATTTTGAGATAGTTAGAAAGCGCTCCCAATGAAGCGTATTCGTACAGCAACATGAGTTCCCCTAAACAATATCAGTCTCATTTTAATTTCCCCTTCAATGTTCAATAGACTCCAAGCATCCTAAAACTAACTACCAAGCTAATAAAAAGCAAAATAAGACGGACCTTTCAAGACGAACCCATGCAGTCTGATGATATTTAGGTGTTGGCCAACGTCAGCCATAATTTCCATCTCCTCCTCGGCCTTTTCGGAGACAGTTGGCATTTTCACAGCCACAGTCGTTACCCTTGGACGGTCATCAGGGCCTTCAAGGAATCCCCTTCGAACGATACAAGAAGGGCTCTGGCTTAAGATCCCCGCTGTTTAAAGGTCATCATAAACTCTTTGGAAATTCAGCGAAAACATCTGAGCATTAATTGTCAGTTTATAATTTGACATCGAACCGGTCACAGTTAACAATATACTGTTGTATGGTTCAGCCAATAATAATCAGAAGAATTACCTAATTTCACTTTGGCTAAAGGAATTTCTAAATGCTGCAAGCGCTGCGTAGACTCCAAGTCCAGGGGAAACGTATCCGCGTTAAAAGGAAACGGATTTCGCAAGCGGCCGATCATGGTACGCAGACCACTGGCCGGACTAATTTTCTTCATATCGCCGTGCTTCCACAGCTTTCGTTTCACGACAAACCAAAGGAGAGTAACAGTCACAGCGATAAGCGTGACGGGGATGATCGTGCCCAAAATGACTCGTGACGCATGCACTGGATAAGAACATGAGCGTTAAGTGTGATAAAATGTTAGCAGAGGTGATTATTTAATGTTTACCAAAATTTGTTACTTGTATAATATATTATAAAGTAAAACCTGCGCCTACATTAAACGAAACCGCAGGTGTTCAAGATTTTACTGTAAACTGGTAATTATTATACAATATTATAATTTAATATAATATTATAATATTATATTATAATTTATTATACATTGGTTATTATCAAGTTATTATACATTGAGCACCTGTTTCTGTTTGCCTCCTGAACTGCGAGACGACTATGTAATCGATTAACAGTTCCTGGTATGCTCTGGTTGCACTGCCAGTAAAGTTTGGTTTTTGTACAGGGAACGGTTTGCTGAGTACAAGGTTGGTAATGGCTATGTACATTTTCGGCCATGTTGAGAGCCCGGGTACAGTCGCGTTGGAAACCATCTGATCATCCAAAAACCAACCAAGCAAATCGCGCGTCCACACCAGCTTGAGGATGTGATAATCCAGGGTTAAGTCTGCATCACTACAAGTAAATGCTTTAAAATAATTTTTATCGTTTAAAACTTTTAAAAGTGAAGTGGGTCATCGATTAGTTCCTCAAACCCGTCGACTACTTAATGGATCTCCTCTTACTGTTTTCAATGAAGATTGGAATTGACTTTATGCAAGTAAGAACGAAGTGCAACAACGGAGACATAATCGAATCGTACCTTGGAGAGGCACCTAAGGCATTGTTTCCCTGTACCGGCCTTTAAAATCGCAACAAAAACTAGAAAACTTCATGCACTGCAAAAGAGTGTGGTATCAGCGGAACTTATGGAAGTATATTGGAACGAATTTGATCTGTTGAAACTGCTGTAATTTTTTTGTCTTGGTGATAATACCCGTTCAACCTATAAAACCCATTGTAACCGACTGGAACTGTTGGAATTACTTACACCGCCTCATTGCAAAACGTATGTGACACCAATAGAACCTCTCGTTACCTATAGAACCCAATTGGAACTGTTGGAACCGTGAATAATCATATATGCTTTCGCTTTGCCATATTTCTACAGGTTCCATTTGTACGCGCGTTGAGAGATATACAGTAGTTCAAACAGTTCCATGTGTTCCATTGGAATTACACATAAGGGCGCAATGAGATGGTGTGCATTAGTTCAAACAGTTCCACTGGGTTCCAGTAGAGTTCCTTAGGTTCCATTGTTATCACTTGCAACAAGAACGTTGGTTGCGGTTTCATCGGGCACTTATCAATTATCATGCTACCGTTTTTACTTGGAAGGCAGGTGTAACTTGGAAACCGGTTGAACTTTTGGAACCAATGGAACTCTAGAGGAACCCTAAACGCGTTAATCTACGGAGGAGAGAGCTATGGTACCTTTTGATTTAAAAAGTCAGGGTGCGTCGAACCCCCGCAATGGCTGGCAACGCTTAGGAACATACATTTCAAAAATCATCAGAATGCTCTATTGCACTCACTGCTTGGCGGTTCGCCAGGCGTACCAGAGACAACTAAAATGCACCGATACATGACAACGCTGAATTTTTTAATGTTGCGTATGGCTAACTGGCTCAAAAAATCCGGCCACGGAAAAAGTATATGTAATTAATATCCCGACTATTTCCGAACATGATAACTCGAACAGGATCGAAAAAGCACCGAATTACGTATTCCAGTTACCGTCCCTTTAGATCGCTTCCTTGCACTTCCACCAGAAACATCAAAATGTGTCTCAAAGCTCACCTGTAAATTACAGGTCACCTGTAGAGTCACCTCAAAGCTCACCTGTAGATTACAGGCTGTAATCGCTGTCGCCAACTGCGTTAAGTACGCCCATAGCCTGGGAAGTGAGTTGATATTATTGACAGAGAGATTAGTACGATAGTAATAATTACCGTAAATAATCTATCCTACCGACCTACTCAACAACACAGTATGAGCTGATAATCTCAATGTGGCATAGCTGAGTCTACGAACCTACGCAAACGAGAAACTACATCTCCGACGGTAAATTTAATTAATAACTCCGAAACTCCCAAAACTCAAAATCCGAGAACTACGCATGGCTGACGCCCAAAATGCTGCCACACACGGACTTATACAGACACTGCGCATCCGCGTAGAAAAACCCAAAGTAAATCTGAACATAATAAGAAACTTTTATAAAGGGCGAGAAATAATGATAACTACGAGTAAAACCGTCACTTTACGTTCACATCGCTACTGTACTGTACATTCCGTCATCATATTACGAGTATTTGCTTCAGCACCAGCGTTGTAAGAGGGCAAAGCTACAAAGAGGCTGAGAAACAGCTCTTCTGATCTAATAGTATTCCTTTATATCGTACTGGGACTAGAATCATACGTACATGTAAATATAGTCCTTCCTGTGCGCAGTGCCGCCGCCCAAATCCATATAGTCCACGTCGCTCAATAGAATATGCGGTACATCCGGCCTACCGACCAAATTGATCACAGGCACCATACCATCGTCAGTGCATTGGCCATAAAAACGTGGAAGATTCCTTTTGGAATCTGGTTATTATTTTGAGAAAAGTCAGCGGGCCAACCGGCTGTCGCTGCTTAGTATTGTCGTGTTGCCATTCAACAACCAGGATCCACTTCTACCCGGATGCCTATATAAGCGCCTACCACTGCAGTCCGGCCATCATTTTGCTCGCCGCAAAGTTGTTTCCTCCCACCCTCCCGTCTTCGGATCATCGTGGATATGGGATGTCTGGCTTTAGCCATTTTAGAATTTTCTTTATGCTATCGTGCTGTAGTTTTGTTTTTAGTAAAACATGCTGTTTTAAGATGACCTTTCGGCCGTCTGATTGGGTTGCCGTGTTCTGTTTGCATATTCTGCTCATTTTGGTCAGAGCCTCAGCCCGAATGGTAGAAGCTTTCTGCCCATGGTTTGGCTTTGATTGAATAAACCTAACCCCCCACGCATTTGTCGCATTATTATGTACCTCCCGACTGCATCGATAAAATAATACGCCGCCATTTGGAAGGCAAAACTGGTGATATAATTGCCGCCCACCGGCAGCTTGAACCGCATAACAAGTTCACCGTACGTATAGTTAAATTTCCCTGATGTGTGGATATTCGCGCTTGTCGGGATTAGTTGTGAACCGTTGTTACGGCTTCCCGAGCCTAGTGACAGTGAGCCGTTTTTAAGCCGCACGTTATCAGAATCAAAATAATTTCCGGAATGACTTTTACACGTTATGGACCATTTTGTGCTATCCAGAATGCTATCGTTAAAATCGTCGCGGAAAACTTCCACCATGTCAGCAAATACGACAGACATACAGTGGATCATAAAAAATTGTCTCATTGTTAGTATGATTCTACTGAAATTTGAACGGTTTAGCTGCAGTAGAAATGTTCTACACTTCAGAGTTCTGAGCCAGAACGCTTTGCTGTTTATAATTTACTGCTCGTCAGCAATGCATAGGTTGTCTGCTTTCAAGAGCAAGATTTAATCGGCGTTAAAAATTCCACTAGCTTTGCCGTTTGCCCCGAGCTGTATTTTTATTACAGGGATATGTACTACTGTATAAACGACTGCCATGTGAACTGCTGTCTGCAACACAAAATAGTATATCAAAATTAAAATTAACGAAGCTTTTGCGACTTATTAGGAAAACATTGTTCCAAGAGCAGCAGTTTTTGACTTCGTTTCTTTTATCCATATACCAAAAGGTTAAGTTCAAAGTGCGAAGGAAAACAACCTAAATCTTCAGGCTTCAGGGTTTTATTTCCGTACACCGGCTGCGGCCCCGGTTGCTTGCAAAGTTCTTTCGAATGGATACTGGATGTTGTGCCTCGTTTAGGCTGGCTATATCCGCATAATGGTATTTCCCGCCCACTAAGCGTATTAGAAAAGCATACGAATGCAAAGCATTTAAAAAGGCCAAGAAACCGGTTTCGGGTAACATCTCGTAGGTGATCACGCTCAACGATTTATTTTTTCTTTGAGTCAAATAATCCTTCGGGCAGTTTTGCAGTTTTTTTGACACTTTTTGCTGTCTACCCGGCAAGAAACAGCTGTTATACAGAAGCGATAAGCCTGCATGACAACGCGATCATAACCAAAAAACAGTAAGATGCTGGTCATGATCTGACAAAAATAAATACGGTTTCTTCATTGTCGTTTCTATGGATCAGTTTTTATCCGTATGCCTGTGTCTTCTCCTCGCACGAGGACTTTGTGATGAAGAGAGGGTTGAAGTGTTCCGGGATGATTTCGAGACGTTAGATTTTGAGAAATGGGACATGAAATCTTGGCAGAAAGTGCGCGTTAATAACGGTGTATTGTCACTGCGAAGTGTTCTAAACTGTGACAATGGATCACTGTACCGCAACGATATCGGCTATATCCGCACCAGGAATTTTACTTTTAAATACGGTGAACTGCTAATTCGATTCAAATATCCCAGCATGTCAGCTGAGGAAGCCAGCGGAGGCTCGCTGTTGAGGCTGTCGTCTGATGTACGTCCATGGGAGGTTTACATTGGTGCTGTTGCAAAATATCCACGCGATATCGGTGGTGTGGTAAATTACATTACGGCTTCGGGAAAAGATGGTCACTATTATCAAAGTTACCACTACTTGGGGCAAGTACCATAGAATCAGCGTTCATGTTCAACGCTTGGACAAACAATAAACTTGGGTGTGTGATGTGTAATGAACTTTCGTATTTTCAGCGGTATTTTTAGCAAGAGAGACCTGACATTCGATTTTCACCTGTACCGCCTAGTCTGGACTAAAGAGCGCGTGGAACTTTTTCTGGATGACAGCCGGATAATTAACCTTACCGTACCGGAACCGAAAGACTGGCCTGCAATGAGATTCGATATGTTTACCACTTCGGACATCGAAGAATCAGTTTGCCAAAACCAATCAATTAAACGTTCTTATGAGCTTCTAATTGACTACATTATTGTTCGACAATATTCCAGCCGACCGAGCAGTGGACATTCGAGTAATGAAGATGTCCTTTTTCTGTTTGTTTTCTGATGGTTGCTATTTTTTGTTAGACGGCCGTATTGAAGTGATCCTGGGCGTAATTCTTCCGGTAGCAGTGGTAGCATCAGTAACAGTTTCCTGTTTTCTGCTGTGGCGCGCCAGACAGCGTCGTACTGAGCGAGCCGAGAGTAAATTAAACTTGACGGCTTCGCTCAGCGTTTCTGAAGTTCCAAGTGAATACACGATGACGGTGTTTGATCTCAGCGCGGAAGCGGCGAATTTGCATGCTGATGCACGCGTGAGAGCAATGGAAATCTCGCTGCTTAATTTGCATATCAGTAGGTATCTCCGAACTGAAATTCGCAAAATTTCGTATAAGATCTCCAAATGGTCCCTTGCACCAGCAACATTTTTCTTTTCGTACTTGAGTCCAAGTTTTTAAAGGGCATTTGCTTGTACAAGTTTCGTATTTCATTTCCAGCCAATATGGTTTTGGGTCGTGGCTTGACCAGCGTTATCCGGAAAGGACTCCTACGTGGACGTTATCATCAGTCTGCACTAACTGAGGTTGCCGTTAAAAGCGTGAGAGATGACCGGGATCTAATGGAACGACGACAACTGATGCAAGAACTGAGAGTTTTGACGACACTGGATTCTCATCCGAATATTGTGAAGCTCGTTGGAGTGGTACTGAAAGGTTAGTGCCGTGTCCGTATTAAAACCGTGAAGTACAACTGAGTGTAACTGCTTACGTACTTGTATAACCGCTTTATGCAGGAGAACTCCTCGTGGTTACTGAATACGCTAAGTTTGGTTGTCTCAAATATTTACTGAAAGTTCTTGGTGCGGAACGGTTTTACAACCACGTAAGCCCAGACGGAGACATCTTAGCCTATGACGAAGATGAAGCGGAACGAATTAAATTCACCAAAGAGCAACTATCGTGCCCTGTGGATACTATGCAATATGCGGGTTTGGTTTTGTCCACGCAAACGTTGCTCGTTTACGCTGGCCAGATTAGTCGTGGGATGGAGTACCTGAGTGCCTCGTCCATTGTCCACCGGGATCTAGCCGCTCGAAATATTCTCATCTGTGATGGAAATGTTGCCAAAATATCTGATTTTGGATTAGCGCGGCAAGGCTCGGAATATGTTATCCAGGCGTCTAAGGTACGATTGAATAATGAGCTAGTATGCATCGTAAGGAGTCCTCAAGGCTAGATTAATTACGGAAGGTCAAATACCTGATTTTACAGGAGGCGCTACCCGTTCGCTGGATGCCGCCAGAATCTATCCAGAATGCAGTTTATTCTGAGAAGTCGGACGTGTGGTCGTTTGGTGTGGTTTTATGGGAAATGTTTAGCCTGGGCGCCTTACCCTACGCCGGCTTCCGTATTTCACCCGGGAACAACATTTCGGATTTCCTGACGGCACTGCAGACGGGGTCACGGTTGGATAAGCCGTCTGCTTGTCCAATCATAATGTAAGTGCAGCTTAGTTCTTTGCAGCAGGCATTATGCAGGAATTTGGATAAATAAATAAGTGCAAAATTTGCCCGCAATTTGCCGCAAAGAAATAAAAATTTATGAATCTGGTTTTTAAATTGCCGTGAATTAAAAACGGCAACCGTATTGTCGCCTGCATGTGCCCTTTTTTTGGCAGTTACGATTTGATGTGCGAATGCTGGAAACTGTCACCTGATGACCGTACGGATTTTCTTCGGCTGACCAAGAATTTACAGAATATTATTGATGCTGTATGCATCGCACATATACCCTCCGAATAAAGAGGCACCTTTGTGTGCAAAAGCACATAAACTATTTTTTAAATATATCTTTCTGCATGCTGTCATTTCCCATGGTTACTTTTCATTATTATACTGTATATCGTGATCAAAACCTACTACAGCAGTCAGTTACTAGAAAACATTCATTACAATCTGGAACCGGTAAGCGCATTCACATGCCGGACAAACTGAACAAAAGCATTACGGCATTTCAAATCTATCGACACAGTACGCAACATCAGCTCCGTGGATTGCGCCTCATCGGGATCCCGCTCCGAAAACTCGAAGTGGCTTTTCCTGCACGTAATAACAGTTGGCGTGTAGCCAGACCGGGGCGACATTCCGACCAGCTCTTTTAACCAAACGTGCAATTTCCGTAAATGTGTTCGGCAAGGATACGTGTTGTCGCCGCGAAATACCGCTTCCATGGCGTCGCTGCTGTCGATATCAGAAATCGGTGAATCGATACTTACCAAACCCTTCTGACAGCTGTACACGATGGCAGGGCCAACGTCGCATGCCCCTTGACTGGAATCACGGAACCACGCAACCGTGGGTAAAGTTGGTATGGTTGGCTTCGACGGGGTTGTAGTGACGGTGGTGGTAATACAAATTCCGGTCTCCTTCGCTGCGAAAGGAAGTGTTAAATGAACGCACATTTTAATTTACACCAAGTACGATGTATGACCTTTGTCGCTCCGTTGTCAGTCGGTACCTGTTCGAATGGTTATTGCATCTAATGCAATCGTTTTGAGGTTGACCTGGCAGCCGTCGTTATGGTAAGCAAAAAAGTTGATAGTGAATTGTTGTCCAACATTGCGAGTGAAAACCACCTCGACATAGCGCCACTGGCCAATAATATTCTCCGAATAATCGGTCTCGTTCCCCCAAATCTGCTCGTGAGGAAACGTCTGACCGTAACCTTCGATAAACGCTTTGAGATGAAACTTTTCGTCTGGGTTAACTGAGAATACCGGAAAATCGGACAGGCGATAATAAAAGGACACAAGCAGGCAGAGGTAGGGAGACGTCGGGGTGACGATTGCGCTGCGCAGAATCGCCACGGCATCGTTTCGTTCCGGTGCCACACCAGCAACGCGTTGCGAGCAGCGGGAAATCGCGAATACTCCTTCTGCAGAAGTCCCTTGCTTAAATTAAACGTAGAGTTTATTTTAATAGAGTTTAAACGTAGATCTTATACCTTTTTCGCCGGTACATTGGTTTAATTGTCAGTTAACCGGGATTTTACTGGTGCATAACTACTAACTGCTTTTGTCTGTGCCCTGTTTTTTTCTACTATTTGTAACTGAGTGCGGGAGCGGTTGAGAAGCGACATCTTAATATTTTCTTACTGTCAGCATCGGCGCCATCTTCTACGAGGTCGAATTGATAGGGGTAGTATTTGTATCCCCTCGTCCACATGATTCCATGCTCCTGATTGGAGCACGCCGTTATTATCGTACTCTGAACGAGCTGAACCGTAGTGCCCATGTCGCACTGGTGCAGCGTTATCCAGTCATAGCAAGCCGCCGGCAATGAGCAACTGGGTCTCTCTGGTGGCGCGGAAGCCGTAGTGATCGTACCGCCGGCCTCGGTAACCTCTGCTGAAAAAAGTCAGTGTCTGCGAATGCCGCAACGTACCCAGTAGTAATGCACACACCTTCATCCACTGTAAAATTCGCCAGCTGCTGCAAAAACTGAACGAACATCTTCCGGCACGTCAGATCAACGGACGGTGTACGGAAGACCAGATCCGTGGATTGTGCCGCATCGGGATCTACTTCAGAGAACTCTAAGCTTCCTTTTCGGCAAATGATACTGGTAGGCGATTTGGCTCCACGTTCTACTGTATTACTGGCGTTTACCAACCAAAGATGGAGCTCCCGTAAAAGCGTTCGACAAGAATACGTATTGTCACCTTGAAACCTTATCTCCGCAGCATTACTGTCTGAAATGTTAACCGGCAACGGTGGTGTCACGGTTACGGCGCCCTTGACGCATCGGACCACAATCGGTTCGTCAACTTCGCACGCATATGACTCGGTGGAATTAACTGTGGGCGTGGTTTGGTCGTTTGGGGATTCAGTTGTCACTGTTATATCCGAAACTTCTGTACAGTTAGCGGTCCTCTGCGCTAAAATTAAAAGATTTTTACGAACTTTAATGCCGATTGTTTAGAAACGTGGCGAACCTGCTTGGATCGTCATGAAATCCAAAGCAATGGTTTTATTGTTTTCCCGACACCTGTTGTCATGGTACGCCAGGAAATTCACGGTGAACTGTTCGCCGTTATCGCGTCCGAAGTAGACTTCAGCAAAGTTCCATTCATTGACAGTGGTGTTCGTATAATCGTTTTGGCGTCCCCAGATTAAGTCATTCGGGAAAGTGTAATATCGATCCTCAATGAGCACTTTAAGATTGAATTCCTGCGGAGTTGGTGAGAAAGTTGGTCCGCCAGATAAACGGTACCAAAATGTGACACGCAGAGCCAAACAGCTTCGCGGAATAATTCCGGGACTGCGCAGAATGGCCACCGGCTCGTCGCGGTCCGCCGCATCTCCCTTCCGACGTGGAGTGCAGCGTGACACAGCAATCACATTGCCTAAATCGTGTTCTTCACAAAATTCGCTGAAAAACTGCTCTGACAGCTAGATTTTACCCGTAACATTATCAGGCCCGGGATCTTCGATGAGATCAAACTGATAGGGAAGATATCGGAATCGGCGAAACCAGGTCACATCCGCCGATGTGTCAGTGCATGCCGCGATGGCGTGACCCGTATCAACCGATTGGATGTCGGTGCCCAGGTCACAGGCGTGCAGTGTCCGCCAGGTGAAGCATGACGACGGTAGTTGACATTCGGAGGCAGACACTTTCTTCCTGTTATTACTCACACCTGCAAAGCATAGTAACTGCCGTTTAACGAAAGTATCTGGTGGCAACTGTTAGTGCGGTTTATACCTAAAACGGTGAAAATAAGAAGAAGCCTGTAAGCTAGCGCAGTCGCCTCCGGCATTTTCAACAGTATTCCAATGGGAATTTTTTAAGGTAACCAGAAGGAAAAATTTCATGGGAATGTGCGTGGATAATTCTACGGTTTGTGTAAGTGTGGAAACGCGAAACTAGTGCTCGACATTTAGCTGCGCGCATTTCCGTTCGATACCAACGATAAGCTACACTGACAAGGAAACTGATAACCTTATTGCAACCCTGCAGTTATAAACTCGTAGCATCCAGTTATCGTTATCAGTAACCTTGCACCGCGGTGTCGTAATATGACATAAAGTGAGTCATAAAACCTGTTTTAAAGGCTTTTATGCAGAGCTGATGCACGACTATCCATGAGGACCGGCCAAACCCATAAAGCAAAAATGCGGTTCTCCGTTAGCGCACTTCTGTCTCATGTTACATGCACTAGACGGCGGCTTTTTGTGAAGGTTGCCCACAAACGACATGAAAAAGCGGCATTATCGATTTTTCATTGGGTCTTAGCGTCAAAATCGAAGCCGTTTTACTCCGCAATGACGTTTTCCACATAAGCAATTTTAAGCGAATTAATTTTTGCCGAGTAAATGCAAACAACAAGAAATGCTGTTCCGATACGCCTGTGTATAAGTTTCTATGAACTAGCTTATCAGGCCGGTACGTAGAGTGCACATGTGATGAATGTACTGCGTAGTCAACCGTCGCCCGAATGATAGGATGTAACAATGTTTGAACAATGGCAGTCGGTTAGCTTAATCTCGCTCCCAGATGATAGCACCCGTCACGGTTTCCGTATACATTGTTACGGCTTATCAGCTTTATCACCCAACGAATGATGTTATTAAAACATGTACTACAGCGCTAACGCAACCGCACGTGCACAAATATAGCCGGTGATAAAGGCTATATTTTATATCTTACCGGTTTGTTTTCTCGAAGTAAATATTTCCGGGTCAAGATGGGTTACCTGAAAAACTATCCCAAAACAAAGAAAACTCTGCAAGTGTTGTCTTTTATCGGCTTGCTCATAGCATCTATTGTGGGTAAGGCTCTAAATGGTTTTTTCTTACGATGCCTGTTTTTTTGTGGTAGCGAATAAATGGAGCCCTGTATCCGGTTTGTTACAAAATCTTTTTTGCTGAAAAGATACTTGGTTCTCTTGTATAAAAACTGTTCATGTTGTGCAGCTTACAAATTACGTTAGGAATAATAAATTTATGGTTTATGTTTTCAAAGTTTTATTTATTTGGATGATTAACAAGGAATATTTTACTGCAGTATACTAGTTAGAACCTGTTTTAGTTGAAATCATCGCATACGCCACCATATCCGCAGTGCTAGCCGCCTACCGTTCCGAACCAGACAACATACATTCAACTGTCCAACCAACAGCGACCAGTACAACACGTCTGGCAACAGTGACGACAACGACTCTACCGTCATCAACTGTCACGCGGCCAAACCCAACTTCAGCTTCCACGTCTAGGTTGTCATCTACGTCCTCGTCTACGCTGTTACCGGTAACTTCCTCGACCACACCTTCGCCAGGTGAAGTTCATCAGTTTACGCCAAGTTGAATTGATGAAATCTGCTAATATAAAGTTGATATTCATTCTTTCTTTCTAGCGCCGCGAATTTCCAAAGAGTTGAGCAACGCCATCAACCGCACAGCGTACCACAATGACACGGACTATTACACGCAATCGCCATCTAATGTTCTCCGAGCAGTGCAAGGTCTCGTTAACAGCGCCTCGCAGTCAGAGAAAATTAGTTTTCCCAACATCGCAGCAATCGCCAATTACTCCTTAGATTTCGCTAAATTCCCCGTAAATTTCAGTCTACCAGTAAATGGCACGACAAACGCAACTAGAAGCATCATAAAAATTGCGGACGCCCTTTTGGGTGCCGATCAGAATAACCATCTAGAAATGCCAATAACACCGGAAACCGAACAAGAAGGCGACCAGACTGCAGCTGCTATTTACCAGACGCTGGAAATTCTTTATGATAAGCTACCGCCTTCGGATGTGCCTTACGAGTTTAAAGACACGCACATTCTATCGTACGCGCATGTTGTTTCTGTTGACAATGAAACACGCTTTGAGGATCTGCTGTTGCGGACCGAACTGGGAATACAAGACGCATCGCAGGGATTACTGACACCGGGCACGAACAACAATTCGGTCGCCAGCATAAAATTATGCAGAGAAGCTCTGAAGAAATCGTTCGAGGAAATCAGTAAGTTGTCAAACAACGTAGCAGCACTTACAGCGAATGCGCTCTACTTGGCAAATTTCATTCATCTTCACAAAGGTTCGAATTAATATGAGAAGTTTTTCGTAGAGAAAATGTTTAATGGTTCGGCCTCTCGCTTTACATTCGCCTTATCCGCCATGCCGGCGTTTACGTTCAGCAAGCATCCGAGCACCAACAAAAGGCTGGAGCGTTCAAGTCCGCTGGTGCTTTTGGCGTCTGTCGGCCATCCACTGAAGGGAGAAAAGATCGTGACCATTCGGCACAATGTCGATAAACTATTCGATGTACGCTGCGTAACTATGCACTACTGATTAAGTACGCATGTGAACAAGACTGTTCTATTACAGTATCCGCACGGAGCGCGACGACGTCACACATGTAACTACCTCAACTACCCCACTAAACAATGGTCTACCAATGGTTGTCAGGCTGATAAATTACCTATCTGGAATGGAACGCTGGTCGAGTGCCATTGCGACCACTTAACGCCCTTCTCGTTACTGCTGACCATGTGCAGCAGTGTCCTCGACCAATCGGAGAGCAGCGACAGCAGCTTTACTCTGGATCTGGCCATTGTCACCACGGCGACGACAATGGTCGCCGCGCTTTGCTCATTGGTGGCTTTGGTCATTATTTTGTAAGCAGTCAGAAAGACGTATAAAAAATTAAGCATTTTATAAAAAAGATAGTTCATTACTCATTAGTACTTCTTAAATTTGGCTGGTTCATTTTTAACTCAAGTTTCAGCAGTTAAATCAGCTATAAAGGGGACCAAACTTTTGGTGTTTTAGGTTGCGCATCTGGTACAAGAACATCACCTTCGACGAGGACACCTTCGCCCGTACCAACCTGTGGATTGTCCTGTTTGGCATGTACTTTTTCGTCATCTTCTCCCAGGCCATGGTCTTCTCGCCGGAACTGTGTGGACAGCGTTTCTGTTTAGCCAACGCCATATTAGTGCACTGGTTCTCCTTGATGAGCATGGCATGGACCGGGGTGGAGACATTCCGGCTCGTGCAGATGACCCGCTACCCAGAGATCTACGCCCGACGGATTCCCATACCCGGCGACACCTATGATGGATTCCGCTTAAAAGCCTGGATCGCTGCAACTTGTTAGTATAACGATTGAGCTACCATACCAATACGTCCGTATTACGTATTACGCTTTAAATCATTTTTCAATGCTCCATTCTTGTTAATGTAGTTATTCCAATACTGTTCCCCATTATCGCCTCCGTCAGTCATATCCAGGGAGTTTCTCACGACTGGTATGGAGGATACGGCTACGCTAGCCACGAAAAATGGTATGCAGATAACTTTACTGCAAGTTATCAAAACTGTAAAACGTAGATCAAAACTGTAAAACGTAGTTTAATAGCCATAATACAAGTTTTGTTTTCTAAACCGTTCCAAAGGTGCTGGCTGGATGGAGACCATCCTTGGATTTCACTGGTGACCTTTATCGTGCCGATATCCGTTATGGCTCTTCTCAACGTAGCGGCCGTGATTTTTTATTTTTATGGTAAACAGTTGCAAAACCGTATTCTTAGCGGAAAAATTAATGCTTGATCGTATCCGTTTTGACAGAAACCAAAATTCGTCAGAAATACATCGCGGGGCCCCAGCGTCTATCGCCGGCATCTAGTAGCGCGTCCAGCAATTCCCTCGCCCAACAACAACTGAACGGGGTTATTATCACCACCACCCTGATGGGCCTGATCTGGCTAAGTGTCTGGCTATCATTGTTCGCCTGCTTTATGGATCCGATCGTGCAGCACGTCTTCGTTCTGTTGCTGACACTAGCATGTGGATCACAAGCCATCTACATCATCGTTTTCCAGGCCATCGCGCCCAAGAAACGGTTCAGCGGTAGCCGGCGCATTTACGCGCAGCAGAGTCCTTACAGTAGCGAGGCGTACACGGAAATTACGAATATTACACGAAGTACCAACAGCAGATTACGCACGACAGGGCGTTGAAGTGCGAATGGATCACCGAATTTTATTTATTTCAGTATTTTACATCACATTGATGTAAAATACATTTTGTTGATTTTACATCATGTTGATGTTGTGTCTCGTTGATTCACATCAGTATATCCTTTTCGCTGGTAGCCACGAGTTCTACAATATGTGACATCATTTCCTGACGCTTCTTAAAAATATTTATGTGCTAAAATACTCCTGTAATAACTTTGTAATTAGAAAAATCTTAACTCTGCAAGCAGAAATTATTATAACCGTGAGTCGTCATCTTCATCAGTGTCCGAGACGCCGGCAGCCGTTGGCGCGATAGTGACTTCAAGCGGCCGTGATGCTTCTTGGCTGCTCCACGGTTATCTAAAAAACCGCTCTCTTGATAGCCGTTATAAAGTCAAATATCTGCATTACCAACCATCGTCTGCGTGGGTTCCACAATAACTTCGGGCGCGGGGCGTTCGGAATCGGAAAGCAGCTCCATATCCAAAGGTTGGGAGAGGTTTCCATCAACCGGCACAAAAATAACCTGGCAATGGCACCACAACGCATATTTGCGGTTAACAAAAAAGCGCGCAAAGGGTTTATTTTACCGTTTCGGTAGTGGGCGCTACGCTGGACGGTTCTTCATTTTTCCCATCGTCTGATGGAGCTGCGGGCTTAGCACTGGACTCCGTCTTTACAACTACCTGCACACAGTATTTTCAATACGTTCTGCTGTCAACTATGCACTAATTTAAAGGCAACAATTTTCTTTTTCCTACCTGTCCCTCGATCAGCGCTTCGGCATCTTCCGGCGACAGCGTCTGGAGTAGCTGTTCCGCTGTTGCCGTTCCTTGCGCGTCCTACAAAAGTCCACTATGATCGTCAAGGCTGGGAAAACAGTCTCCATTACGTACTGTGTGATCTTCATTGGCGTCTTCGCTGACCAGAATGACCTCGGCATCCGACGCTTTTCTCCCGCCAAACATGCGGGGAATCTGCGATATATCCACCGGAATAATGCGGACCACGTTGGATTTAAATATCGGCGTGGAATCACCGAGTTTTCGTGTTGGTCTATCAAAAAGGAACACTCTTTATTAGCACAAATTGTCTACGAATATCAAACCATCTGCAGACAAATTACCCGCGTCGCGCCAAATAGCAGAACCATATGGTAAAGGAGACGAGGATAAACGCAGCGACACCGATGACTGCATACAGGAGATCGTAGGGAGCTATCGAATCCACATACATGAAATATTTTTTAACACTTTCTGCATAACTAAAGCATATATTTCCATACCGTCGCTGGGTTCTGCAAAGCAAGTTGGTCATGATTATTTGTGCAATGACGCCAGCAATTCGAACCTGTACAGTCTTCGGTTTCCGCTAACTGGACGTCCCGCACGAACCCATCATCACACGCACCACCGTAGATCCCGCGCGTCCAGATCAATTAAGCATGTCGCATTCCGTCCGCACGCCGACGCGCCACACGGGTCGAAATAGCACCGTCCCGAGGAATCGTTGGCCAACGCGTAACCGGAATTACATATACATCCGACACCGGTTTCCGGGTGGACAACACAGTGGGCATTTTGTTGACAAACATACCCAGCACACAGATCGATTGTTGTTGTTATTGTCGACTGCGTTGTTGTAGAATCCGTCGAATTCTCAGCGAGAGTATGATGACTAACCAAAACTAAAACAGCCAACGAATATAAAATAAAATACACTGATTTGCTCATTTTTGTCGTTTGAGGCTGTCTGGAAAAAGCTGTTCGATTCTTAATCTTGTGTTGCAGTAACATATGAGGCGAATTAAACCGTTAAGTCTGAATCGCATCGGCGTTATCGATCTATTTGTTCGACATGACCAAGAACAATCACTCATACAATGCAAATTATTCTAAAGTAGTGTCAGATAAGATAAACACAATGCCGTTGCACAGTTAATAAACGTCTGCTGTGGCGATAATACTTCTACTGTTTCTAAGACAAACGTGCGAATGTCCATCTGCTGATAAGCCGGCACGTTGCGCATTGCAAATATAAAATTTAATAACAACAACCAATGCTTAACTAATTTTTAAGTGAAAATCGTAAGCTTTTTTACACCAGTATCACAGTACACACTGCTCTAAGCCTTAAAGTTAATCCACGAGGTTGGCGAGCTGCGTTAGAAATCCAGCGAACACACCACGACACTTCGAATCCAAGGAAGCTGCCCGCAACCGTAAATCACTAGACGGCGCCGTGTCCGGATCGGGCTCCGAAAACTGCATTACGCCGCTGTGACAGGTGACTCTGGTCCACCCGGACGGCAGCCCGTGGGACAACGACCGTCCGCTTTCGCCCAGCAACCACCAGTGCAAGTTACGTAGGTGTGTTCGGCACAGGTACGAACTGTCGCCATCAAACCCGGCCTCCACCGCATCGCTGAGCGCTGGTTGGACGAAAGGCATCGTAACCGTTCCGTTGATGCAGTGCATCATGATGGCCGGGCCGGCTTCGATCTGGTCTGAAGTGGGACGGGCGGTGCAATTGGGCGGTGTCGGACACGTGCAAAAGTGGGTTTCGGCGCTCATAGTGAGGCTTGTTGTGGATGTCGATTCGACAGTGTTTCGTGTAGTCGTATCTAGGGGAGTAACTGTCGGGGAAGGTGAAGTAGTAGTCTCATCTTGGCAATGCTCGATCAAGCCTATATCAAACAGTTGATTATAAACGGCTATCGATGACGAAGATAACGGTCACTTGGGACCAGTCCAAACGTAACCCAGGGATTCTGTACTCGTATAAAACGCGTGCATGCGAAAGCGATTGCACAAGTGGCGCAACAAACCGGTTTTTTTAAAGTAAGACGGTTGGTTGTATGATCTGAACGTGTGATAAAAATTTAAGTCAGCTAGACCATTACCATTTTGTAGCTTCTTGGAAAACAAAAATTCCTTAAATTAGAACAATACATTTTTGGCAGAGGGTAAAACGTGGCAGTGGCACCTGCCAGTGGCACTGCCAATGGCATGGCGAGCGATAAATCCTGGAGCATCTGGCAACTGGCAAACGATAAAATCTGGCAGACGCCGCATAAAATGTGGCACTACCAATTAGCGGGTTCGCATTGTTTGGTTTGTAACTTTATAATCCTTTAAAATATTGCCAACGTATATCATATCATATCATGTAGCCAATTCTACATGTGAAGTGCAAACACCAAGCACGAAGTTCGTGAGCAAACGACGGCAATATCTCAAAAGGTCACGTTGCATTTTGCCGATTGCGCAAAGTAACGCAGTAAAATATTGTCACAGGTCGCATTACAAACACAGTCGTGACACTTCCAGATCTAGAAGGCAAACCGCTGGAATAAGCCTTGCGGTTGAGCGTGAAGCTGTATGATACTTTAATTATTAATCAGGTGCGTTTGATTTATGGATGAATAAACTTCCGATTTTCCCCGCGCAAGCATTTGATGGTTTGACTTGTGATGGCTGCCGCCAGTTAACTCCAGCGATTAAGTAATTATATCTTAACATTTTTGCCAAACCCAACACAAATCCGATATTATAATTTAAGAGAAAAACTAGGAATGCAAACCTTCAGACCAGTTTGGCTGCCTTGTTAGTTTGCTTTTACCATTAATTTTATTTTTTCGATAGTCTTATTTAAGCAGCACTACACTGGAGCACGCAAAATTGTTCGCACATAAACAAATAGCAATTCTAAAATTAATTTAGATTTGCAATACCACTCTCCAAAGGAACCGTTCAGGAACAATGAACAATTGATGCTGTATAGCTAGCTCTGCACTACTGGAACGAGGCAATGATCATAATTATCGAAAACTGCATTAGTGGTACAATATTAGTATTTATGTACTGTATACGTACAGAAGGTGACTAACCTGTTTCGGACCTTTCGGCTGATTTAGATGAGCTGCTTTCTGTAATTCGACAGCCCGTATCCGCTATGTGTTCATTTACTCTAAAAATTATTAGTCTTCAGCACAGTTGTTAAATATCTACTCTACATATTGTCTGAATAATTTGTTTAAAGGATATATCTGTACAGTCTGTCAAAGCGCTGTTAAAGAATAACTGAAATTGAAACATAGTCCATAACGTGAATTAATATCTGGGGGTGCTAACTGGTAATATCAGCGTATCAACATTTATTCGTATCAATACTGCATCCTTACCACTCAAAACTAATAATAAAATATGACTTGGTGCTCATACTTTTGCAGTCCTAATAAAATTAATGTGACATTGTTAAGCACTGCAGTGTTAATTAAACATACCCAGTAATACTTCACGACCATCCGTAACCTTCACGACAAACAGTTTTGGACCAGAATGGAAACTATAGTGTTGTAATTTGTAAAGGGCTGGAAATCATTTCTGCAGAGAAAAGGATGATGAGTGAAGCCGAGCTTTTGCGCCACAATCTACAATAAATTATGTTTTGACTACCGGCCACTATGGTGCCGGATCGGCTCATGCTCGGTATGCGTGCATGGGAAACTTTGTTGTTATTCCAAAAAAATCGGCGCCTTATATACGCGCACTTTTGCATTCACAAGGTAGTTCTATAACCAGCTAACGTTATCTTATTAACGTTATACTACTATTGTTTTGGTAGCTGATCATGACGCCCGTTGCACATAAACAACAACACAAGCAGATGAACCCAATATTATTATTCAGATGGGCATTATTATTCAGATGGGCAGTAGGCTATACTGTGCTCATGTTACAATCAGTTGCGTGAAAATGAATTCATGTTAGTCTGTGTCTGCGTTCTCAATATTCCACTACTTTAATTACGCAAATTTGCTTAAGTAAGAGTAAGTACATAGCTTACATTGTGTTTGCAGCTCTCCTTGCCTTAATTATTACTGGCATTTACATGGATATGTCTTATCGGAAATATCCTGAATGTATTACAGTCAACATGTAGTAGCGCCTAAATTAAAGTTTAAATTAGATCTAAAGCTTCTGCGTTTTGCGAAACTAAAGTTTGTTAGGAACTATAAACTAAAGGTCGTTCTGCTCACTTCCGATATATAAATCGGTGCTCAGTGCCGGCTTTGTTACCGTCTTTTTGTTACGGGAAGTTTAATTGCCGGTACGTGAAACCAGATTCGTACTTATGCACCGTGAACGGTAACTTCCGCTTTCTCAAATTCAGAACACTTTTCGGCATTGTTTTATGACATTTTTATAGCCAAATGATTAACTACAATCATTGGCATAAAGAACGTACGTGCGCGCAACATCCAGTTTGGCAGATAATGGGCGAAATAAAATTCCAAAAGCTTAAACATTTAGATGAACCAAAAGTCTCATTATACCGTAAATCGATCTGCAAATCTTGGACGAGAACACCTATTACCATAAAGATCGTTTTTACGCCGAGTATGGTTTCCACGAATTTTTATAAAATTTAACACAAAACAATATTTAAAATTCGAAGGAAATGGTGGAAACCTGACTCGGTGGTCTTTACGGTAACGGGCAGTTGCAGACAAATTTTGAAAACGATCAATCTATAATGAAACTTTTGTACGACTCTGTGCGCTTAGGATACCGAAAGTTTTTTATCATTACTGCCCCTCCAACTGGATGTTGCACGCACAAATTGCCAGTGTAAACCAATCATTTGACAGTTATTTCGACTGTAGAATGGCTTAAAACAAGAGAAAAAAGGGTTTGGGGTGCGCAAAAGCGTTCTTTTATGTACGCCAATTTTGCACCATGTATCTGCAGTTCTGCACACAGCCCTTAATCTCGTGGACACACCAAGCTCATCTGCTTATGTTGCATCTTTGCCGGATGTAAAAGGAATGCAACGAAAGTCGAGTAAAAGGAGGCCCCAAATGTTGTGTCAGCTCAAGGACAGTAAATAACGGGTACAGGACGCGCGTACCCGTTATATACTGTCCATGGCCAGCTGCAGCGTCTACCGTGATGGTAGCCTGGCAATGACCCGGTGAGCTTAATCGGTGCTGTACCGTCCTAGTTCAGTAGCGAATTTTAGATTTCACAAAACAAGTTACGTCCAGTTCGACGTTCGGGTAGAAGTTGGCGTTACGGGTTGATTGACGTCCGTTCGCGACGTAAGGCGCCGTAAGCCAACGTCGTTGGCTGACGCGTAAAAACTGTCTGCCTTACGTGGATCTGTGCAACGGCTCAGCCATATGTTAGAGCGACAAGCCAGTGATGTTAACACTTTATATGAAAAATGCCAGCGTGTAGTTAAATTCATATGATACTGGCAAAATCCTTCATAATTATACAGTTTACCGAATACTTTACGCCCGCTTATTAAGTTTGCCACATTTTCTGCGGCATCTGCCAGATTTTATCGTTTGCCAGTTGCCAGAGACTCCAGGTTTTATCGCTCGCCATGCCATTCGATGGTAATCAGATCCACAGCGATACTTTTAACGTTTCTCAGGCAGTGGTCATTGTGGTATGCGTAAAAGTTGACGGTTAACTGTTGGCCTTTGTCGCGTGCAACTGGTACCTGGACAAAGTACCACTGGTGCGGAATAACACCGGCATGGTCTTTTTTCGTGCCCCAAATTGGTGAACCGAGCGGATTCACGTAATCGTCAATGGAAACGTGCAAGTGGAATGCGTTCTGGTGATCGAGATAATCCAACACGGGATGATCAGAAAACCGATACCAGAACGAGACACGATATACGGAACACGAAAAGGTGACTACGGCGGGAGTACGAACTGCGAAGCATGGCGACTGCGCCGTCGTTGTCGGGTAGCAAACCAAAAGTTCTCCTGGTGCACCACGATAGAGCCACCATGTTCCCTAGAAATAACCGGAATGTCGATATACTGTAGGTAGGCACTATCTTTAGATAGTGGAACGCTGCTAAATTCCTTTGTTGCTTTTTGATTATTGCCCAATAAACTTGTCAAGGCTAAGCAGATGCCGAAATATCGTTATTAATTTGGGAGAAATGTAAACATAAGAAAAACGGCACATGTCACACAAATTCCCATTATACCGGTCTGGGGACGCAAATCAACACCGCAGTTTGCAGTTGCGTATTTTCGCGTGCGTCGTGCGGACGCATGCAAGAGAACGGTATCATTACCCGTGTCGGTGTAGGAGCCGTTGACGCCCAGGCCCTCATCCAGTATATCGAACTGGTATGGAAACGTCCTGTAGCCGCGGTACCACATATGTGTGGGCGGGTGGGATCATGCCAGAATACTCGCACCAGATATACCGGCCTGGGAAGATATCCCCATATCGCAGGATGCCTTGATCACCCAAGAATAACCATCTAACGACGATGGAACGGAACATGTCGGCCCTAGTGTCACATTATCTGCCCTTTCTTGGAATAGCTTCGATGACCCAGGAGCGTCAGTGAGAGTTACGGCTGCCTTGACGAACGAAGCCAACACTGGAATTGATAATAGGCAGTAACGACATCGTTGCTCAAGAAGGCGCCCAAATCAGTTTAGATTATGGAACCTGTGTACCGCAATTACTGTATGTATGTACTTACCGGTTGCAATGACAGTAGGCAGTAGAACAAACATCACAGCCACCATGTTTTGACGGTGGAAAGAATGAGCCAAAATACTACAAACAGCACGCTAACGCAAGAAATTAAAATTAGTCTGTTGTCAGAAAACCAGAGTACCGATCGTAATGAATCCGTAAGAGCAATGCAAGCCACATTCGGTTCCGAGTTTATGATAAGAGTTTAGCGCCAGATAACAGGGCAGCAGTGCGTATCCCCTGTTTGAAATGTCGTAACAGTGCATATCATCGCCACCATGATAAAACTTGATATTATTCCCGGAACAACGAGTTCCCATTATTTGCTCTACCTTCTGAACAAATGCGGCGTGTCTCGGTTCATTCTTTAAAGCGTACAATACGCATTGTGCTGTGAGACGCGCGACTGCAGCGTGCTTGCAAAAGCGACTACTGAATTACGCCATCATAAAATTAATGTAGCTTACGGTATATCTCGTCATATGCTAGCGTAATACATTTTAACGATGGAGTGATATCTCTTGCCACTGTCAGTTTTCTCCGGTATTAGTACGTCGTTGTATGCCATCGTGGCTCGAATTGCGCTAATATATGCCTCTTACGAGATACGTCGCTCCAAATTTTACACCAATAGAGTGCATCGTATCAGAATTTGACGGCGTGAACCCCAGTACGCCATGGCGACTTGGACCGACACGACTTGGTGATAGCCGTCTTGTGGACGTTTTCAAAAAACCTCGTGCACTAGCTGCTCAGGAGTGTGCGGTCTACATAAAAATATTAGCCAGCAAACACGTGGCACAGGCATCACTAAGGTCAATCTGCAGCAATGGAATGGTGACCACGTCGTTAAATCGGCCAGCAGAACTACCACTAAACCAGCTTTGCGTTGCTTCGTTGGCTCAGTTAATATTTAAAACGACGCTGCTAGATCATCGCGATTTTGACTTTCTTATCGTTGAAGGAGATTCTTGCGATGTAGGTTTGCGAAAGGATGCAAGGTCACAAACGTAGATCACGATTACGATTAGCAGAATCGAGAAATCCCCGAATCATTTTGAGGGGAGAACGGAAACCCAATTTATTACGTTGATCGTCCCGTACATAACGCAAGAAAACGTTAGAAAGAAGAACAAAAACAGAAGAGCTTCCTATAAAGTTTAACAATCACGTTAAGTTGTTCAAAACAGGTGTGCCGTTTAGAAAACACGAAACCAACGTTTAGTGTGGTCACTGTGGTGCACTGCAGTGGGGCCGGAGTCTTGCCTGGTGCCGTGACTGCATTTAATAAGGCAAACGTCGAAATTGTGGTGGACAGGTGGAGCACCCATACCTGGTCAATTAGGTGCGCTTACCTCTGTAAAGATAAGAATACTGCTTTCGCAAGGCGCTCAATAGTCACCAAATAGTTCGGTGCTACAATACGCGTCGTAAATCTCACCTTCTTGTGTTTGGATGGCGTCCAGAGCAATGGTCTTCACGTTGGCCTGACAGTAATCGTTGTGGTTTGCTAAAATGTTGACGGAGAATTCCTTGTAGCTATCGCGGCTAAAAACCGCTTGGCCAAAGTGCCACTGATCAGGCTGAACGCCGCTGTAGTCGTCTGCTGTGCCCCAAATCGCCGCATCTGGAGACCATTCATTGGTACCGCGCACGAAAACCTTGAGAACAAAATCTTCCCGTTCACTGGATCCGATTGTGGGATAATCTGAAAGCCGAAACCAAAACGTTACACGGAAAACAGCATAGGAACTTCGCATGATAAAGGGTCGTCGAAGAACAGCCACCGCTGCGCCTGAGCCGGGTGCCGCCCATAGAGTTCTTGTGGAGCAACGTGACAGAGCAATTATACCACCTGAAAATATATACGAGAACCATTTTCACCGTACTCACAGGCTTCCTCTTAAATTATTGAACAAATCTTCAAATGAGGCAACAACCGGTTTGTGATTTTAACGTTCTGTTAGCAGAGCTTTGGGAAGTCCTCCTGCATATTAGTACATCGAGCATTTACAGATAATTTCACGTCGACTACGTACCGACTTCGTTGTCGGCATCGAAACCTGTGTCCATTAAGTCAAACTGGTAATTTCCGTCGCTGCGCTGCCAATACTGATTTGTTGACGGATTAGAGCAAGCATCCTTTAATGGCCATGCCAGAAAAATCCGACTGGAGAATCGTTCCCATATCGCAAGAGGCAATGGTCGCCAAAAAGCCGGACGTCTGGTCCACATATGTCTGTGCGCATGCCGCCTTCTCCGCTACCGTCTTTCCAACGCTATTAAGTAAATTAAAGGAAGCAGCGTCTCTGGATAGAATTACAGCTGCATGAGCACAGAAAAGCGACACTAAAATTTACGACACACGATTACCAAACTGCGTCGAGGAGCTAAAGCATCGCAATTCGCACCATTAGTCAATACAGTTACCGGAACAGACTCATCCGCAACGATGAAGAAAGGCGCTATAAACTGCTGCATGGCAGCTTCTTTGGCAGTTCCGTTGACTAGCAAAACAACGTCCAATTATCTTAATGCCGCAGTCCTGTCATTCGAAGGCAAATAGTATTAAGGCCGCATTAGCACAGATCTACCGGTATGCAAAGATGTCGAACATAAATGCAGCATGAATGTCAGCATGAATACTGCCTTATCAGACACTTGCCGAACTACAGAGTATATAAAGCCGTAACCACAATGCAAATCACCTGTCCTGTTCTTGTTAATATCACTACAAATAACAACCAACAAACGAATCACATCATCGACAACTACAGCGCGTGGCCATTGCAGTGACTGCACGATCCTGTCTGTCTATGGTATAAGTTAACGAATGGTACGGCATTATCGGGCAACCGCTGGATTTATTTTCCGCTGCCGGCAAAAGGGGTTTCGAGCGCGTGTATGGTACACAGAAAACCGGCAAACAATAAAACCAGAGTGGCCATGTACTTCGTTTGACTTTGATTCGAAGGAGACAACAGTGGGCAGCTTTTTTCAAATAAGTAATCATCTCGCATATGTATGAAAAGTCTATTACAAGATGGCTTCGAAATACAAAAATGTAATCATCAAAAGGCAAAAAGCTAAAAACCGAAAAAATCGATAACAATCGAAAATTCTAGTCACATTCCATAACTGTAGGAAGTTTATTCCAAATTTTAGCGATTTTTATGGTAAACGTAAAAAGGGTAACAGCGATGCTAACGATACTATTCTCGCCAACTGCCACCACAACAATTTTCAATAAAAGCTCGCGCTAACAGATATTAATTGCGCCAAAAAGTCGGCGAAGATGATCCGGCATTTCATGTCCACGGACACCGCTCGAAATTGTAACACCATAGCGTCCGCCGTATCCGGATCCGACTGCGAAAACTCCAGTACGCCTCTTCTACAGGTAACTTCAACCGGCTTGTGTGGTGATAATTGTTTGGTGGCTTTTTCCAACAACCACATCTGCAAGCTGCGCAGATGTGTTCGACACAGGTACGAATTATCACCAGCAAAGACGGCGGTGTTGGCGTCGCTGAGGTCCGGTTGCAGTGAGGGCATGCTGACCTTGCCGTTGCTGCAGCGGGCGATAACCGCCGGGCCGACTTCGCATTGCTCCGATGCCGGAGTTATTGTGGTGGATGGTGGTAGGGCCGAAGTCGTATCGGGTTCGTGGGTGTGTACTTCTGGAGTTGTTGTCAGTACCGATTCGGGAGTGGTGGTGGATGTGGACGTAGCCGATGACGAAGAGGTTGGTGAAGGTCGGCAGTCAACAGGTCCAAACTGTCCAATTACCAGTACCACTACTGAAAAGAGAATACGATTCTAATTAGGCACTCACTAGTCACCCTACGACACAGGTCAATGATCGATGAAGCACGATCTCAATTATGCAGCGCTGCGTTACGCTCAACTTACCGGCAGTTTTAGTGTCAATGCCGTCCAGATCGATGGATGTCGTGTTGCAGGTATCACCGTGGTGAGCGTAGAAATTCAAGGTAAACTGATCATCCGCAGCATATTCCGTTTGGACCCTGTTCCACACGTTGGGACCAGGAAAGTCTGCGTAATCGCTGGTGCTGCCCCAAATCTGCCAGGTCGGGATGAAGCCCGGCGAATTATCTGCCGAATGATGCATAACCAACTCCAGAAAGTAATCTTTATCGCGGTCACCCGTGAGAATCGGCGCAGCAGACATCCGGTACCAGAACGAGGTCTGCAGTTTCACGCATCCATTCGGTCGAAATACGGCCGATCGCAAGATGGCTGATTTCCTGTCTGGGTATGCAGAATTGGGAGCTGCTTTGACGTAGCATTTAGACTGTGCAAATTGGGCGTATATCTTTTCTCCCGAATCGGAAGCCATTTCGTTTGGAAGGATCTGGAACTGGTACGGATACAGCGAATGCGCCCGGAACCAACCAGGACAAGGATCCAGAATTGCGTTGGGGCTGGTCTGCTGGACGCTGTCCAGATCACAGCTCAGCGCATTGTCGGATGGCAGAGAATTCCATGTATAACAATATGCCGGAAACGGATAATCGCAGTCACTGCTGGCTTGAGCTGCTTGTTTTGGTTGCGAAATGGTCAAAGGACTGCAATTTATTTCTGCAAAATGACATTTCTACTATAAATCCAATTGAAATCAGGCTCTGGTAACGCTTCACAAAGCAATACAGCTAAGGCTGGACGGAGCCGGTGCATAGTTCATAACATACTGTATACTTTACGTGCGAATTACGATATGTGCAAATTACGATATGTGATCTAACATATAGCATACTGTCAGATATGACACAGAAGCAGGGAAAATGGGAGCGATCTCCTTTATTGTGTAAGCAATAAAGCAACCAAAAACCAACAGAAAAACCAATGCGGAAAAGCTGTGGAAAAAAGTGGCTGCTAGCGAGCTCGGTGAAAACGTGATAATGCCGCGGCGTGCTGCAGCTGCGTAACAGCTGATACCGCAAAGCATGGGCCATCGCTCGTAGGCTGGGCCACACCTCCAAAAGTGCATAGCGAATGCGCTGATTGGCCAGCGTAGACAAAGTATACGCTGAGTAATCAGAGTATATGAGCGGCACGAGTGGCGTGGCCACCTGCGTGCGGGCGACAGAGCAAGCCACGAGAGGTGTCTACCGCCTCGAGTGAGCGGTCTCTGACAATACTGTATATGCAAATTCCGATTAACTTATAAGTAACCCAAACGTGCGCAGTATTTTATAACCTGCAAAAACGCCCATGAGATAATAGTTAGAAATGTTCTTATTTCGCGTACATGAAAGTGCAGACTTCCCAGAGTTAAACAATAGTGCGGTATAATTCGCGTTATGCCATGTTCTGCTTGCCATAACTACGGCATTTTCCTTACAACACCTACAAATAACGGAAAGCAACTATTGCGGAATAGAATAAAATTAACTGCACCTTGCGGCAACAGTTAATAATTGAAGTAAAGAGTACTTACGGGTAGTACTACTGACAAGAAGCAAAGACATTTGCCATAAAACCCTTTTGTGTGTCATTTTATACAAAAATGGAGAGGACTTCAATCAAGAAATACGTTTGTCCACATTTACCTCATTACTGAATCAGCAAAAATGCTTTTCTAAGTTAAAGATTTTAACGACCTAACAGTCACTGCTAATTTCTCGTTGTGCTGATAAGGCGCTACCCTTTCATTACACGTATGTGGAAGTTAAAGTCGTAAAAGTGCGAAAGGCGAAAGGATGCTTTGTTCAGATTGATAAGCATTGTACCGGTAGATAAACAACCAGAGCATCGCGGCTACCCCGTGTTAGCTAATAGGCTTGTTATCATTGGACTGTAGATTTGAAAACTGGGACGTTTTCGAGGTAGAACAAATTTATTGGTTTCGCTATTAACGTTCTTGTTTCCGATCATAATGCACTTCATTTTGTAGCGTATTGTAGAATCTCGTGAATGTCCAGATGTTATGGATACAGCAACGGAAGTTGCAAAGTAAATGTTGTTGCTATGAATGCACTTTAGCTGGTTGTTTGCTGCTGTCCCGAGCGGACATAATAAAAAGATTATGCCGTTCGTTAAAGACATTACACATTTCGGTTCTACAAAGAAGCGGAGTTTCAGAGCCGTCGATGCTGAAATCAAGCGGCATCGCACCAGTAAAGTTTACAGTCCGTTTCGTAATTTTTGGTTCAACCCTACTGTTGCGAGTACGATTATATGCCGAAAACACCGTCAGACATCAACAAATTTAAGAAAACATTGGTTGGCTAGAATTCACGCTGAACGTTTTTAGTCGGTTATACACAGTCCGTTATACGCTTACTAAAACACGGCTGCATCTTGCGGCTTAAGTTGCATATGTAGGTTGGCGTAACCCATCATGACCCTGTTGCATTGACCGGAAAGCACACATTTTTTATTATAAATTCACCCATGAATCTTCATGTTGAATTGATCTGCGTAAACTAACTATTGTAAACAGCTACCAAAACCAGATTAATTCAATTAAATCAAATGGCCACGACATTGTGTACAACGGAATTTGGGGGTGTCGCACCGGCAACCCGCTTTGCCCACACCGTACGCATTGTATACCGTCAATGCCCAAGCGGTGAAGTTTCCACCTACCCTTCAGATTTTAAACTACTGCAGCAAACATTTCGAAAAAAATAGTTTAAGCTCATCTTATTATTGTTATTCTATTATACGAATTTCAACTTCGGCAAAACAGTCCTTGATACCTCGGGCATTGCCGGCTTAATGAGCCTTTTGGCTGATGCGCCCCCGCTCCAAATGTTTGAAAGCCGACAGGAGCAAAAACGCATCGTCCCCAAATGAAGCTGTATCCCCTCCCTTTATCGGCTTTAGTCTGGTCAGGTGTTGCTTCGGCCTTCACACTGGAATGAGGACGACTAGATCAACAGAGTACACCGGCGCACTGTCAATAAAAGCCCGCAACGGGAGAAGCCGCTGATTAAACACACCAGAGTGCATGTCGCGTCCCATTTCAGGCATCCCGTTCCTTTTTGAGCTTGTCGCGGTAAGGCCGACAGACATTGGTGCAGACCATGATAGAAAAACGCGGCGGCCGATGGATTAATGTTTGTCATTTCTGAACACACATTGCTTCGAAGTGGGATTTACCAGCGAGTAATGTGTCAACACAGTTCGCGCTACGAACATCGGAGTGATCTATGATGATGTAACACGGATAAGGTGACACCATACCGCTTTTTCATCAGTGCGATAGCAAAAGATTGACAACCGCGTCTCTCTGAGCTGGCTATACTACTGGACGTCTTTGGTTGCTGGATTCCCCGTTAGGAACTTTGTTAGTCAAACCAGTTCAACGTGTGGTGTGCGGACCACGGAACAAGCGGATTTATAACGGCAATTGTAATTTAATCATAATTACGCCATTACGTTGAATCGTTTTGCGAAGCTATGGCTGGCGTAGAACCCGTCTCGAAGCATTCAACGTCCCACCCCCCGGATGATGGTAGCGGCGACCTTTCCGGGTCCTCCCGCGACAAAATGGAGGAGCGAGTGGCTGCTGCGGATGATGGCGCCCCTCGAGATCCACGCAGTGAACAGCAGACGGCTTTGTCTGACTCTGATGAAGAACTGGACACACCGCCATGGGTTTCGCTGAAGGGGTTCATCCGGAGCATCAACAGCCATTGGACAGGTCAACAGTTCCTCGATGCCAGGTTGCGCTTTCTTCTATACAACCCACTCACCACCAGCTTAGTCCGACCAATTTCCGGAAAAGATCAATTTGACCTTCACTGTCCGGTGTTGCGCAAGTGTGTCGTGACCTTTCTCATCGTGTGTCTGATTTTCGGCGTGCAGAGCCTGATACATGAACCACTCGCCCACAAACAAGTAGCCAACGCCCGGATTCCCGACATCATCCTGTTTCTCGCTAATTTAACGTTTATATTCTACTGCGTGCGAGGCTTAGCAGACGTTGTGCTTTTTGCGCTGAAAGGACCATCCATGCTGACCTTAGTGCGTTCTCTGCGTGGGGGCCGTCAATGCCGGACACCACTGTTTTTGGTGATGGTGACCTTTCTGTTCCTTGGAATAATGGTATCGATTACGGCGTATAAGACATATGCTTCCCTGTTGCTCGCTAACAACCTGCCGGATAACGGTAATACGCGCAGATTCTTGGTCTGGGACGTCAATGAGAAACTGTTGGCGTACAAATCCATCGTCTTGATCAGCCTAGTCGATTTCATGTCGGCGATTACCGCGGGGTTTTTCGCGGGTATTGTCCTTCTCTTCATATCATCAGGCTTCAGGCCGCTCGTCCACGATCTTCAGCAACTTCAAGCGACGGTTGTTACGGGTATGCTTCTTTTTTACGCTTTTTTGGTATGTTTTTTGTGCTTTTTCTTAGGTTTTTTTATGGCGACAGCGGACGCTGCACAGTTACGCAGTCAGCTCGCAAAGATCCAGCGCTGTCATGAGCAGGAGAAAGCGCTGTCCACGCTATTCCAGCGCATTAGTGAAATATTTTCTCCGGTGATATCCGCTTGGTTGCTTATGGACTTCCTCATCGTTGTCACATACATGGCACGGTCGTTCCTTGTGGTGTTTAAAGATACGACAGCGGTGGTGGAGTTTTGGATGGCACCGATGCCACACATCGTCCATTTTGTCTTTGTCAGCGCCATGGCGAGCCAACCGCAGCGAACGGTACGCTACAAGCCATCTATTACCGGTTTTTATGTACATCAGTTAGTTTGTTCTTGCGTTTAGGGGCTGAAAATAACCGATCTGTGGAAAGAGCTGCAGGAAGACTTCTTCCGCGTCCTCCATGCACCCGCGATTAACGGCCACCCACGATTTTAAAGGTACGTATGTACGCTGCAGGAAGGCTGTTATGCCGTATAAATCTACAGCTCACTATACTAAGGCAGATTACCCAAACTCGTAGATCCGACTGCTAACTGCAACGTTGGTCATTATGGTCTCCAGCGGCATGCATCAGACGGTTCGCCCCATGCTGCAGGGCACGCCGTACCTTCCTTTCGCATTAACGCAGACACCGGCGATCGCTACATGTAGTTACATATCCGCTTTCGGCTGCCTAATCGCCACCGTCGCCTCCCAGACCGACAATGGTGCAGTCCGCACTCCGCACATGTGCCGGCAACGTAAAGCTGCTTCGTAAGCCTGACTGGTAGTTGGATGACACAAGTCATAGGGCACGGCCGTGACAATTAATAATTTGGCGGTGACCTTTGCTTTATCCGCTCCTTATCCATTTTTGTTTACGTTGCCATTTGTGGCGATAAGGATAATATTAATTTAAAAACGGATTGCATATATATTTTCTCTCTTAGTCATTTCTGTTGTACTGTATCTTGCATCTGCAGTGTGCGTGTTACTGGTGTTTAACGAAGTGAGCTGACTTCGGTTTGCGTTGCAAGAAATAATCGTTATTCAGATATGCACCGCGACGACCAGCTGGCCAACGATAAGTGATGGTGGTCTATACGACATATGCCCAATTTAAACGGCCGCCTTCTGTAGTTTCCTATGAAGTACCGCCCGTTTTGAAACGGTTCTTTTACTAGAAAAATGCACGTTTGCGTGCATTGGCAGACCGGAGCGAGGCTTAAACGAAATGTCCACTACGGAAAAATTGTTACGTGAAGCGAGTTTGCCGTTTATTTGTTAAGAATGGGTTTGTAAGTTTTGACAGTTACGGCTGAGACAGTTATAGAATACTGACAAAAGTCCACCACATGACGCAGGCAAGGCAACTGGTAAAATTTCGTTGGCTTTAAATAAAAAAGGTAAGCTCAAAATTTTACAGTTACAAACTTACATTAAGGCGTGACTCAACAAAGATACTTTTACAACGTTTTTTAAAACTTTTTAAAATTTGCTTGTCCACAAAAACCCCATTGGAGCTAGAACGGTTAAGAGATATCGTTTTGAAAGAAGTGGTCGAGAAGGGAGAAAGATTAATAAGTTGCCGACAGGACACTTATTTTGGTATGTAACATTTAAACGAAACCCCAGAGTTACTTCAGTTGCACAAGTTAACGCGAAAGATCGGGAAATGGAGTTAGTGTTAGGGCTGTTAAATCATTTGGTATCAAAATCCTCAAATTTACCAACTATTGGATAAAAATTATGAACGTGCGACCTTTAGAGATAAAACGGTGTCTTAAAGATATGTTTTAAAGGCAATAATAACGACGGGTATGGAAGCGCAGCTAAGGGTTTCAACCTTCTAATGGACAGACAAGGGGGTGAAGTTACCGGGGTTTTATCATGCAGATCATTGATTTCGCAGAATATTACCAAAAGGTTACTATTTCAGCGATGGGGTCTTAGGAGAAAAGAAAAACTGTCAGAGGAGATATTTTTGCCGGTGTCAGTACTGCCGGTAACCATTACGAATTACGAAAACACCTGAGATGTATTTCACATCGACAGTTATTCGTTACTTGCGTAACGGACAAAAAATTATAGGGTGAGACTATCGGCAACGTTTTCACCCCCGCTTGTTAGAGCCACCGACTTTTGCACCCTATTTTAATACAGGCGCCCCATTTCTATTAGATGGATCTTGAACCTCGTTTATTCAGGGGAAAGGCGCACATTTTATTTTTTTTCCGGAGGTGTAACAAAGATTTTTTGACAGTTTTTTGGTTCCCAAAGACGTTTTGTCTCATAATATTATCGCTTATGAGACAAAATAAACTGATCTGCGCCATGCAGTACCTGGACACATAGTGCCTTTACGAATCGTTTAGGCGGAAGTTCTGCAAGTTTGGACATACAAAACCGGTTTGCACACCCTTCTGGCTTCAACCTATCTCTGCCGGGTGTAATGTGGCGGCAAGTTAAACCGTATGAGCAGGCGAAATTCCCAAAGGTAAAGAAAATTCGACCTTAAAACTTAGCAGCGGACAATGGGGGCTGCCTCTGGCTTTCGCACGCGACGGGGTGCAGGAAATAAATTAATCGAGAAGGGGTGCCTGTAGCCTAAGTGGGTGCAAAAAGGGTGCCTGTAGGCATTCTAAAATTATATCTACAAGAACTTATTTCCGAGCAGGCAACAAAACAACATCCGCGGACGGACGCCGCGGCTTGACGCACTGTCACACCGCGACGTCACGGCGTTACTTTCGTCACGCAGTTCCGTAACGGACAGAAATCAATGACTGCAGTGCCCCTCTATAGAGCCGTTACGTCACGGTGGCCAGCGATGACGTCATCGCTGTCGGCTGCGGTGACGTCACACTGTTACTTCCGTAACGCACTTCCGTAACGAAGTTCCGTAACGGACAGAAATCAACGAATGCATTGGTGTTGAATTAAGAGGACCTTCGCTTCGCTCCGGTCGACAATCTCAAGATACAGTATAGTTTTTGCCTTCAAGCTGTACTATTTACAGCAACGCTGCTATAAGATGGTAATATTTGTTATAACAGTAAAAGCAGCAAGAAGACGTACGAGATAAAGACGCTTGAGTTGAATTCTGGGCCGGATGTCCTAGACCGGAATCGGTCATCTTCCGTTGCAGTTCATCGTACTGGCTGACATACGTATCAATATTAGGACCAATAGAGGCTGAACTCGTGTCTTTCGTTTCTGAACTGTCACTCGTTCTTAATGAGCCAGATACTACTATTTTGTAACAGCGCTGTTTATGGATCAAAGTGGTCACGTAAAACTATACAAGCGAAGACTAGCTATCATGTGTTTGATGTCCTTGCAGTACTGACAATTTACAGATACGTATTCACTTAGATATTATAACTGACCTTGCCCGAGTTCAGCGCTATGTACGGTATGTCCGTATGTACTCTGCCATTGATTGCTACGTTTGGCAGCCTCCTTCCTTTTATAATAGCTAGTTGTTGCTCGGTATTAGCGCTGTTGTGAAGATATCAAAACCTTGCAATACTTACGAACGTGACGGTGTTACCCATAATCATTACAAACATACGAGCAGAGAGTTACCATCTTCATTGGCACAGTCATCCACTCGGGAGTCTGAGCTTCTTGGAACACAAAGCGCACGCGCTGCGGTTGACGCATCAGACAATGGTGGAACGTCAGTCTAATCTACGTTTACTACGTCTACGTTGCCAATCTACGTTTAGTTTCCCGCTGTCGGCTGTCCTATTGTCGAAAAGTAAACGCTATTCTCGCTAAAACCGTTTAGCAATATTTACAATAGAAAGCCAAAAAAGCATCTATATCTCGGCTCTTATTTCTTATCAGTTATGACTGCGTGTACGAAAGATACAATACAACGATACCGTACGCGAAAGCTAGATACATCATATATGATTTCTGTATTTACAGTATTTTATCATAGCTGCGGAAGTATTTGCTTTATGCGGCTGCAAAGATTACCGCTAGCACTTAGCAGCATAACTATTTTCTATGATCTTGACGATTTCTTAACCTGGGAAAGTCTTAACGAAAATACTGTAATCAACCACCAATTGCACTTAGTAATTGTGAAGGCGATCACATCATCATTAATGTTCACATCTGTCATGTATTCATAAAAATACAACTTTACTTCATCATCGCCGGCAGTCAACTGATGGTCAAATAGTGACCTGCGTACGTACATCTAGGTTGGCAACCATACCGTTGCCAACCGCAAGGTTACAGTACATCACACCTTTCTTTCTTATAAAAAAAAAGAAAAAAAAGGTTATGACCTTAGTCGTACAAACGTACAAATTAATACATCAACATGGTAAACTTTACTCGCCGGCGCTTTCCATGCGTTCATCCCGACTGGAGCTCAAAGTTACAGGATGTCGTATGGCCTTCGCTCCTCGGCGGAAATGTACTTGTTACTCGTTCGCTCGGGACACTTCCGGGACGAATGCCCTTTTCGTCACAAGTGTTGCACCGCTTGTCGCGGAAGTAACAGCTGCCCGGGGAATGGTTGCGGCGGCCACACCGGTAACACTCTTTCCCGGCACCCTGACTGTTCTTCCTTCCTTTCTGGGAAATCTTGTAGACTTCAGTTTTCATATCGTCCATTTGCAACTCTTTTCTGGTCATTTCTATTTCAATGGCAGCATTCAAGGCGTCCTGAAGTGTTGCCAACGACTTTGTACAGAGCTTCTTCGTCGCCACTTCATCTTTCAGCCCCATGACGAATGCTGCAATCATATTCTTCTCCCTTACGTCGTCCGGAAAGTTACATGTCTCCGCCTTCGCCCGAAGGTCACACGAGAACTGGATCAAGGTCGCTTCTGGCTTCTGCTTTGTACTAAAGAATTTCACCCACTGGGCGATCCACATTGTCGGTACCGTGTAAGCAGAATCCAGGCGTGCGTATAGGTCGGCGATCGGTAAATCCATCGGTTCTTGCGGCTTGCACATCTTTGCCAAAAGTTCGAATGGCTCCGGACTCAGGGCATCCAGAAGAAAAGCCACATGGTAATCCGTCGGTACTTTGATCAGGAAGAGATGATTCTTCAATCTCAGCTTCCAGTACGGCCATTCCATCGTGGCGGGGTCAAACGGCACAATCCTTAATAATTGTTGTCCCTTTCCCGCTTCCGCTCCGGCAGCAGCAGTGGCTGCGGATAGTGATGGAGGCCGTGCGGCACTGCTAGTATCACCCGTAGGCGTAGACATAGTTGCCTTTTAAATGATCTTAGGCCTTCACGCCAATGTCATGTATTCATAAAAATACAACTTTACTTCATCATCGCCGGCAGTCAACTGATGGTCAAATAGTGACCTGCGTACGTACATCTAGGTTGGCAACCATACCGTTGCCAACCGCAAGGTTACAGTACATCACAACATCCTCATATTACCACTTTCTAAAAAGATTTGAAGAGAAAGCCCCAACTGTGGTAATCCTAAATACATAACTCCTTGCGAGATGATGGGAAATTGCTACCTGGGTTGCGCGAGGAATCGTGTGGAATGGACCCAGTGTTCTGAACGTTATTATAATTTCTAGAACAAATATTCGCAGCACGATATTTTCCAATGCACTTTGTGATGCACAAATCTATCGTGTTTTTACCTCAGATGCAGCTATCAATATCAATGCTTTCGAGGCCGCTTAATTCCCTGTTGACTCATCCCGGCATGTGTGTTAGATACCTTTCCACATTCTTGTTATTCGGTATGGCTCTCTGTTCCACAAAAATAAATTCAAGGATAAATTATTGGTTAAACCGCACATGTTAGCGATGAAGGACTTGCAAATTTAAGCACCCGTGCCGAGTTTACAGTGCTCCCTTTTTCTTAGAAATGGTTATGCTATTTCGTTCCTATATCAGCTGTATCACATACTTCTGCTGATTATTGCAGCTGCTCTCTCAGTTGACCAGCCAGTCGTATCCAGCAATGCTTCAGCGGACCCTCTGCTATCAACAGAGTGTTATTACAGTATGGAATTGCTGGCGTCATGCGATATGGGGACCGAAGCCCAGCCGGACAACTCCAGCGCTGTCATTGAGGCCTGCTCGCAACAGCCGGGAGGTACATGGTATCGTCGTAACTACAACGATACCGGCATCTATAGTCCCTATGGAGTCTATCAGTTTGATTTAATTCAATCGGCCGACGGTTTCGACAGCGAGAGCGGTACGTCTTGTTGGGCACTGCTTTCCCGTTGAAACTCAACGTTCCTAGCGCTAAACAAGGTGCCAAACAAAGTGTTCGCCTTTACTGTTCTTAGATGGCGTGATGGCTGTTTCGCGTTGCACCATGAACCCAACTTCAGACACTTCACCGGTGGATGCTTCTTCCTACGATCTTATGGCGTTACTGACCACCGCGCCAGTTTATTATCCACCAGAACCTGATCGCTCTTTGATGCTCTCGTACTGGTATCGCCTGTCTTTCGGGGCAGGAAATATTACCTTGCTCGATGATATGCTCAATGTGCTCATAGATTATTACGATTACCAAGGGAATATGGATCAAATGATCAGTATGTGGGTGCTTTGGGTGGGTGAAGCTTATGAATCTCCCACTCCTGACGAATGGCATTACGGGGAGATAAACGCGTTGGACTACAAACCCCATGACTGGAATGCATCAGGAAATATTTCTCCGTTTGTGAGTTTTTCTTTCCTTTCACACCACACAGGGAAATGTCAGCCGGATCAGCCCGGTGCTACAGCCTTAGCGCTGGATGCCATTGAAATTTTTGAAGGTTAGCAGTAGACGAATTTTTAACGTTATGCTGCTGAAAATTTCGATTAGAGTGCTTCCGAGTTACGACTCCGTATTAATTAATTACAATAACCCTTAGTTTTAGTTGGGTTACTTTCTTTTACAGTAAATAATTGTACAAAGTCAACCATTGCACCCACCACGACAGCACTCTCGACAACCAGAAGTGCGGTAACGTCTCCAATAAATTTATTGTCTTCTGTTTCTGCGGAACTGCAGAAAGTCACCAATAAGAGCTCGTATCCGGACAGCATCATCTACTATTCACAGTCTCCACACAACGTGCTCAACATCATTCAGACAGCGGTCAGAAATAACTCTGTCTACCTCGGTTTCCACGATGTCTTGACAATCGCAAATTTTTTCCACGAGTTTGCTGAAACCGAAATACCACCAGGCTTACCGGAAAGTGCACAAGAAAAGGCAGTTGACGCACTTCTGGAGATCGTCGACCAAATACTTATCGCGGAGGTGACGGGAAAACTGAAAGCACCGGAAACCAACAACGATGGGTACGACGCGGCAGCGACCATCTACCAAGCACTGGAAGATGTGTACAAAAATTTGCCACCGAACGACGAACCATACATGTTCAACAGCTCGTTTTCTGTGGCACATGTCCATGCAGTGCTGATCAATGGTTCATCCCGGTTTGAACAATTTAATTTCACGACAAAAATGGAAGTCAATGGGTTCATTCGAGAAACGGGAATTACGGTTTTGGCGGATGGCAAGTCCGCATCCGTGGCCAGTATTGAGTTTAAAACGGAAGCGCTGCAAGAAGCCTTTGAAGATTTACGTAAGCTACTACAGTTTTTTTTTGCTCGGTTGATTTTATGGTCACTCTACGAGTTCGACGGGAAAATGCACGACTTACTAATTTCGTAATACGCTAGACTCTTCATCGAAAATTAGTTCAGAATAGCTAAGGATTATGTAAGGAAACTAATTCTTTTAACAGGACAAGCTGTGAATGCGACACCAGCAAAGTTCTCCCTTTCGCTGTCTGCTATGCAGTCATTCAAATTTGCTAAGTACGTTCCAACAAATGAGCTGAGCGAAAGGTCAAGCCCGATAGTTCTACTGGCATCATTGGGCTACAGACTTAATAGGAAAGATATAATCACCATTCGACACAATGTGGATATTCTGTTTGAAGTAAGTCGTAAAGACATTTAAATACGTTTATTGTATCTGCGCCGCACACTGTAATGCTTTCAGTACCCATCCGGAGCAAGGAGGCAACACCAATGTACCTCCCTCAACTATACCTCAAAGCAGTGGTCTGAAGACGGTTGCCGGATGATTGCTAAACAGGCCAAATGGGACAGTACAACCGTGGAATGCACCTGCGATCATTTAACGCCTTTCTCCCTACTGTTGACGCTGTGCGGCAGTTTGTCGAGATCATTCATTCCCAAGGATAAACCACTTACACTGGATTTAGCCGTTGTGACGACAGCAACGACAATCGTGGCGGCAGCATGTTGCCTTTTTGCTCTGTTCATCGTAATGTGGGTAGTATTGTTTTCTTGTTTGGGTGTATCGTATTACATATTTCCTTAGAATTTTCGGAAACTGTGAAACTTTTGTAGGGCCAGAATTTTGCGGCGTAGTGTTATTTGCGACGAAAGTGACGTTTACACGGATGGGTTTGTGGATAGCGCTGTTTGGAATGTATCTCTTCACGATTTTTTCCCAGTTAATCGTTTACGCGCCTGTATTGTGCGGACAAAAATTCTGCCTGGCAAGTGGCATCTTGGTGCACTGGTTTGCGCTGATGAGCACTGGATGGACAGCGGTTCAAACCGCTCAACTTATTCAAGTCATATTGTATCCCGAACAGTACGGGAGACGACATCACCTGCCAGGAGACACGTATCATGCATTTAGAGTGAAAACTTGGTTTGCCGCGACAAGTCTGTGCTGTTTCTTTGGTTTTCTGTACGCCTGTAGGCGCGTTCGGCTAACTGTATAGCTCTTCTTTATTATGTTGTAGTTGTTCCCAGCGTGTTTCCGCTTCTCGCCTCCATGCCGCATTTTTCTGAGACATTTACCATATCTCTTGGTGGTTACGGTTATGCAGACCATGAGAAATGGTAACAAAAACCTTAATAATACTTTGCGCAGTCGAAACATCCCAGCGATGTTTCGATTTCGATGCAGAATCGAAACATCTTTGTGTAGTGCTATTTGCGAGTAGGTGTTGGCTGAACGGCGATCATCTATGGATTCCCTGGGTGACTTTCATTGTGCCACTATCAGCTGCCGGGGTACTGAACATCGCTGCGGTGCTAGCGTATATTTACAGTAAGTCAAGCCAGCCTATTAAATTTGCGCCAACTTCTTTTCCTGTAAATTAAGAATTTCGTTGTGTGATGTTTCTGCTTTTATTAGCCTTGAGGAAGCGTCGGAAAGGGCTTTCAGTCGGTGAAAATGCTGAAGGGAAAGATGCCGATTCTGTCAAGCATAGGTTGTACGGCGTGATTATTAATACCGGTTTGATGGGGTTGATCTGGTTGAGCGTGTGGCTGGTGCTCTTCTCCTGCTTCGTTGACCAGACGCTGCAGTACATCTTCGTCCTATTGCTGACTGTCGCCTGTGGATCGCAGGCGGTGTACATTATCATCTTCCAAGGGATAATTTCAGGTCGGAGTTCTAAGAGCATAAGCAGCAATAAATACAACAGTCGGATGTGAGCCACGGCGTGGGTATAATTTCCGGACTTTAACGGCTATAACGGGATCGTTTACTATTAATGTGCCATGGTGGCCAGTGAGATTATGAGCTGATCCAATGTGTTTTTGTTTCCAAAGTCGCTCCTGTTTGAACAGGTGGCATTACTAACAATATGCCGCAAGACTTTGTTTTTGCCTTCCTTTAAATTTCAGAAGCATGACTGCTGGCGCCCGTACCAGAAATTTTGGTGTGTTGTTAATTACTATTAATTAATATTCGTTTGTTTCACCACCTTAGAATTCAAGATTTCACAGGAATCGAATTAAAAAGCGAAAAGCTTTTCAAAAACCGGTGGCATACGAGAAAACCTGTTTTCCGTGAAACAATCAAACTAGTTTCCAATACACAACAACACTCGGAATAGCCGGGCGCACGCCGCAAGCCTGCGTCGAATTACAAGTTATTGCTAAACGATGACAACTGCGTTAAGAACCCAGCAAAAATAATTCGACATTTTAAATCCACCGTAGCCGCCCGGAATTGTAAACCGGTGGATTGTGCAGTATCCGGGTCGGACGCGGAAAACTGCAGCGCTCCTCGTTGACAGCTGACGGTGGTGAACGAGTGCGGTGGTTGGTGAGGAACCGTCCTCGCAGCCTGTTCCAGTAGCCATGCATGCAAGTTGCGCAAATGTGTTCGACACAGGTACGTGTTGTCACCATCAAACACGGCGTCGCTGGCCTCACTCAAATCAGGGTGCACTGCGGGCATTGTAACTGTGCCGTTGGAGCAGCGAGTGATAATGGCGGGACCGAATTCACAATACTGTGATACGGGAGTGACGCTGCTGGACTGCGGTGACATTGGCGTTGTGAACAGTTGAGTGGGCGGTGCTGTGGTTTCTTTAGATTGGGAAGTGGTTACTGAAGTCGGAGTGGTCGTCGTGCAGAAACCCGAGCCATAAGGAACGCTCACCGCTGTAAGGAGATTTTGCTTCGTTATGAAAACAGTTAGCATGCTGTGAGACGATATTTATACCTACCGATACATACGACATTCACCACCATATTTTACCGTTCTCAATTTGAATGGTATCCAGAGCAATGGTTTTTAGGCTCAGCTCACAGCCGTCATTGTGGTATGCTAGGAAGTTGACGGTGAACTGTTCGCCTCTGTCGCGGCCGAAAATCGCTTGGCCAAAGTGCCACTGATTAGGATTCACGCCGGTATAGTCGTCCGCTGTGCCCCATATGTGATCATTAGGAAAGGCTTGTCCATTGTCTTCCACGAAAACCTTCAGGACGAATTCGTCCCGTGGATTAGCTGGATTAATTACGGGGTAATCGGAAAGTCGATACCAAAACTTGACACGGTAAACGATACAGGCGGTGGAGACGATGATTGGTCCACGCAGGACAGCCACGGCTTCCTCTCGGCCGGGTGTTAACCCGGTCGACCTCCTGGTGCAACGTGACACGGCAAATATGTCCCCTAAAAATGGAACAACGAATTCTGTGTGGTGTACTTGTTTGTCGTTACCATAATATTTCTCTTCTGAGACTTTTGTGCTCGTAATTTAAGATCTCGTACTCACCAGCACCGGTGTTGTTTTTGAGCAAATCAAACTGATATGGGTAGTATCTATAGCCGCGGTACCAAGTAACAGTTGGAGGAGTAGAGCACCCCATAATACCGGTGACAGAGTTATCTGCTTGAGCTACCGTCCCCATGTCGCATGACCTTATGGTTATCCATCCATAGCACGGCCACGGAAGTGGACAATTGCTGATGGGTATCAGGTTGCTCGTGCTGTTGTCAAAAGTAATCGTTGTTTCGGTACTCGGAGTAGTATCTGGTAAGAAAACGGAAGTCTCGGTGGTTTCAGTGGTTGGGAAAACCGTTGTAGTGGCGCACTCGGTCGGCACTGGAAAACAAAAATTTAAACCTTTCTGGGTTAGTCAAGTCGAAATCTCAAGCCTAAAAAATTTTACTCGCTATTCTCGTGTCTATGCCGTCCAAATCGATCCATGTCGTATTGCAGGTGTCACCGTGATGCGCATAAAAGTTCAAAGTGAACTGGTCGTCCGCATCGTATTCCGCTAGGACCCTTGCCCACACATTGGGCCCGGGAAAGGTGGCGTAATCGCTGGTGCTGCCCCAAATCTGCCAGGTCGGGATGAAGCCCGGTGCATTATCTGCCGAATGATGCACAACCAACTCCAGAAAGTAATCTTTATCATGGTCACCCGTAAGAATCGGCGCTGCAGACATCCGGTACCAGAAAGAAGTTCGCAGTTTAACGCATCCATTCGGTCGGAATACAGCCGATCTCATGGTAGCCGACTTTCTGTCTGGGTATACGGAATTGAGGGCGGCTTTGACGTAGCATTTGGACTGCGCGAACTGAGAATAAGGTATCCCTATCGTGTTTGGAAGGATCTCGGACCGGTACGGATAGAGTGAAAATGCCCGGAGCCAGCCGGGACAAGGATCCAGCAGTGCGTTGGGACTGGTCTGTTGGACGCTGTCAAAATCACAGCTCAATGTATCGCTGCCGGTAGGCAGTAAAGTCCATTCATAACACTGTTCCGGATATCCGCAGCTACTCCTGGTTCGTAATGGAGGTTCAGGTTCCTGTTGTGCAGGTGCCAAGGGACTGCATAGAACGTCTAAAACATAGCAATAATGCATAAATATATTTATGCATTTCCGTTGAGGATTAGTATATTTACTGGTAAGGCAGAATGTAGAGAAAACAATTCTCCTTAGTATTCTGTGGTGCTCCATCTGTTCACAAGAATGTTGAAAAATCTGTAACTGGGACATCACTAAAGCCAGTGTCATAACTTTAATATTATTCTATCATGTCGTCAAAACGCGACGTTTCCTTTCGCCTCTTATCGCAACTGCAAGGTTTTTCGTCATAAGCCTTTAGAAACAAATGTCATAAAATCGGTCTCTCAACTAATGGAATAACAATTCGCAAACCAGATAACAGGTGTGCTCATCATAAAATCAGCTTTTATTATCTTCCCGTTGTATACAGACTGTAGCACAGTGGGACGGCAAGTTGATACCGATAAGGATAAAACTGAGCCAGTACGGTCACACAGTTTAAAAAGATCATTCAATCGCGGGACAAAACCGTTGCTACAAAACCGGTTTACATGCCCATGCGTAGCAACGCCAATTGTGTTAAAAATCCGGCAAAAATGTTTCGGCATTTTGCATCCACCGATGCCGCCCGGAACTGCAAACCTGTGGACAGTGCAGTGTCCGGGTCCGACGCTGAGAACTGCAGCGCTCCTCGCTGGCAGTTGACCGTGGTGAACGAATTCGGTGGTGGGTGAGGAACCGTCTTCGCAGCCTGTTCCAAGAGCCATGCATGCAAGCTGTGCAAATGTGTCCGACACAGGTACGTGTTGTCACCGGCATACACGGCTTCGCTGGCGTCGCTCAGCTCAGGTTCCACTGCGGGCATGGTAACTTTGCCGTTAAGGCAACGGGCGACGACGGCTGGAGCGAATTCGCAGTGCTGTGCGGTGGCCGGTTGTGTAACGGTTGTGAACGCAGCCGCGGCTAAGATAAAGATCAACAGACTCTACCAAAAAAACTACTACCGCTATTGATGGAAGGCTTGCAGAGAATAACATTATAGTACCTAGAGTAGTGATGTCCGGCAAGGCAGTTGCGCTCACTTCCTGTATGGTAGACACTGATGGCATTACAGTACAGGAAGTCGATGGGACTGCAAATCTTGTTTTTAAGACAAGCAACATTTTTGCATAAATAACCGCTGTCAGATACACAATATTTATGGCAACTACCTGCTATTTTGGTGTCGATGCTGTCTATATCGATGGACGTGGTGTTACAAGTGTCACCGTGATGCGCGTAGAAGTTGAGAGTAAACTGATCGTCTGCGTATTCTGTTTGGACCCTTGTCCACTCATTCGGACCGGGAAAGGCAGCGTAATCACTTGAGCTGCCCCAGATCTGCCAGTTCGGGATGAAACCAGGTGCATTATCCGCGGAATGGTGCACTACCAACTCCAGAAAGTAATCTTTGTTGCGGTCACCAGTGAGGATCGGCGCAGCAGACATCCGGTACCAGAACGTCGTTTGCAGTTTAACGCATCCATTCGGTCGCAATACAGCTGATCGCATTGCGGCTGATTTTATATTCGGGTAGACGGAATTGGGAGCAGCTTTGACGTAGCATTTCGACCGCGCAAACTGGGAGTACCGCTTCTCTTCGGGTACGGCGTCTATTTCGCTTGGAAGGATCTGGAAACCATACGGATACAGCACATACGTGCGGAACCAGCCGGGACAAGGATCCAGAACTGCGGTGGGGTTGGTCTGCGGAACGCCGTCCATATCACAGTTCAGCGCATTGCCGGAAGGCAGAGAAGTCCAAGTATAACACTCTTCCAAATAGTTGCATTTGTTTTTGGTTTGCCTGTTAAGCTCCGGTTGTGATAGTGCCAATGAATGGCAGAAAATCCCTACAACATAGTATTACTGTAGTCATGGTTGGTCTGCTCTAGATATCTAAGTGCTACTAGCGATGATTCGTTGTTACCGGGAAAGAAGAAGACGGAGAAAAAGGCTTTCCATGGCATTATGTGACGCTCCATGATGCTTTCATGGAAATGTTAACAAAGCGTTAATTGTTGTAGTACTCGCTGAAATCGCAAGAAATGTCTTTTATCGTGTCAGTGCAGGAGATTTTGTTTCCCCTCTTATCGTAATGGTAAGCGTTTTCGTCATAAGTCTGTGGAAACAAATGGCATAAAATCGACTTCTCAGCTCCATCGATAACATTATTTCCTGTCATTAGATACTCGTAGGTCGTAGAAGAAGTGCACATCATAAAATCAATGATTTTATTATCATTGCGCGAACAAATTGGGACGGAAGTTTGATAAAGTCCAGTCAAGCGTGATTGTTCCACAATAACTATTACGTTTAAAGATAATGCAGCAATTTCCGCAACCAGGTAAACTCAAGGTATATGTGATATAGCACGTTATTGTCATAATACATAACAATTTATTGAATCTCAACACGATCGATTTCGTAATTTGACGCTGCAGTTAATAAGTGGTGATCATTTTTCCAAAATGTTAGACAAAACATTTTGCTAATTTTTTAATGTACGCATTTTAGATTTTCCTGCTTACTCGTACAATATTGTTTGTGTTACTTTTTACTGGTTTGTTTCAGTATGCACCAAACAGATTAATTTTTGAAAGAAGTAATTATATTAAACACATGAATGACACTACCTGCATTTTGTTTTATGTATTTGCAAGCTAAAAGAACACGTATCACTGGCAAGAAGCCGCTTCAAGACAAATGCGCTCCGATGCACTGGGAATCTAAGAAAGGAAACACCGACCTGTAGAAATCAGAATGTCGGAACCGCGTCAAGACTCCTTTCTTTTCCTTAGTTATCAGTAATTAACGTGCGTTGTTACTGAAATCTCTACAATCAGTTTCGATCGATCCTTACAAGTAACGATTTCCTTATGGATCAATGATTTACTTTGCACTCGCACCGGAAATAAAGAGATCGTCTGCTTGCGTATAGCTTTCTCACTGCACACTACAGTATTATGCTGCACCGCAATGTATTTATTGCAGCGAACAGTACAGAATCAACTAAAACGAAAGGCTGATTGCTAACAAGAGTAAAAAAAATAAGCTAAAACAGAACAGTAGTTTAAGAAAACACCATCACCTGCCATGAACATGATACCTTACGTAAGTATGATAACTATCATTCTGCACTTTTTTTATATTTTGCTCAGTTGTGTTTTGTTAATATTTCATAACGGTTTAACGGAAAACATAACTGTAATACTGAAATGTTATTATTCCACTCGCCGGGTGTGGCGGACGCATCAGCCTTTTGCTTTTCAGTTGGATTGATTGGACATAGCTTAATGTGTGGCGTCTCGAGTGTTCACAGGAAAGCGTATCCCATGTGGCTGACACTGGGAGCCCAACGGCAGTTGCGCTTAACCGGCACTTGAGCGCCGCGAAAGCCTGGGTTACCGTCCGGCTTAGTGAACGCAGCTTCTGGGGTTCCAGTGAAGCGGCTCACCGGTTGATAAAGCAGCAGCGGCGCCATTTTGCCGGGATATAAAGCCTATTAAAATGTACCTGTTATTACAATGTAACAAGAGCGTCTCAACACGAATTCCGGAATCAGCTCGTCATGGATCGATATTGCGTCTCTAAATACGACGGCTGGGAAATTTATGTAAAGGTCACAAAAGTTCACACTTTCCCACATTTTTCAGCTTTACCGGTCCTGCTTAGATTTTATCATCCCAGTTTAAATAAATTTCATCAGAAATAAAACATCAGAATCGGAATAACGATAATAATTTTTATCAAGCCACTTCTGCCGGAAACGCTCCGTCGGCAACAAAATCGTAAACAAATATTTTAACACACGTGCGTTTAAAGCAGTCACAAAACTGCTAGAAAGCATTAAACATCAGTTCCTTAAAAAGAACAAAATGATTACGTGTCTTACCACAGTTTTTCGATGCCTGGTGTGTTGAGCAGAACCTTTCAGCGACGGCAAGACTGCGCTGGAATGTCTTAGCGGATTACGGAACCATGCCCGTCCTTCGCACCTCCACGCTAAACAACCAAGCAAAATAATCAGACCGGCACTGCGTGTGCAAAATAAGCGAACTGGTGCCATAATATGCTGACAAAATCTGTTAGACGTTGACTTCTACCGCGATTTTATCTAGAAACCTGGGATTTATCAGCAGATTCCGCCGCGCTCAAATCTGCCAACAATCCAGCCGAGATTGCCGGATACCGGAGCTTATTAAGCTTTGCAAACAATCCGATTAATACAAGTGGTGTGCGCGCTGTTGAGATAAGTGCATCACGTGAACGGGATGAAAGCATCCGGACGTAGCTGAAGCATCTAATAACCGGAAAGACGTCAAACCGGCTTTGTGAAGAGGCTTTCGTTGCCGGTAATTAACCGCCCAGTTTGACGCAACATTTCAATAAGCTAAACTGAAACAAAGAGTGACCTTATTGTCCTGTGCATGGTATATGAGACCGGCGATGCATGTAACATACCCGGTCGCTTCGCACGTCACTGTAACAAGGAAATGCGATCAAGCAAACGAAAACGATTTTTACCGAGTATCACTGCGCATTGTCTGTTAAGCCGAAATTTGAATTTTTCGTCGCTTGTGCAATTTTTCGGCTCCGTCAAGCTGAAAGTACAGTGTAAACAGCTACGCATGGATTGCTTGTGCGGATGCGCTTCCGATAAAAGTACCAGGCACGGTGATCTGACTTTGGATAAATGTTTCCGTTCACCAAGACGGATTTTATGACTTTTGTGCGTACGTAAAAAGAGACAGAATGTGGTTAATCGTACAGTCCTTCGGTTTCATGAAAAGCAAGACGTTCCAATTACAGACATTATATTTTAAAAAAATATTTAAAACACATATCTATTACATTTGAAACCAACGGCTTTTTAAAATCTGGAATAAGTGCTGTTATTAAGTGCAACAGATTCGAAGCGTATTTAAAACAAAAAACGCTACTGAGCAGTGGTTTGAACCTTGATTGCTGAGTAACAGCGGTGTACCGATTCCGGTCACTGATAACGGAGAATTTTGCATAACGTGTAGTGAGGCGCAAACTGCATACCGTGACCGAAGAATTTCCAACTCACGGGCAAATTCCCGGCAAAGGTTCATCACCGAATTCCTCACACAGCAGTTTCATCAGCCACTTCATGCTTTTAGAAACACAAATGCAATACACTGATTAAGCAGTTTCCTGAAACAAAGTTGTGCATTGCTGAGTAACTGTAATGAAAGGCACTGGTGGATTACTATCTGCACAACGTCGATTACAAGCGCTTTTTATTGGTATTTTCTTAAAACGATAATATTTAACTTCGATGCTTAACAATCATGAGTTTTTAACCATAACCTTTTCAGGGCTAATCACTATCCTCTCGTGGTGTGGTGCCTCACAAACCCGGCTGCCCCGTGAATTCCTCCAAGCCTTCCGCAGGGGAGCGGATGCGATCGATCACGTGCGCGCAGTACGGAGTGTTTTTGGTAACGGGAACCTAATCGAAAAGAATCAAGGTTGTTAGTAATATATTTGCTGGTAGATATCCCGGATAATAACATCAGCTCATCAACTGGAAGCAGCTTTGAATTTTTGTCTAAAGATGCCACTTCCGAGCATCCTTACGAATACTGCCTAACTTTACAAAACACCGCAAAGGCGGTAATTTCTTTCCAACGATGTATTCCGTTTGCACTGAACGCAGAGGTCACTTTGACGAACAGCAATATCAAAGAGGTACGGTGGAACAACTGGTTTGGTGAGATTACATAGGTTTAGTTTGGTTACAAACTCCTGGTCACTTCTCTTAACTTGCAACAGGTGACGTTCACCATGGTCAACACAAGTCTCCATGCTACCATACAAAGCCATCCGGCTGGCGGTATCACGGAAACCGGCATCGCTTTCGCTCCCAAGGAGAAAGGAATGGATGTGGTACGTTACCAGGTAATTCTATCAATGTTCGGTCTACCGGACGTGCGGTGTTTTTTGCTGCGCGGAAAGAAACCCTCCAATTTTGCAGAGCGTCAACGGACAACCGGCATCTTTCTACCAGCTGGCTGTGCGCTGGTACATTATGGGCGCCTTCCAGATCGATCCAGACGAATGCACTCTGGACAAAATGGACTCCGTCAATCGCAGTACGTCGACGGAGACGCGACACAGTTTTCATACTACAGATACAAACCTTTCAGTACTTTGCAGGTTTAAGCGGTGCTTTCCATAGCGTTATGTCGGTAACGCAAATGGCGAACCACAAACCGAACCAGTTCGCCATATCGTACGCGTACGGTCCAGCCATACCCTCCGGTGCCCAGCTGGTCGAGCACCACTACGGTGTCTGTCTGAGCGGCGCTCTCTATACCCTTTCGGGCCTTGTAAGCAATCCAAGATTATCTTTTACCGGCTATGGAACGACTGGTGTGTAGCGTCCGAACAGGATTTCAATGCTACAATGGACGAGTCAACACCGCTGTCCACACACTTCACCATCGATATGAGGGCGCCAGAGACAACGCCCCCAAGCAGAGAGTCCTAGAGACATTTGATTGGCAATGGAACATGATAACCCAGGTGACATAATATACAGCGTTCAAAAACCGTTTAATGTGTTAAGGTTGAAAAACCGGTTTCATCGTGGGACGAAAGGCCGCCTAAAATGTACATGCTGATACAGTCTTAATTTGGTTATTGTCGCTGTGTTTAGAAGCTTCGACGGATTATCTGACATTTTTTACTGCACAGAATATAACTGTCAACAATGAAACAGTGACGTTGGTGTATAAGCGCACTGTGCCCTGGCCGTATCACGGTACATTCGAGGAGATACAGAGGGTGAGCCACCCACATTGGCACACTTTTGGTAGAAAATTATTTGTAACTTTTGGACTCAAGTCCTGTTAAATCCGCTGATGCAGTTTTTTTCCTTAGCGCTCTGTGAACGGAAAACAACTAATTTTCCATTAAGATTTTGCGCACACATGACATAAAGTGACCACAAGTATCCGCGATCGGCGAAAAAAACCCAGACAAAACGTTTCACTTTGTATTTTTGTTTTTAAATGATCGTTAAATGAAGCAAGAATTTTTTCGGTCACATTCAGTTTATAATTTTAGATTTTAAGGGCTATATGAAAAAGTATAAAGTTGTGTGAAAACCTTTTTCAGGATCCCGAGGGAAAAAAACAGAAGTATTAAAAAATGGGGGATTTACACTTTCAATGCAGCGTCTGGCTTATGCAGTGGGAAACTCGTGGCAAAAAAAACCGCCGATGCCGAATTCGCTTTGATATAAACAAATATTGATTTAGACAGGCTTGTAGAAGATATTCTATGAAATTCAGGACGAATGGACAATTTGTTAGAGAATGGCAGATGTTTTCTGGACCTCCGGTCAGTTTTGGGAGCCGACGTCCAGAAAAACTCAACCATGGCTTTGATCAAAACCGAATTACAATTGTCTTAAAGAGCATTGATTCTGTAACATTTTAATGCATTTCGTATGTACTGATCGATAAGGGGGGATTTTTAGGAATTTGTTTTGCGAAAGGCATTCCAGTTTTGAAACGCACTGTTTTACTACCCCGCTCCAGGTTTTTCTTCCTGGATTTTGAAAGACATCCTTTACTAAGCTCAGATAAATTTATCAAGTACAAAGTACACCAGGCTATCGGGTAATGTTTTTGAAAAAGTTGCTGTAGACGAAAGGAAGTTTTAAAAAATCAGTTTGTGCAGTGTGCGAATGTGGGTTGCTCACCCTCTGTACGGACTATCGTAACCGCCGCAGCGTCCACGGATTTCAAATTCCTTGATACCGGTATGCAGCAAGTTTCTCACATTTGTGGCGTACCTCTCAACAGAAGAAACAAGCTTTAAGGGAAGTACTGTGTTGGCCAAGTCCCGTAACAATATAGCGTAAACGTCCTCAAACGCGTAATTATCGTACCAGACCCGGGCATGTCCTGTAAAAACGGCGCATGCTGCATGAAAAAGGACTTAGGAAAACTTTGTTAATATATCTTTGCTGTTATAATTCTCGGCAGATGCGGATAATCAAAGCTGCGGTACTCCACGGCGATTGCGAATTTTTAAGCAGCTGGACAGCCGAGATGTTGTGATCGCGGAGGAGAGTTGCCGCAACATTTCTCTCCGGATAATAATTGGCGAGATCGTCGAACAGTCACTGCATCCTGAGAAAGACATAATCCAGGTACGCCGACGAACGCAATGCATGGACGCATGGTCACGAGCAGTAATGAGCGCGGATGAATTCACTGCAGACTACCGCCGCCATGGGCGTCAACGGAGAGCTTACCTTTACCGTGATAGCACGCAGTCGTATGCAAAAGGGATCAGAACGGCCAATTTTCCCGCAACCGTACCATTCGCATGTCCTTGGATCCATCGACACCATTACCAACGCTGAATGTGGTAAATGTCATACCATTAGCCGAAAATTATTATGCAGTATAAAAATTTAGATATTTTTGGTTTTTCGACCCTGACGTGTGCCGATCACGTGCTGATCGAGGGGCAATGGAGAGAACTCCAGCATTCCGCGCAGTTTCGACGCGTTGTGTCTCCGCTGATGTTGCGCCGGCTAAGAAACATCAACAGCAGTATGTGAACAACACGCCACTCTAAATTCCTTCCACCATTTACCTGCCTCATCGTAAAAGCCGAGATATACTGTAATTCCTCAACTGGTGGTTCTTATGTAGGTGTAGCCGAGCCGCCATTTGTTCAAGAAATCCGGCAGATAGCCGATCAGCAGTTCCAGATGACGTATAAAGGGTCTGGAGTGTTACGTGTGCATCGGTTTGCGTTTAACACTCCGACGCGTCAAGATCGGGCCGCGCCTCAGGTTTGTCAAGGACCATGGCTGCTTCATGGTAGCAAATTGCCGTGTGTGTACCGAAGTTTTCACTTGCGCGCACTTAACGACAGTTCTTCACACTGTTTTATAGCATCCTCCAATCAAATTTATTTTACCAGTTATACATAGGATCTGGAATCAAATGAGCGAAACCAAATGAATGGTACTTATTGGCACGAAAACCGGTAGTGTTACACAACATTCCGTTCCTAAAAAAAGCGTTTCAGTGTGAGCGAATGTCATCATATTTGTGGATGATGGCACCATGTGCCGGGTCATTTCTCTCTAGCAGCTTGTAATGAGAAAGCTGAAGAGATTTGATGCTGAAAGTAATTGAGACACACAGTGTACTTGCAGCAAATGTCCATGTCCACGTATTTGGAAGTGTACGGGAATCCCATGTGGACGGAGTACACCGTGCGCCCGGTCAACGGATCCTTTGACTTGTCCGTGGCCAGACTGGAGAAGAACCGGGTGCAAATCTTTCATCAGGAGGGCGCACAGCGGTTTTGGTGTTCCCTTTTCTTATACACGCGTTGCTATGAAAACACTGGTCTTGTGGTGGAAAGTGGCTGACCCATGGAAGCCTTCACCGTACATTAAAAAGTAAATGTGCTATGAATTCTATCATTTTTGACCTCCCCGACTTTCGCTGGTTTCTTAGAAATCCGCATACGCTCAGCTGCTTTTGTGCAAATAAATTAGTTTTTGTGCACACCATTTTTAACATAGAAATGAAGCAAAACAGACTGAGAACGATTTTTTACAGAGCATTACTGCATTGTCACAGTGCATTTTCTGGCAAGCTTAATTCGTGCTGTCATGTTTAAGGCGCAGTGGGCTGTGTTAGGAGCGTGGCTCTGTTCGTTAGGTTGCCGGCTGTACGGAGAATATCTCACGATATTCGGCTGTACGCCGATAGCCTAGTGGTGCCTCTCTCGGCCTTAGAGTATAGAGGACGCGGGTTCGATTCCCGCAATCGGCAGATTTTTTGCGAGTTATGTAGTCAGCAGCGGCCAGTCTGGCAGCTGTATCCAGTACATCCGGCTCCGTCAAGCGGAAAAGATAGTACTGTAAATCGGTGTAAATAACTGTTTCTACGTTAATTAGTGCGCTGCCCTTTATTTTATTAGATGATAACAGACACTGCCATCTGGATTTCCGTAGATATATGTGTTTTTCCGCTGATAAAGGGGATACCTTGCGCTTAAACAAGAATAAATTTAATTAGGCTAAGCGTAAAGACGCTATATTAGTTGCATGTAGCGTTCAATTGTGGGTTTACTTTTGATCCGAGGGAAAATTATCGATACTGTATGGTGTATCTAGTGATTGAGAACAAAGCTAAAGTGGAAAAGGCCATTGGACTTCGAGCGTTGAACTTTGACTGCAGAAGAATTGCGGCGCAACGATTTCGCTTATTGATAACGCAGAATTCTAATTACATATTACATATAGGGAAGGTACGCATGCCATACGTGACCGGGTAAACTCCCAACGAACCGGAAAATGCCCACAAAATTCGGAAAATGCGGTTCATGTGCTTATTTAGCCATACTGAGCTTGTGCGCAGCCGCTTATTACTCTCAAGCATAAAAATTAGATACGGACATGGTGTTTGCGCGGTTAATCGAAATCCAGTTATACACTGGATTATTGGAATGAACGCATTTGCTGATCGCAAGCGGTCTTTGTCGGTATTTTGCTACGACATCCAACTTTCATGCTCCTCCAACACGAGGCACATGTGCACCGTAAACGTCTCCGGTCTTATCGCTGTTTTTTCGGTATATGATGCCTCACAAACCCGTGTGCCTGATGATCGCATCTTCTCGACCGCGGAAAAATTAATAAAATTGAATTTCTCCAAGTCTTCTGCTGTTGGGAATGTGCGATCCATGCATTATGTGCTTTAACAGTGTTTCGGTAAAGGGACAGCTATTTTGTAATGGCCATGTACAATACAAGCCCGTCCGGATGATGAGCACGTAAAGGTGCAGCTAACGCATATTCAGCGCGATGTTAGCGCTTAGCACGATGGCCATTACACTACGTTTGCCACCATGTGTAATTGCGCTTCGCAGTTAGATTGACCCTTACTGATATGCGTGTAGCTATGAATCAGGGGTGTAGTTTGGCCGGCGAACTTGCAAAGAAATGCACCCGGTCGAACCATGACCAACATCCACAGCTGCCACTTCACGCTCAACACCCGCTTAATTAAGCGGTGGATAGATCACGAGATATACTAGTAAATAATAGTTATTATCTTTAACAATCTGATGACGTTCTCTTGTGGCGATGGTCATCAGATGGAGCATGGACGAAGGTATGGCGGCGGATTACCGGATGGCCGCGGTTCGTACAAACGTTTTGTCAGGATCGTATTCAGTCTTGTTTAGCACATCACATTAATCGACCTCACATTAATCATTCATCGGTTGGCGTAAGCGTGTAAACGACTAGGTGGAGCGCCATCACTGATCAGAAGCAGGATGCAAAGATAAGACTGCTGTTGAGCTGGATGCTCGGCAATCAGAAACGGTTGATTCCCACACATTCTGAAAATAGCAGTGGCTCAAAGTTTTTCTTTCTGTAAAATACGCCAATAACAGAGTTTATCATTTAGATCACAGCAAGCCAGCAGAACAAGAAAAATGTACTACCGTTGTCAGTTAATAATAATAATTATTACCATTACGCGTATTCCTTGGCAAGTGCCACCGCAGATCGATTACAGAACTCGTATTGCGCTTGTATAACGAATTAAAGGAAATCCTTTCCATTAATTTGATTCGTACTTTGCAGAACCAGAGCAGATTTCAGGCAATGCTTATTGTGAAATGCAATTAGACAAAATTATTGGCTCTTGATCAGACCAAATTACAATGAATGCCGCCGCGGGAAAGATATGACAGCGCCTTGAATGCCGAACAAAAATCCATTATTGAATAAATCATGCGCTCGCAGTATTTTGATTATTAGCATTTCCAAATAATTACAGTGCTTATCTTATCAGCGCACATGGCGGCGATAGCGAACTGATACCTTTTCCGGCTTTGTATCATAGTCTTACTTCTACGTTTCGCCAGTTTGTTTGATTTCTCAAGACAGTCAGATCGCTAGCAGCGCCGGTGAACTTCGCTTAAAGTTATTACTGTACCTACCATGGCAGCTCAGAACACCATAAAACATTTCTTGCTGATTTCGATCCCAGGATTCGGACACACTATCCCGATGGTGGGACTGGCCCGCAAACTAAGAGCACGTAATCACAAAGTTACCTTCGTAATCTGCAAAGCGGCCGTGGAACATCTTCGCAAGAAAGGCGAGCTCACTCCGGAGGATGAACAATCCATCCACCTGATTGGACTGGAAGACGGCATCCCCGAGTGTGAGTCGGATGATGCTCTCACCGTGACTTCCGTGATGGGGTTTCAGGATCACGGCTTGCCGGCGCTGCAAAAGCTGGTCAAAGGGATACCCGTTGCTGGGCAACCCCCCTCGGAATGCAACAATCAGTATGGTATCACCGTGCCGGTTAACGCAGTGGTGGCCGATATTTTCGTTGCCGGAGCGATCGTCGGGTGTGTCGAGCGGAAGCTGCCGTACTACTTCCTAAATTGCTCATCCCTTGGACCGTTCCGCAATATGCTGTATGTCACCGAGCGCACACCAGTCATCGAAACAAACCATATGGAACGCTTTGACATTATCCGACCCGAGTCGGAAGGCCCCCAACCGGCCATCGGTCCTACGCAGAAGGAGTTGTCTTTAGCCATAAACCAATTCTTCTCCACAGCTAACGGATTCCTTATCAATTCATTCCGGGAAATCGAGCAGCGTTTTATTGATGAAATCAAGCAGGATTCCCGCATGAGCAGCCTGGAGTATTACTGCGTGGGACCGTTTATGCCGGAAGAGAAGGATGACCAGAATCCCAGCCATGCCGAACTCGGACAAAAGGTCACACGTTGGCTGGACCGCCAAGCAGACAACTCAGTGGTATACGTGTCGTTCGGCTCGGTGGTCATTCCCAACGAGAGCCGTATCGTGGAGGTCGCTAAGGCCCTGCAGGCGCTGAAAAAGCCCTTCATCTTTTCCATCCGCCAGCATCAGCAATCCATTCTGCCGGGTGACATACGTGTCGGCATCGATACCCACGTGGACAATCCGGAAGCACCGGGACTGTTTTTACACTGGGCACCGCAGAAACTGATTCTGGCCCACCGAGCCACCGCGGTTTTTATAAGCCATTGTGGATGGAATAGCACGATCGAGAGTTTGTTCCACGGGAAGCCCGTTGTCGGTTGGCCCATCTTTGGGGATCAACTGGAGAACGCATTGTGGGTCGAAGAGCTGGGTGTGGGAGAGTCGCTGGTTCGCCGCGAGCACGCTGCTAATGATGAAGAGAAAAAGAATATCAACAGTGAGAAAATTGTCGCGGCCGTTCGGCGTGTCGGCTACGACAGTGACGCGGCTCGGAAAGCAGCGCTGAAATGGAAGGATAAGATTCGGGAGGCCGTCGCACCGGGCGGAAGTTCTAACCGTGAACTGCAGAACTTTATCGATGCCATATTGTAATACGTACTAACTCAACCTCAGTTATGTATTTGGCGATATTTGCGATGTGGCTTATTGTGGCCAATGGCGACAAGTGCAATGGGTAAACAGTACACGGACAACATAATGTAGTGCTCGTTGGCAAACAGTTAATTATAGTCGTATACAGATAGATTGATGCATTCGTATGCTTCAGAATAACCAAATGCTGCTAGCAAGGTTGTGCAGCTGCATAAACCGGCAACTACTGCATTCATCTTCACAAGAACCGGTGGCTTCCACCGGATCGCTTCCACCCGTCAACCTTCCTGCCGGCTACAGATGCGCAGTCGTTTGAAATATAATATCCCCTTCCAAATAAAACCGTTTCAAAAATAATCTCACCCACCGGAATTGGGCCCCTCCCCGAACTAAACCTCACTCTGCCGAAACATTCGAACTATTTGCGTCCCATGGCCAAAAATTCGATGATTACGGTAGCCTTAACTAACATGTATGGGTGCACCCATCCACATCTGCACGTACGTCTACCGGTACTTCTACTTCTACTTTGGCTGCTACCCCGAAGTTTACCCTTACTTCTGAGAATTCACCAGCAAGAAACTTCGACCTCGACGGGCACGTGAGACGTAACCTTGATCCCACCATGACTTACGGGAGGTTAGGCTATGTAATACGCTTGTACGACGAGTCGGATTGGTCCATATGTAGTTTGTTGCTTTTATTAGCCAATGGTCAGCTTGCTGTATTAGTTGTTCGTGTAGCCTATTTTCTCGGAGTGGTACTTGTGTAGCAGAGTGGCATCTGCATGTGTCGAAATTTGTTTATAAGCGCAGCGGCGCACTGTTCTAGGGTAAGCCTTTTTCGGTTTGACACTACAGATCTATTTTCGATGTGATTAAATTCACGGTTGAACCAGTTTGCTTTTGAGTAAGAGGAATAGCCTGAGACCTCTGAGTGTTATACTCTCAAGCCTTCGGTTGAACTTCAACTTCACTGGCATTCGCAGTCATCTTCGGACTTGTTGTGCAGTGCAACGTGGTGACCTTTCGCTTCTCTAACTCTTCCGTGACTTCGGTCCTTCTTCGTTCTGCATTCCCAGCAAAGGCAGGCGACGGATGACTATCGCTTTTGTTGCCATCTAGCGTGTAGGGTCGGTAAGTTTGCTCTTCTTTATTCTTGTATTTCTCGTGCTTGAAGCTGAGGTTCCTGTCTTCTTCGTAGTCAGGTTTAGGCACTCAACTACCATCCAGGTTTACGTAACGGTTTGAGAAAGGAAGCTCTACCGATTGTGTCGTGGTCGGTATATGATTGTAGCTTGTGCATACTCTGCGCAACGTCTCTAAATCACGACAAAACACAAGATCGTCCGCTCCTTTATCTGCACAGATACCCTCTGCAAATGAATAACCCATCGAATATTATTTCATAAATAATAATGCCCGTCTTCACTGTTTCTTGCAAGACGAAACTTAATTAAATGCAGTTTCCAACATATTTAGAAGTTAACATAACGAGAAAAAAGTGGCCTAGGGGCATATTTTTACATACTTTTGTACGATGCGCCGTTATCCCACGATGTACTACTTCTTGTGCGGCGCTATACCGCCAAAGCAGCGGAAATTTCGCTAAAGTCTCGCTCCGGTCCGCCAGTGCATGCTAACGTGTATTTTGCTAGTATCCTACCGCTAGCATAATAAGAAAATTGATAATTTGGTTTGCTTCCGGTTTATTGCTGCACACTGTATGGTTTGACCGTTTGCTGCACGGAGTACGAGCACTTCTGTGCATGATGGAAGCTTCAGTTTTAAAAGTACCAGTCGAGCACCTGATGAGCTTTAAGAATACCTCACCCTTATTACTGCAAACAGCAAATAACCGACAACTAATTGCTAGGGCTGGAGTTATCTCGCTTTTTTCAGTTCGTTGTGGTGAAATGGGGAAGTCTATAGTGGTGTAGCAAACGAGTGATTGCTAACAAACTAAAACTACTGGTAATGGCACCTACAAAATTAATTAACAACTATGCTTCTGATTTCTGAAGTTTAAAGAAACACTAAAAGAAAGTTTTGCGGCACACTCTGCTAAAAAGCGGTCAAAAAAGTGGCAAAACGTGTTCAAAAAAGAGCGACAATGAAGAATCGGATCAATATATGATAAAACAATAATGAATCGGATCAATAATGACACACATCGGATCAACATATGATCTCACTGGACACTACGACAAACTGGAAGTGAACGATCCCGTTGTCTGGCCGGAAATTAAGCGCGCGCAGTGGCATACGGTCGGCTGCTGTTTCAGGCGCTGCTTGTGTTCTTGGAACTCCGGCCCGAAATTATCCCTTGGAAGATGATAATGTACACCGCTTGCGATCCACACGCGACAGTCAATAACAGAACGAAGATGTACTGCAGTGTCTGGTCAATGAAGCAGGAGAAGAGCGCCAGCCACACGCTCAACCAGATCAATCCCATCAAACCGGTGTTGATGATCACGCCGTAAAGTCTATGCTTGACAGAATCGGCATCGTTCCATTTATCATTTTCGCGGAGTGAGAACCCCTTTCGACGCTTCCTAATTGCTAATAACAGTAGAAACATTAGACTGCAAAATTCTGAGTTACAGAAACAGCCTTTCATACATTTAAAAAGTCTGTGATTGGTTAAAATAGAATAAGCTGGCTTGACTTACTGTAGATATATATTAACACCGCAACGATGTTCAGTAGGCCAGCAGCCAATAGTGGCACAATGAAAGTCACCCAGGGAATCCACAGATGGTCACCGTCCAGCCAACACCTACTCGCAAACAACACTACACAAAGATGTTTCGATTGCGCTAAATATAATTAAGGGTTTTCGTTACCATTTCTCATGGTCTGCATAACCGTAGCCACCAAGCGAAGTGGTTAATGTCTCAGAAAAATGTGGCATGGAGGCCAGAAGCGGAAACACGCTGGGAACAACTATAGCAAAATGAAGAAGAGCTTTAGTTGGCCGGACGTGCTTACAGGAACACAGAAAACCAGAAAAAATGCACTCACGTGTCGCGGCTAACCCAGCTTTCACTTTACATCCATGGTATGTGTCTCCTGGGAGGTGATATTTCCTCCCGTAATGTTCGGGATACAGTACAGCCTGAATGAGGTGAACTGTTTGCACCGCCGTCCATCCAACGCTCATCAGCACAAACCAATGTACCAAAATGCCACTGGCCAGACAAAATTTTTGTCCGCACAATTCAGGAGCGTAAACGATTAACTGGGAGAAAATGGTGAAGAGATACATTCCGAACAGCGCTATCCACAAACCCGTCCGTGTAAATGTCATCTCGTCCCAAATAACGCTACGCCGCAAAATTCTGACCCTAAAAACGTTTTACAGAATTTCCAAAAATGCTCCGATTATATGTAATACGATAAGTGCACCCCAACAAGAAAACATCACTACCCACGTTATGATTAACAGAGCAAAGAGGCAACATGCTGCCGCCACGATAGTTGTGGCTGTCGTTACAACAGCCAGATCCAAAGTGAACGGTTTATCCTTGGGAACGAAGGATCTCGATAAGCTGCCACACAACGTCAGCAGAAGCGAGAATGGCGTTAGATGATCGCAGGTGCATTTCACGGTTGTGCTGTTCCATTTAGCATGTTTAGCAGTCATCCGGCAACCGTCTTCAGACCAGTATTTGGACGTGTAGTTTAGGAAGATACATTGGTGTTGCCTCCTTGCTCCGGATGGGTACTGCAAGCATTGGAATGCGCGGTATTGTAATATTTAAATTTAATACTGAAGTAACTTTACGGCTTACTTCAAACAAAACGTCCACGTTATGCCGAATGGTGATTATATCTTTCCTCTTAAGTCTGTGGTCCAATGATGCCAGTAAAACTATCGGGCTTGACCTTTCGTTTAGTTCATTCGTGGGAATGAACCTGGCAAATTTGAATGCCTGCATCGCCGACAGCGAAAAGGAAAACTTTACTGGTGTTGTGTTCGCAATTTGTCCTGTTAAAAGTTTCGATGTGTTTAAATGATCATCAAAATTCGTCATTCATTTTAAACCAATTTGACAGATTTTAACCAAAAAAGAAATAAGTTCCGGAGTCTTCCGTCGAAATAGTAGAGTGACCAGAATACCGCCTGCAGAAGTCGGCAGCCCACTTACGAAGCTCTTCAAAGGCCTCTTGCAGCGCTTCCGTATTAAACTCAATACTGGCCACGGTTGCGGATCTGCCATCCGCGAGAACCGCAATTCCCGTTTCTCGATTGAACCCACTAACTTCCAGCTTTGTGGTCAAATTAAAATGTTCAAACTGGGATGAACCGTTGATCAGCACGGCATGGATATGTGTCAACGAAAATGAGCTGTTGAAAATGTATGGTACATCGTTCGGTGGCAGATTGTTGTACATATCTTCCAGTGCTTGGTAGACGGTCGCTGCTGCGTCGTACCCGTCGTTGTTGGCTGCCGGTGCTTTCAGTTGTGCAGCCTCTTCCGCATAGAGTATTTGGTCAGTGATCTGCAGCAGTGTGTGGACTGCCTCTTCTTGTGCACCTTCCGGTAGATTTGGTGGTGCTTCCGCTCCAGCAAACTCTTGGAAGAAGTTGGCGATCGTCAGAATATCGCTGAAAGTCAGCTGGCAGCAACTGCTCACTGCCTCCTGAATGACGCCGAGCACGTTGTGTGTCGACTGCATGTAGTAGGTGTTGTTGTCCGGATACGTGTCCTTATTGGTGACTTTCTGCAGTTCCACAGAGACAGAAGAGAATGTGGTGGAAGCTTCTGAAAGTAGAAAAAGCTGTATAAAATTATCGTACAACACTAATCTAATCATTTGATTATACAACGCTTAGTAGGCATCTTGAAAACTGCAAATGTAAGCAATACTTGAAATAATTAAATGGCTGTTCCTGTTCGTCTGGTATATTATGTATGCATAAAGTAGTATGTACCTGATGACAATAGTTCGGTTGGAGCACTGGAGACATTGTTCAAGGAAGTTGTAAGCTGAGTGGAGGTAGACGTTACCGGACTCATGGTCGTCGAAAGGGCTGTGGTGGAGCGTGTGGTGGTTGACCTTGTACAATTATTTACTATAAATTAGAAAAATACAACTAAAACCGAGGTTTTTAGTAATCATTACGTATGCAGTCTGAAACAATAATTTTCAGGAGCATATCATTAAGAAATTCGTCTCCTGCTAACCGGCAAAAATTTGGATGGCGTCCAGCGCTAAGGCTGTGACACCGGGCTGGTCCGGCTGGCATCTACCGCTGTGGTGTGCAAAGAAAAGAAAAACTAACAAACGGAGAAACATCGGCTTCTGGATCATACCACTGATGGGGCTTGTAATGGAACGCGTTCACCTCCTTGTAATACCACTCCTCACTATAGTAAACCGACCAGAGCTGCATCATATTGATCGTATACTTCATGTTCCCTTGGCTATCGTAATGATCGATGAATACAGGATAGACGTTATCGGCGGGAGTGCTTGATGCACCGAAAGACAGGCGATACCAGTAAGAAAGCATCAAATAACGATCAGGCTCTGGTGGATAATAAACTCGAGCCGTTGTCAGTAACGCATAAAGTTCGTAAAAAGTGACATCTGTAGATGAAGTGCCATAAGTTGGATCCATGGTGCAACGTGAAACAGCCCTCACGCTGCCTACGAACCGTTCAGAAAACATTTTGTTTGTTTAGCGATAAAAAGCTGCAGCTTCGGCGCGGAAATAGCGCCCAGCGAGACGTACCGCGTTCGTTGTCGAGACCGTTGGCCTCTTGAATCAAATCAAACTGATAAGCAGTTATGTTACTATAGATGCCCGTGTCGTTGTAGTTGCGGCGATACCATGTGACTCCCGGCTGTTGCGAGCAGGCCTCAATGACAGCGCTGGAATTGTCTGGCTGGGCTTCGGTCCCCATATCACATGAGGTCAGCAACTCCGTGCTGTAATAGCATTCCGCTAAAGCTTCTCCCTCCCCGTATACAACTGGACGATCCAGTGAGAGGACAGCTGCTGCAATCATTAACAGAAGCTTAAGAAATGCAGCAGAGGAAGTAACGAAATAACATGCGCATAAGAAACCGAAGGGATTGTAAAGTCGGTACGCACGCATACATTTGCAAGTTTTATCTTCTCTAACATAATTATTGCAGTTATAACCAAAAATTTATCCTTAGACATATTTTTTATAGAACAGAAAGCCATACCAAATAACAAGAATGTGGAAAGGTATTCAGCACACATGCCGGGATGAGTCAGCAGAAAATTTAGCGGCCTCGACAGCACCGATATTGATATCAGCATCTAAAGTAAAACAACGATAGATTTGTGCACCACAAAGCACATGGAACATATCGAGGTGCGAATATTTGTTTTGAAATTACGTTATTAATACAACGGTCAGAACGTACAACGATTTGTACTCCATGCAACAATTCGCTCAAAGCAGATAGACCTTTCTCATCATCTCGCAAGAAGTAAAAATCAGTAACACCCCAGTTGTGGCTTTTTATTCAACTTTGTACAAGACGGTGATAAAGTGTGAGGAAGCTAACATTACTGATGATGAATGATGATGTGATGGCCTTCACAGCTACTAGTAACTGTAAATGCAGTTGGCGGCTGATTACAGCGGTTCAACAGCTTACGCTAACCCGGAGGATCTGAACAATTTACCTACAGACTTTCACAGTTTATGCAGAATTATAGAAAATATCTATGCTGCTCTGCAAGTGTAATGTGCAAATAAGCGCTTCCACAGATACGATAAAATACTGCAAATATACTGCATGTTGTATTTCCCTTTCGTGTACGGTATCGTTGCATTGTGTCTTTCGTGAACGTCGTCAGAACTGATAAAGAAACAGAAGCCTAGATAAAGATGCGTTTTGGCATTCTTTTGTAAATATTGCAACACTTTGAATTTGGAATGTGTGCTCAGTGTGTTTTCAAACGTGCTCTGTGGGAAATGACTGGCTGACTGTTCTGGTTGTCGTTCCCTTATATCAGCAGGGCGCAATCCGAGGGAAACCGAGAAATGACTGAAAAAGGCGCCGATGGGGGAATCGAACCCCGGCTAGCTACGTCGTTAGATCCGCGTAGGCAGTACCACTGCACCACGGCGCAATACGTTGAAATCCTTTGAAAGATTTTGTCGCTGTACGTGAGCCGCTTCTCTCCTCACACTTATAACGTTAAGTTAATGCGTTTTGTGTTGATCTGGTAGCTGCAGGCTTCGTGACAGTCATATCTTAGATTCGACCGCCAACGCGACCTTTGATGCCTGCTTTCTGAGCAAATAGATCTAATTTCATCCTATTGTTAGCGTGGTGCTCACGCTGCTCAGGAAAAACAGAACAAACACCCGCCACAAACAACCTTTTATTAGTTTCGAAGAAAATAATAAAGGCACAATGCCCAGAACACAAATCTCATGCGCAAAACACATCAAGCTGTCAGAATGTAAAATTCTGGCAGCGCGGATCCACACGAATGAACTACCGATCGCAGATCGGTAAAGCGAAAAACAACTCGCACGTGCAAGTGCGCAAAAGTGCAACGGAAGTGGCGCGACTCTGCCTATCTATAAGGCAGCACCAACCTCCTAACATGCCACGGGTGGAACGGCGAGGCCCTCCGAAGCCCATGCAAAATCGGCAACAAAAACACACAAACACGGTCAATGAAAATATGATCAAAATGCGACCACAAACGGCGGCATATTCTATTGTTAATCAATCACAAAAAATAAATGCAAATCGTATGAGATCCCATTCCATTAAATGCTTGTCCATTCCGGAGAATCGTCATCCTCCAAATCACAGCTTTGTCCGCTTTATTCGGTGTCCAGCTTTTCGTCAGCGTTCGGATCCGCATCGGACAGCATATCAACGTCAACGTCAGCAGTAGCGCCAGCAGTCGCAGATTCGGTTACAACGCCAGCAGCTACAACACTCAGTGCTGTGCCAATCGCTTCAGAAAGCACACCTTGTGCCGGTTCGACTAATGTCGATGCAACTATTTGCGGTTCTTCCACAGTATCGTGGAAGACTTCGGTCTCTTCGCCATTTGGCGCAGTCGGTAATTTAATGAATGAATTATCTGGCACTGGGCCAGTCGCAATTTCTTTTTTCGGCCATCGATGAATTTCAGTCGAATAGAAGTCGTATTCATCTTTCGACATATCGGTAATTTTTTTATTAACCAATTCTTTAAGTATGCTATGCACATACTCATCGCTTGACGGTTCAACATGATCGCGGAAACTCTGAGTAGTTTCGTAAAACTTCCTCTCGTGCGGTTTCATGCGCGATAGCGATATAGTGCTCAGTAACTTTTCATTACGAGCATTCAATGCTGCCAACTTTGCAGCTTCTTCCGGTTTCATTTGTCCAGGCTGTTCAGCTGGAGCAGATGCAGTTAGCACAGGAGCAGCCGATTGTTGCTGTCCTTGCACTTTACCTGCAACTTTCGGTTTATTACCATTATTTGGTTTTTTATTATTATCGCCATTATTGGCCGGTAAACGCAAATTATTATCGGTTGGTACAGTACTCGTACCTGTCGATTTCACAGTCATCGAGCTAATCGACGCTGGAGCTGACGATACTGCCACGGCCTGTTTGTTCTCCACCGCTCGTGGAATCAACACAGGTTTGCTTCCCGTGGGCACGGTCGGTTTGGGCGGCGGGTTCATACATCCTGCCACTCCTAACTGTGGCTGTGCAGACCGATTTCCTGCAGCATTGCCTTTGCTCGTCGTAGGAGTATTGACGACTCGCATTTTATACACTGGCTGTTCGGTTTTACTTCCCAAAGGAGTATCCGGTGAGTCAGGCACGTGCTTCCGCTTGTTGAAGCTGGTGCCAGTTTCATACTGATTTTGACGGTCTGCGAATCGCTTCATCCGCTCGTCCATATCGTCATAAAACTGATTAGGACCACCTTGATTAGTGTCCATTTCGGTCTGGCCAGCGGCGGCAAGAATATCACGTAATTCTTGTGCCTCCTGCTGTTCGCTTTTCGGTTGACCCAATAACAGGATCTTATCGCGCATTTGCCGATATTCCGGCCGATCTTTCTGCTTATAGATATAATTATGGGCGCTGTGGCTTCCAAGCAGCGCGGCTAAGATGCACATAACTGCAGTCTTCAGCCCGGTATTATACGGTATCGACATCCAGTCGATATTTCGATTACGAGTACAACGGTCCAAATTACTGGCTACCCGACAAAAGAAATAAAACTTTGCGGGATCGGTTTCCGGTAAAATGAATTGTAGGAGAAATGTCTCCGTATTCTTATCGCCAAAAATGCGGAATTGGGATAAAATCTCAATATCCACGGCGGTAATCGGTACATACAGCTGGCCAATATCCAACGCTGTACGCAAGGAATTTGAACGGCGAGTCGCATATTTCTGCACATCCAGCGATCGTATTAGATCGACATTAGCGTAGTCGATTTCTAGCATACGGCCTCGTAGCCCGATTCGTTCAAGCAAATCCACAGACTCGTGGATCATATTGCGGATCTGCGCTACGTCTGGGTTCTCTTCCCGGTTCGCGATTCCCAAGACGCCGGTTAATTTATGCACATAGATTTCAACGTTATTGACGATGTGCATCACGTCTTTAATAACAGTTGCAGGATCAATTTGCAACTGGCGATTATCACGGTATCCGCGACGATGAACATCGCGCTGCTGATTTCCAGCCGGTTTATTCTGTTCGCTGCGCTGATTATTCGACTGCTGATCTCCAGCCGGTCGAACATTCTGCTTAGGCTGCTGCGATTGCGACGGTTGTTGCTGATATTCAGCCGATCGAACGTTATCGCGATTGCGCTGTCTGCTGTTTCGTCTCTGCAATTCAGCAGACAATTTATTATTTAATTCGGTTAAATCTCTACCTTCGACTACAATATTCTTGCGCGATTGAGAATGATGCGCAGACGGTTCCAAAGTATATTCAATTCGATGGCGGCCACCAAACGGAGGTCTGCCGCTACTACTGTCAGAGGACGGTTGTAAACACTCATCTCCTACTGACGTAGTCGATTCATCTAACGACATATTACTTACTTTTTTCATCAGTCCCGCACGCGCGTCCGGTTGATTACGCGACATGCTTGGCTGACGCTCGACATTCTGCGGTTGACTAGCAGTTCGGGAACCAAACTGCTGTGCGACATTCGGACGATATCCGCGCTCAGCGAGCCACGGATCGGTGCTGCTTGTACTGCATGTCGCCTGCTGTACAGACGGCGTGTTAGATTGAATTTTACACAATTTACACGACGGTACATCACAAATTTTCAATTCATGTACCTGCATCGGCATCGGTTGACGATATTGCTGATACTGCGGCTGATTAAACGCCCAATCAGCTTGCGGATATTGCGCATTTTGCGCCGGTAGGAACTGTTGCGGAAACTGTTGATAATTCAACATCGGTTGAGGCGGCATCGTATATGCCTGCGATGAATTAGCATTAAAATTTAGAATATCATATTCCCACGTACTGGGAATAGAACGATCTAAGGGAATCATTTCCCACTCTTCTGCCGATAATAAGGTACCCGCTAGGTAATTATTTACCTGTGTATTCGGTTGTGACGGTGCGTTAAATCGCATCGCCATCTGCGACGGTGCTGCTCCAGGATCTGGCACTTGTTGCCAGTGGTCCCGTCGATTATTGACAAATTCGCGGACTGCGTCGTTGATCTGTGCCAACAACCACGGTTTCCTCTGGAGGATCGGCTCATAACGCGATTCCATTAGAGTTGTGTATGCATCCAGATTGGCGTGCATCACCTCGCTGACTAATCGCGTTACAACGGTGTCTGGATTCATATTGTCGATATTTTGCCCAAATAGGCAATCGGTGCATTTCCGATTATTCGTGTTGTGCTTGCAGCGATCACACGAATTCGATAGCGGCTCCATTCGGTCTACAAGAAGATTATTTAAATTAATCTTCGATTAATTACTCGATTTTCTATGACTTATTTAAACGATGATTTTAACGATAATTAAGTCGGTTTATTTGGTACGTTACTAAACGATAAGAATTCGGTACACGATCAGTACGAGAGGTACAGACCACCATTTTACGGGGGATTTCCGATCATTTATTCGGAATATTATTCGGTTAAATTATCGGCTTTGCAATTTACGCGGAGATATGGACCACAATTTTGTGTGGATTTTCGGTTAATTATTTACGCAATAAATACGAGTCGTATTTATTCGATATGGTATCTACTGTGTTAATACTACAGTAGTCGATTACTCGATAATTTTAAATTATTCAACGGCGCGATGATGAGCCCGGTTGTCCCAAGGCTTCGTTAATTCGCCAAGTAATACCTCGCTGTGGATCATTATGAGAAACAATAACCGGGTCCAACACGAGTTCAGACGCAGCTAATTCTACGTAATGATCAACACGATTTCCCATATCGGGACGGATCGTGCGAATATACTGAATTATTTCATCGATTGTAGATCCATTTGGATCAGCGATCTCCCTGATTGTACGCAGTACAACTTCTTGCCACTGTCTCGCATCAAACAGTGGGTAATTACTTAAAAATGAAATGTTCGGTGAAATAGTATGATATTCAGCCAATCGGTTAGTATTAAATCGGCGTAACAGTCGGCTATTTTCATACTCGCGATTAAGGGCGATTGCTACTGCCTCAGGATTATAACGATGTCTGAGACGATCCATTATTCGTCCCTGAGTCGGTTCCTGACGAGATCGCACAATCTGACTGATAGTCTCAATCAGAACACTAGAAGTCGGTTCTGGAGGCGGTGGCGGAGGTTGAACGATCTTTACGTTCTTACGCTTACGGTCTGGTGACGGAAGTCTCAGTTCCTTAACTGAGATTCCTGTAATAGAACTCATTCGCGTTCGATTACTATCCATAAGTGCGTATCGTGGCACATTTAGGCCAGTTATTTCGATTAAAACCTCCCGACGCACTAGCTCATGAATAGCTTCCAAAATCATAGGAAATTGCCGTGCGGGAGCCACTAAATTCATCGGCATCGTTAAAGTAATATAATTGGCAATCTCTGCTACGGTAGATCCCTGTCGATTATGGATATCGCGTACAGCGATAGTAACGGCTTCTCGAAAACTCTCCGGTGTACTAATTACCATTAATTGGTACCAAGTCTGACGGAGATATGTCGGTGAGTACATTATTGTCGGTGACCAATTAATATACACTTCGAGCATCTCGCCCCGATTAACTGCAGCTTGAATAGCCAATCGAAATTGTTCTCGATCAGCCTGTCGATTTATATGCGTTCGATAATTCTGATACAGGTAATTAAACGCAGCGGCTCTCTCCCGGTTTTTTAATTGACGGAAAAATTCAAACGCTGCGTCCAGCATTAAAGACAGTTCATCTTCTGCTGTAACTGCTGTGGACGGTTCGGGCGGTGAAACAGTAACAAGTACTGGCGATGAATCATCCGAATCTTTCGGCGATGGTTTTTTACTTTCCGGTTTCTTAACTACAGGAATATGTTCCGGTATTTCAGGTGATGCAGATCGGGTTGGAGGTTCGACATTTCCCCCCGTCTGATCCTGCATAGATCGGTCTACGTCTGCTACGTCGACATTTTGTTCGTCGATTCGCAATTTACCCGTTTCGTCATCATCGTCGCTATCATCAAAATAGCTACGATTTAACTGATCACGCACTTGGCAGATCTTTCGCTGTAGATCTTCCTGCTCTTCACGCAATCGCTGTCTACGCTCAGATTCGCGTAGAACTGGTTCGGTTGTCTGATTTTCAACTGTCTCTGTAGACAGTCGCGGTATTTTCGGTGGTGATGGCTGCCCATCATTAGCTTTCTTTGGCACGCGATCAGACTGCGCAGTTGGCGCTGTGCCACTCTGCGTGAACGGTGGGGTCGGTGCCATAATACCTGGCAACCGAATCGGTTGACTAATTTTAACAACACCCGGTCTAACCAGTTGGCTGACAGGATACTGCGGCTGATCGGTAGGAGAAATTATAAAACGATGTTGCGACGATGGATTTCCGTTTCCGTTCGTAGGTCGGAGTCTCACCGTCGTATTCGGCGGAGCAACCACCATGCGCGGTTGTACCGGCGGCACTGGTGTCGGTAGTACAGGCCGATTTAATGTTGAAATCAATCGCGGCTGTACAGTCGATTGGCCTGGAACCGTGGTTAATGCTACTCTATCCGGTCCCAATATAAACGAGTGTTGCTCGTTATTATATCTTACGATTGCAGTGTACATCTGCGGCGTTCCCGGTGTATGTGGCAACGGTGTAATCACCGGTGGTTCGGTTAACTGAATTTCATGTGGCACAGGGTAACTCAAACGAATTACTCCGTGTCCCGACGGTGGTTCACTCCGGGCTTCCTGTGAGGACCCAGCATTCGGTTGTGCTACAGTAGCTAAATTTTGCACATTTTGTGCCGATTCATTTTGTACATCTCGTACCGGTTGAACTGATGGCGGTTCGCTGCGCGAAGCACCCAAATTAATCGGTAAAATTGAGACTGGCGCTGGTGTTTCCACCGTGCGTGCAGTCGGTTGGATTATAGCAACATTTTGTGCCGGTTGATTATTAGCAGAGATATTACGCAAATTTTCTGGCGATTCTTCTGGTGGAAAATTCTCACCATCATCTTCTTGCATACGCCGTATCAATGCTTGGTACTGGTCGTAGTCGGTTATAAAAACATCATCAGTTTGTACTCCACGCGATACTCGAACAGTTTCAATCTGAGGCGGTTCTTCCGCAGATTGAACATCGGTTAAAACTATACTCAATCTCTGAGCGTTCGGTGTGTTATTACCTGAATTCGATCGGCGATTTGACTGCTGTCTGTCCATTTCGGTACCTACAAGAACAGAGTAAGCCGGTAAGTTCGATGTGTAGCGGTATTTAACTACTAAAATTAATCCGAGAATTAATTTAGCAATTAATCGACAACGTCAATTCAACATTAGTTCGGTTACTAATTAAGCGATTCGGCGAGAGGTATGAACCTCTAGATACAGGGGAAATAACTCGATATTAATTTCCACCAATAATGCGAGAGATACGGACCACAGAATTGGGGGATCGGTAGTATTTCCCGTAAGTTATTACACATGTACATATCCGTTTTTCCCACGGCGTACATGAAATTTTAACTTAATCGATTTCTTATTTTTATTTTTGCGATTATTGTCAGCGGTTTGTACGCTTTCTACTTCCCACTGATTGTCGTCATTTTCGGCGTTATTATTACTTTCAATTCTATCTCTAACGGTATTATTAACTTCATCGGTATTAGACGGTATGAACGGTTCAGCATGAACATTAAATCCATTTTCGACTATCTTTGGGATTATTGTAGTAATTCCCTTACGATCTTCTTCGGTAGTATTGAAACGCTTGAGACGCTCGAAATTAACAATGCGAGTTTCTCCTGGTTTATCTTTATTTTCAATTTCAACTGCATTCGTATATGGGAAACCGGTAACTTCCCATCTACCGCCAAACTTCTCTCTAAACGATTCTGTCTCGCCCTTTTTCTTTTCCTTTTTTAAAAGGACTACTTCTCCGATTTGGTAGTCATCATCACTACGTTTCCGATTAAATCGCTCCGCGCTTTTAAGAAATTCCTCATTTAGATAAATTTCTGCCATTTCCTGCGCGCGGCTTAAATTATGGCGTAATTCCGCCATATATTCGGCAATCGATGGGTGATCGGTCGGTAAATTAGTTTTCGTTGCTACATCAGCCGGGATAACCTGTTCGCGGCCATACAACATATAGTAAGGCGACATATGCGTCGTCTTATTTTCTACTCGGTTTTTTCCTGCGATAACATACGGTAAAACGGTATCCCAATTCTTCTCGCGCCCATCTGCAGCGTACATTGCCAATGAATCGGCAATTGTCTGCATCTGGCGTTCGACAAGTCCTCTTCCAACTGGATGATAAGCAGCACCAAAATGATGCTGTATTTTAAAACGAATATTAATCGCTTCTAATAATTTATTGTGGAAATGTGTTCCACGATCGGTATTGAGAATATGCGGTGTACCATACGGTAAAAATACTTCCTGAATTAGGAAGTTCGCTACAGTTTCCTTTTTCGCGTTTGGTATCGCTTTCGCAATGACAAACTTCGTTAATTCATCAATAGCAACAGCGATATAAGTATTGCCTCTCGGTGTAATCGGTAACGGTCCTTTAAGGTCCACTTGCATACGGTACCACGGTGCACCAATTTTAATTTGTTGTAATTTTCCCGGTGGTGCTTTACGTTCGGTTTTCCTATGCTGACATAAGTAGCAATTTCGCACATATTTATCGATCTGGGCTACCATGCCGTCCCAGTAATATCGCAATGCTATCGCTTTATAAGTTTTCTGTGGTCCCAAATGACCACTCGCCGGTGTATCGTGCATGGCGTGCATGATGTCAACACGCATATGCTTCGGTACTACATAGCGACGGTCTAGGCGGCCATCTTTTTCGGTTAAGCGATAAAGAACTCCGTTCCAGAGTTCGAAATTGGGATCGCGCTTAATTAAATGCGTACTTTCCGCCCTGCCTTCTAAAGCATGGATACGCTTCTCGATAACAGGATCTTTTTCCTGTTCGACTCGATAATATCGAAAATTATCTTCGCCTTCCTCATGGTCAGCGGGATCGGTGATGGTAGTTACTCTGATAGTCGGAGTACTAAACTTTCGGTCTTTCATGTCATCCCAGTCATCATCATCGGCCGTTTCAATCGGCGGACCGACAGGATGGCGACTAAGAGCATCGGCGTTATCGCACTGCCTCCCTGGTCGATATAAAATAGTCATTTTATGACTACTTAATTGAAGTGCCCAGCGTGTAAGACGCCCATTTAGGCCTTCCTTTCGCGAAACAGAGCGCAACAAATTTGTCAGCGCCTGATGATCGGTTTGTACAAAGAAGTGCGAATATTCGATAAAATGCCGAAATTTACGGCACGCGAATACAACTGCCATGCATTCGAGTTCGGTTATAGGGTATTTACGTTCAGCATCGGTCAATAATTTACTGGCGTAAATAATAGGATGACCATCTTGATGTAAGATGGCGCCTATTCCGATTGTACTGGCATCACACTCGATGACAGTCGGTTTACTGGGATCGAATTTCACAAGTACTGGTGCATTAATTAATGCATTCTTTAAGTCGATAAATTCGGCATCGTGCTCGGCTTTCCAATTATTTTTGACATCGATTTCTCCTTTAAGTAACCCGTACATCGCACGGGTTCGGCTCGCAAAATCCTTAACGAATTTTCGATAATAATTGCATAAACCGAGGAAAGATCTAAGATCTTTTTCAGTTTGCGGTTTCGGATACTGAGAAATTGCGGAGATTTTCTCCGGATCGGTTTTTATTCCTGCCTTCGAAACGATATGACCGAGAAAGTGAAGCTCGGTCTCGCCGACATGGCATTTACTCGGTTTTAATGTAAACCCAACTTTAACGAGGCATTCGCACATCAATCTAATTTTGCGAATTAAATCGTCAAAATCTTTCGCTGCTACAATTATATCATCAAGATATGCGAATATATTTTCGTTTCGTACGCCAGAGAGGGCCTTATTCATTGTCTCCTGAAACGTAGCCGGTCCATTACACACGCCAAACGGCATGCGTAAAAATTCAAAAAGTCCATCCTGCGTAATAAACGCAGTTTTTTCGATTGAGTCTTCTGCCATCTGTATCTGCCAGAAGCCGGCATTGCAATCGACGCCTACATAAAATTCATTATCGGCGACTGATTGTAATAACTCATCTGGAGACGGTAGCGGATAATTATTTTTCTTAGTTACATCGTTAAGTTTGATGTAATTAACGCAGAAACGAGTACCGATAGTTCCGTCAGGATTCTTCTTTGTAGCTAACACGACTGGAAAACACCAGTTGCTGTTAGAACGACGAATAATTCCTTTTTCGAGCATTTCTTGTACATGCTCTTCGATAATTTCCCGTCCTCGCCAAGAGGTACGGTGTGGTTTGCTTTTTATCGGTAAGGTATCACCAGTATCGATATGGTGTTTAACGATTGTAACATCACCAAACGGTCTTCGCTTAGTTGCAAATAAATCCGGATAATCAAGGAATACGGCCTTGATTTTATTTATTTGTTCGGTTGTTAATTTCGTATTAATTTTCAACGTATCAACAGCGTCTTTAATCTCCTGCTGTTCCTCAGGAGTTCGCTCAGCAAAAGAGACTGTATTAATACAGATCTCATCATTTCCGATCTCTTCATACGGTTCTAAATATCCGATAAATTGTCCCTTTTTTATGGACTGTCGATCGCTATAAAAATTAAATAACGCCAAAGCGAATTTGCCGTTAACTGGTTGAACGACGCCTTCGATCGGTCTTATATGCCTCTCCATGTAAACATGTGGGCTCGGTAGAAACATAAATTTATCGGTATCAAATTCTTCGGTTTTATCGAAACAAGCAGTAACTGTAGCCATATTCGTACCAGGATTTAATAGGATTTTATCGGTAGCGAAAACCTTAATTGATTTAAGTCGCTCGCCCCGATAAGTAGAATCTACTTTAGGCGACTCGGAAAATTCCCAAGTCTTATCATTAGCGGCGGGAGCAGTCGGTTGATCAGACCTATCTGTTTCCCTATTAATCGGCGTAGAAGCAGTATTTTCTACCGGTTCTACATTTACAATAATTAGCTTTGATGCATCAAATTTTGATTGATTATTTAGTCGCTTTTCACTAGTGCCTGGTACTTTATTGCTTTCAGTTATGTTATCCGGATCGTGAGAATCGATGTTCGTATTATTACATACGATATTCCCATACTCTCCATTCGATACTAACTGTGATCTACATCTCGTAGGCGGTTCATCTTTTTTAAATTCTATGACATCGGCCGTCTCACAGAATTTTGTTTTCGGTTCACGGTTAGCTTTAATAATGCCCTCCGTATCCGGCGGAACATTATCCGGTTTATATTTCTCCTTCAATCGATACGGTAATTTAGCAATTTGCTCCGGTTTTAATTTGATCAAGTCTTCTAGCTCAGAACGCAGTACGTACGGTATGAAGAATTTTGCCTTAGTAAACGCTTCCTTTAATCGTTGTTGTTTCTCTAACAACAACTGGTATTCTTCTACGAAGACTGATTCGATTTTAGCTGCCATCTGGTCGGCTTCTTCTCGACTTACACCTTCTATCGGTGTGCTATCGTCGTTCAGGAAAAGAATATCCCGTCGAGATTTATGAAACAATTCGGTTAGTTCTTGTACTTCAAATACAAAAACTCGATATTCCTGCCATAATACACCAAATGACCATCTCGGCTCCGGTAATTTAGTTTCATTTCCGCTCGTGGCTTTTGCCACGGGTAGCGGAACAATTTCGGTATTAGCGGTTGATTTATTAGGAATTATAGCGGCATTAATAGTGGGTTCCGATGCCACGGGTATCGGAACAATTTCATTACTAGTATTCGGTTTCGCTATCTCCGGTGTACTTGGATTTACTATAATAGCTGTATTAATCGAACGAATCCACTGCAGCTCATTCTTGCGTACAGTGTAAGCGGTATTTGCCAAAAAATCTTGGCCTAATAATACTTTAATATCGTCGACAGTAGGCCTAATATAAAAGGCGTGTTCGACGATTCGGTTTTGTACCTGTATCGCAGCAACACAATAATGTGTCACTGGGAATCCGCGGGTACCGCCGATTCCCTTTATATTTAACGGTTTAATTAGCGGTATTTTTTCTAATTTTAACTCGTCGACAAATTCATTAGAAATAAGCGACGTTTCGGCTCCGGTATCGATCATTACGTGCGTCGTATTTCCTTGGACGCGACCCATTAAGATTAACGGTGCCGCTCGTTTAGGTTCATTAATAGAATCGACGGTAGTATGATTTACGTTTATCTCGTTTAATTCGATATTAATCGGTTCAATTAGCTCGGTGATTCGGATACCACTAATTCGGATTGATTCAGTAGTATCCGGCGGTTCACCAGGCAACAGGGGAGTATCGCCGGAATCTACTCCCCGTTGTCGTTTTCCTGGCTATCGGTGGGCGCAGCAAAATTACTTTTCTGCGGCGGCGGTGAACGTGGCGTCGGTGATGGCCCATACTGTTGGCCGGCCGGACGACCACGAGACTGCGAATTATTACGGGAGCGGCCACCGTTAGGCGTGCTCGCTCCGCTGCCGGTTCGACTGCCACGTCCCTGATAGAAATCCCGAGCGTATCGGCGATTCCCAGTCAGCGGATCGTGGTACGATAAATAAATAGGATTTTCGGCTCGCGGCACGTCCTTAAATTGACATGCCTCATAATAGTGTCCGCAGACATCGCACTGTTGGCAGTATTCCACTACTCTGCCATTTCGCATTTCCTTCTCTAGTCGCGGGGATTTATCGGTATTTTCTGGGATTCGCCCAGAATTTTCGGCCCACAACTGAGAACGGTTCGATTGTTGGTTGCCGGTATTATTAACATTATTGTTATTATTATTACCAGCTGGTCTTACATTGTTATTATTATTAGCGTTATTAGCCGGTCTAACGTTATTATTATTAGCCGGTCGGTATGGTCGCCTATTTGCAGCATTATTCCCACTATTACCCGGGCGCGGCGGACTAGCTGCCGCTGCTGCATAACTTGCTGGTTTCGGTTGTGTCTGCACCGTTCGAACGGTTGCAGAGTCAGCATCTTGCTGTCGCTTCTTATTCCCCACAGGGATTACGTATTTATCAGGATTACTCGATGATAGATGTCGGATAATTTCGAGAAATTTCTCCGGTGTACGAGGATCCATGACCTCGAGCTTATCGTGTAACTTCTCGTGCGTTCGCACACCCTTTAGCAAAAGAGTGACGACTTGTTCCGGAGAACCGGTAAAACCTGCACGATCGCGGAGAGTCATCATTGACTGGAAATAAGTTTCCAGTGTTTCCTGCCCTGGGCGATAAGTGCGGCTAGTTAGTTCGGCTAGCGCATTAACTGTGCGTCGGGTATCCCCGAACCGCGCGATCAACTGTTCACGCCATTCCCGGTATGTATTCGGCTTATTATTCGAGGCGATCAAACCATTATACCAGATAATGGCTTCGTCCTTCAGACAATACGCCAATTCGGTGATTTTGCGAGTATCGCTATTCCAGCGATTCTCTTTCGCTGCCTGTTCAAATTTGATCAGGAAGCTATCGATATCTTCCTTGCTTCCGTTATAAGACGGCCGCGGAACGGGCTGTCTCATCGCATCGGCAAGGTCGGTTTTCCTAATGGGACTATTAGTCCGACTAGCTCGTTTACTGTTCCGTAATTCTTCCTGCAGAACCTTACGGATCAGTTCTGCTTCGGTTAGAGTGATTCGTTCTTTACGATTTTCCATACTAGAAGCCGAATCCATGCGGGATTGCTGGGTTTCGGTGTTCCCAGTCCGCACTCGACTAGCCGGTCTCTCTTCATACTCGCCCTGACTTTCGTTAGCAGCGCTTAATAATTGCTGGTATTTCGCTAATAAGTCGTTATACTTATTAGCTAAAGCATTATACTGCGATCGGCTATTTTCGATAAATAGTTCCAGTTCTTTGATCGTTTTTAAGCGATCATTTGATTCTGTCGATAATCGACCGGTTTCTTGAATTGCTTGGAGATATTGCTCCTGCGATTTACGAACCGATTTATCGGCCTCTAATAACTCCGCTTTTAATCGATCGATTGCTTCATCACGTTCGATTACTTGATCTCGTAGCCCTAAAGCGGCAGTATGTGCCTTCTGATGGCTGCCTTTCGATACTCGCAACTGCTCTTGTAAATTATCTCGTTCCTTTTTTAGTTCTTCTCTTTCTTTTCTCGCTTCGTCTCTTTCTTTCTTTACGTCCGAAATAACCCGATCGCGATGGGTTAAACCGGACTCAGCTTTCTTTAAACGGTTCGATAAATCTGAGTTATCAACTTGAAGTTGTACAATGGTGCCACTCGCTTTAGCAGCACCAATTATTGCAACTTTTTCTCCGGTTGACGGTATCAGGCTCACGGGCGTTAAATCACGGCCCAATGCCTTATCGATTAAATTCGGACTGCTATGTGCCTTCTGAAATCTAGGCACCACTGTCTGTGGTTCATCGTCATCTGACGTGTCGATTTCCTTCTCATTTTCGGTATTGTCAATGACCGAGACCGACGATAACGTCGATCCAATCGATTCGAGATTACTATCAGATTTTTCCGCATTAGCCGGTAATGTTTCAGGAATTTCAAAAATATTCTCGTCCAGATTTATCTGGTCGGCCGGTGAACTTGCAGCATCTACTTCTGTTTCGTCTGGCACCGGTAAATCTGCCAGAGGTTGTCGCTTTTTTACTCTTTTAGTCACCATCGGTAATTCTTGATGAAAAAACGATACGCCAGTATTTTTGATTTTATTTCGCGTTATTTTCCCAGGAGGGTCTTTTACTTCCTCACTAGGTCGATTCGTGTCGCTATCATCACTTTCAGACTGATTACGGATTATCCGCCCGGCTGATCGCACGGCCTCGGCGGCAAAATGCTTAACTTTCGCTAACGGCGTTCGGTGCATGATAGAATTATCGAAAATTAAACGGTAATTTCCACGGTTATATTCTAACAACGTATGCGGTAAATCATACGGAAAGTCTATTTCGAGTTCCCATATTTGGGTCGGTTCATCGATAAATTCGATTAAATCTCGTAAAGATTTACGGTTAGAATTTAGCGGTATTAGCTGAGCTATTTCAGCTAAGCTTTTACGCAGTTAGATAATTCTGTTGAATTAACAACAGAATACGGTACACGTGGAATAATCCACAACGATATGCATTACCAAATCGGAAGTTATCGCAGTTAATTTCCACAATTTATTCGCAACTATCACACTCGGTATTTTTGCTGATTTCTTCAGCAAACTATTTCGATGATTACCTATGTAATAATCGTGAAATTATTAGACGGTTAAAGCTTTACTGTGCACAAAGCACAACATCGACAATTACGGTGCAACACGGTAGCTTTCACAGCTTCCGCGTTCGATAAATATTCCTACAATTATTCAGTAAATTCGGTCTATCGATTCTGGTATTTCTATCAGGAAATAATCGGCTAATAATTTCGATAATAAAATCGAAAATAATACGGTAATGTTATCGACAATTACGATAATACGGCGATATATTACAGATGCTTTACAGCTTCTGTATTCGATTAGCAATTTCAGAAAGGATCGGTAATTTCCTTCTAAAATTATTCGATAGCAAGGCCTAGACGACCTTGATCGGTATCTGCAATTCTGCAGCTTGGCTTACCTGCTAGCTGACGTGACTGTAGCTGATGCGGTCGACGCTTGCTTGCTTGCTTCCGAAATTGACGTCCGGACGCAGACTTCCTTTTCCCGCTCCTGTTCCCGCTAGGAAGCTCGCCTGTTGTCGGGGCTTCCCTCCGGTATGTAGAGGAGACGGATTCGATGCGATGTTGACGGGAAATCGGCTCAGGAGCTCCGCGTTGTCGGGCTGCTGATGTTAGGACTTCCTCGTCGCTTGCGTATGGCTAACGTCCACGCTTCGCTGTAGGCTGAAGGCAGACTGAATGGCCAATACGGAGAATTCCGCTGATGCGCGCTATTGACTACGCGCCAAATAAATTAAATCGAAAAATGAAGGGATACGGGAATCTTATTGCATCTCCACCATGTCAGCGTGGCGCTCACGCTGCTAAGGAAAAACAGAACAAACGCCAGCCACAAACGATCGTTTATTAATTTTCGAAGAAAATGAATAAAGGCACAATGCCCAGAACACAAATCTCATGCGCAAAACCATCAAGCTGTCAGAATGTAAATTCTGGCAGCGCGGATCTAAAGTCAATGAGCAACCGATCGCAGATCGGTAAAGCCAAAAAAACAACTCGCACGTGCAAGTGCACAAAAGTGCAACGGAAGTGGCGCGACTCTGCCTATCTATAAGGCAGCACCAACCTCCTAACACTGGTCAGTAATGGTATCTCGGTCACTCACTCACCTTAAAATAACATAAATGCGGCTTTTTGCTTCAGGCAGTTGCTTATAAGAGTGGTCCTACCAAATCAAACAACCAGATAAACTTACAATATTTATTTGTGAGTTGTAACGCACTGTTTGTATGGTTAAGACCTACCATTTCTATTGTTTTACAATTATGCGGACAACGAAAATCGACAAGTTATCTTAATTTTGTGGTTGGTAGTGTACGAAAATAAGTTCAATTTATTCCTTCTAAATTGCGTATTTAATAATTTATGTTACGTATTGTATTCAGGCAAAATTTTTCCAAGTTTAAGGTCAGCATGCATCGTGCGGGCACGATTCTGATCGCACGTATTCAAAAGCAAAAGTCCTGTGACGCAGTTCTGGACCACGGCAGATCTAACTGTCGTATCAGATTTTTATAATTATAAAAGTTTTTGGTAAGAGAGATCTCCAGACTGTGGGGAGGCTGCGCGGAGTACTGATCTTTTTCTTAATAAGCACTTGATAATGGCTCCTAAAAACAAGAGCTACGCACTCCCCACGCGCAACTTGCCGTAGGCATGCTATACGAGGGAAAACGCGCGTATCTAATTGGTTAATTTTTAACTGAAATTTCAGAGAAATTGCAAATTCCAGCTGTGATGACCCTTGCAGGTTAATGTTGCAAGTCATGCTGTATGTCAGTTCATCAGGCGCGAGCAGAAGTCTTCTACACCCAGTTTCCGCTAATCTGCTTCGCTGGAATTTGCAAACCCCAGTAAATCCAATTGGAAATAATAATCACACGGTCCAGAAAATATGATGCTCAAAAACATGCGTGCCGTTTCTTAAACGTTGGCTGCTATGCCAGGTAATCGTACATCTGAGCCCGCAATTATCCCGTCCAAACAAAGGCCATAATCCAAGCCGGCATGTCCAGTCCCGTGCAGGTATCTTCCACTTTGTTGGATCTTAATAACGCAACAGCTGCAACGCACAGTTCCTCCTCTTATTGAAACGTCTCAAAACATTCGCTATTTTAAAAATTTTATTTTGAGATACAAATACTTTACTTGTTCTTTTTCAAACCCGATCAAGCTTGCTTCAAGATGGGACATTGTCGCTCTAGGCTACTGGCGTAGACTATACTAATACGCCAGTAGACTATACTACTGTAGAGCGGCAATGGATAGGAATACTATGCTTGGTATGCAGAAATACAGTACTTTCTGATTACAAGTGGTAAAATTAGCGCAGCTAGTGATAAAACCTGCTTCTGCGGCAGAAATTTGTGTCACTCCGCGGACGTTCATTATTAGAGACCCTGTTTTGGTATACGCCATGTGCATCCCTAAATTCTTTCAAAACAATCTTTTTCCAAGTTCGGCATATGACCTTAAGCACCTAACAATAAACAGAACATTAAACTTTAACGAAATTAAAAAAGAAAAATTAGGTCAGCCGTAAGCACGAAACGTTTGTTATTTCCGGTTTGAGAAGATTTCAGCTTTTCTAAGGCAACGTTGTCTATAGAAGTTTTACTGGAACAGCTGCACTATGGTAGTTTTTGAGGTTTTGACCTTCTTAGGGATTGTGCATGTGACTGGAATCATTGCGCAAAGATTAAATTTCTCATAAATTTCCAGCACTCGTTCAAAACATTCGTTGCAATTCAGCAGCAAAATTGGTGCAAGCGTTCAACACGCTCGTTTTTAGTGAAATCGCATGACGAATTCATTTTTTAATTACGTCAACGAGCCGTCGACGGCAGGGATGACAAGTGAATGCGGCCGTCCGGTGTTTTATCTCCAGTGTCCAACGTGACAACGTTGCAGTGACGTCTTGCAAAACTTGCAGAATGTAGCACGCCACATAAATGCACCCAGGTTACAACGAATCTAAAATTTTCGGAAAAAGTATTCTGCATCGCATTTTAAATAGCCTTCCAGGCTAAAACTATTAATACAAGTACATACTGTAGCGGCTGGACGAATTTGCGCCAGAGTACGTCCGGACGCTGCATTTGCCATTTTTCCTGTCCGGTATTGCACATGCTTTGTAGAATATCGACTATTATTATCGAGCAGCGGGTATAACGCACACATTAAGACTACAGTGGAAGGTTCTAGCGGCTGCAGGACTTCCTACCGAAGTTCTGCTGCATCCTTTTTCCCCGACTTAATAGGCAGGAGTGGTGCATCTCATAACAACCATACAATATCACAGCGGTGACCGAAATGCTGGCAGACCATGCCGTACTAGTGGAACGCCAACACCACCTACCGCCTTCCTCCCGTGGGAAAATAATTGTACAATCGACATTTCGTGGTGGCAGACCATGGAGAGTTGGGGGCAGTACAGTGAGACGATTAGGCCGCTGGTGGCGAAAATTCCCTTCCACTTACCGATTCGTGTAAAGCGCCGTCGCGTCGATGTCTAAAAACCAGATTTGGATTTGTTGTAACTGGTGGGGATGATGGTCTGACAGTGGCAGCACACTTTATTGTCCCGTAACAATCCTTCAACGACATCTCCACTCCTGGAGTCAGTAAAACCCCTGAAAAAGGCGCTTAGAATTACAAACCAGTCCGAATGCTTGACCGTCCTTTAGCAAAATGATCAGGAAGATATGATTACAAATTGAAAGGAACAGACGAGGTCTGTATCTGTGTAAATGTTTGACGTATTCTTACTGCACGCGTGGTGATTATCCATTTTTACTATTCGAAACATGTCTAAGTTCAACTTCCAGTGAACCAGTTAAACCACTATAATACAAGATTTACTTTGCAGTGATATCGCATTCAATGTGCTTGGAATTGCTCACGAAATCATACTATTGCTGATTCATATACTTTAGAGCGTTTTCTGGGGAAGGTAAGAAGCAGGTCGCACAGGAAAACTGATCAGTCCAAAGAAAATCTACAGCGAAGATTGATAACTGCTTAACCTTGCGCACATTTGCGCAGTCAGTTTTGATGAGTCTTTACAGCGGCATAAAGCAGCAAAATATTTTTGGGAACCTTTTAACGCACCGCCCAGATTTATAAAATTCACCAATGTAGTAGGTAAAATTCCCGAATCCCCTGTATGTATACTGTATATTGCGAACACCTTCGTTCCACCGGTGCGGAAGACCAAATTGACGGATTCTATTTCCCTCGCATCGACGCTGGAGACGGTCAAGTTGCCGCGTGAACAGTGCAAGATCACCCTTTTGATGTACAGTATCTGTATGCAGGCTCATTGGCAGCCCGGTAGGCGTCATTTTTAAAAATCACAGGCGTAGAACAGTTTTATTCTGATTCACATCACTTTGTTCCAGGTGATGGAATTTACCGCATTACTATTCTTGTTTAAATGCGGTAACAAGATTATTTCCCGATAAATGCCACGGCAATACTGCAATATGTAGTAAGTACCTATTTGTAAAGACCAGCTCTTAATTTTCCCTTGTCATACGCCATTCAACATGTGTGGTTAAGCTCATTTTTATTACAAAAATCAATATGCGTGTAAATGGACACTGTTTTATCGATGTACATCTCAAATTTCTTAAGTCCATATTCTTATAAAATTGTGCGTAGCGGAGACTGACATGACTTCTTCGGTGTATCGTACACACACTTCCGCTGTATACATGTTTGTGCAATAGACGCTCCATTGATGCAAAAGCTTCCCTGCAGCCACGGCGTCAAGTGCGACTGGACGTCAACCACATTATCCAACAAACGTACGGAACCGGCATCGCAATGAACGCATAGTGCGCTGCCGTATACAAAACACGCACTGCTCCCTTTGCTGTACTTACATCGCTGCCACCGGGTTGAGTCGATTAAGGCATTTCCGGTCGGCTACAGTCTTTTCTAGCGTAATAAAAATCACGCCCCACCAGCATGTATACTGCGCATTTCACAAATAATTTACAGTGTACGTGTACGCGGAAATATGCCGATTGTATACCCACTCTGCTGTATGTTTGATACATCATTTCCCGTAGTATTTTACGGTAAGGCAAAAATCAGCGTGAATTGCAGCGCGCGTGCAATACAACCGGCATTTCCGCGTCCCGCTTTCCCCACTGATCGCCTAAAGCCAGCCAATAATCCCCGTTGCACAGTGCGCACGCATAGCCCGACCGGCATTTACGGCTCAACCTGATCTATGTGTGCGTCTATAACACGATGCGTCTCTTCCCCGGTTGCCTACGCCTGATCGGCTACAAATTCCCACAATGACCTGTAAATATTTATCCATGATTATGATGTTGCTGTTGGTGATTTGATTGGCCTTTTTGCCCTGACACACACACACACACACAGATATACACCGGGATCCGCGTGTGGTCCAAAGGGAAATCGGGGCGCCGACGGATATGGCGGCGCCGGTCAACGGAAGTATGATGGTTAATTTAACTAATGCCAGCACAACGCCGAATGATAATGAGACGGTGGAGCATTCAGGGGAGATGTACCCGCATTATTATCTCATTGCCAGTATTGCCACGGTCCTGTATGCCGGGATCTTTATTGTCGGGGTCATTGGGAATCTGTTGGTGTGCTACGTGGTGGCCGCCTATAAAGATATGCGGGATAATATCTTCCATATTTTCTTAGCGTAAGTGCCCCTTGCTGCATAATGTCTTTTATGTGGGGGAAGTGAATGTATGCGCATTTCATACGAACGGAAATATCCCGGATTTCAATGGAGATTTTGATAACACCCAATGGCATAAAATGCAGGCGCCGTTGTCCTGCTTTCTTACGGGAAAGTGTGGCCGGAAACACTGCTCAAACAATCCCCATAAATTATCTTACGAATGGATTTTCTTTGTAGTTAAGAAATTTTTAAATCTCAGGAATCACTATTACAACAGGTTTTTTTTGCCAATCTTCACTCTTTCAACTAAAAGATTAATATACTCTGTAGAAGCCTCTATCAGAGAATTTGCATAAGGAACTGGTTTATATTTTTAAAAAAAATCCGGCTTAGTAAAAACGTACTACGACATTACTAAAATTTTATTGCAAAAATTCTTTTAACAAATTTAATATTATAATAATGCAATAGAGATTTCGATTTCAATTAAATTATGGATGCAATGTTGAAGATCAAGCGCATACAATAAATTATTGACGGAGCATTTAATCGGTGTTGTGGCTATCATTGGGCCAACATTCCTTGCGGGCCAATTTTGCCGGTTTAGTTGTCGCGGTGGCTTTATTTATAAATACCACTCGTATCCCTTAATGAACCTAACTAGCTCAATCTTTTCACTTAAAGATGAGAGATCCTTCAAATTTGCCGGGCGCTCCTGTGCCAATCGGCCGGCATCCATCTATCACTAGTCGCGGCTTTATTTTTAGTTGTCATGTAGTCGAAAAAACACACTATCCTGCCTGTGTACAGAGGAGCGACAGCTAAGTTCCGCCATGCTGATTTCCACCGGCCAAAAGAATAGGCCCGGGTTGCATGTAGTGCATTAGGCGAAGAGAATACTCCAATGCCAAAGGGGTTATTCAATTATCAACGCCTTAAACTTAAAACATCCAGCACGGCAGCCATATAGCCAGGGCCGACCGGCTTTTCGAAATAACAGCAAATCACTTTTGTCACTTATGTTATTGCCTTTCAGTGTGAATTGACGCTATTTCAATGCCTGGCAAGGCAGCGAATTCCGGATGTGCTTTAACTGTTACTTTGTAGAAAATGTCGACATTTATCAGAATATTTATATAGAGAAATTGTCATTAAAAAATTTTAACCAACTTCCGATGAATATGCAGTCTTCCCTGCAAAAATAATTGTCATATTTATAAATGTGTTTTGTTGTAGCTAATGTGTTTTTAAACAATTTTTATGAATCAAAAAGTGAGAAGCTTTTTAAAAAAAATGTTTATTGCAGAGCAAACTGGGGATTGGCAATGTCATAGATAATTTCAATAATTTAATAACATAGAGCTGCTTAAAAAACCTTAAAGCTTAACTAAAAAACGAAAAATATTCCCATAACATTATTTTATTTTTAAGACGGTTCATCATTAGGTAAAATAAAAATGCCCATAAATCCATCATCCTGAACCGTTCTGCCGATTTTTTCCCGGCGGGCTTCGCGACTTCCCGAAACCCCGCTGCACCCGCCATTTGCGGGAAAGGTCAATGCTGCGGCTAATCAAAGTATTATGCGCTACGCGATATGATGAAGGGCCCATTTAATCCCCCCTTCCCGGCACACGCGACCTGCGGGCCCGGTTTTAAATCGCAGCGACATTTTCTGTCTGGTATATAACACTGATATGTTTTCTCCTCTTGTTGTTGCATGTGCAGAAATCTGAGCATCGCCGATCTGCTGGTGGTGGCCGTCTGCGTGCCCACGGCCATGGTGGATGTCTTCAGCGAGGAGATCTGGTATTTGGGCGAGGAGATGTGTAAGTGACGTACAATTTATACAGAATCTAACGGCGCACTGGTCGCCAAGATATACACTATACATTAGCGAATTTATGCCGGCTGCAATGTGCGTGTATATCTACGGGGGAATATAACGCGCGGTGCTCTTGAAATTGGAGAACATGGATAATGAGCGGGAAGTGCCTAATGATGTAGGACCTTCATCAGCCACCAGTGTGAATCGATATCACGCCGTGTCTTTTAAGCAACAGCAGCTGTAGCTTGTTATAACGCAAACCGCTTTTACCCTTACCGGAAGTGCAGGAGCAGATGGATAAAAATAAATTGAAAACAATGAAGAAAATCGCATCTACTTCATTATATGGCATTCTGTGGTGGAGTCCCCAGATTACCGTTACAGTAAATTTAACCTTTCGCTGCGTGCGATAAAGTATTGATTTGTTTGTTGGCGATGCTATATTGTCGTAAAATACCGCATGACGCCATAATCGTGGGGTGAAGAACGTTTCATCTTCGATTTCCGAGCCACAAATACACCTTTTCCGGCTACAATATAAAAAGAGTCAGCCAGTTTAAAAAAACATAAATAGTGAATGTGAACTATTGTTTTCCAAAATTGTGAAATAAAAAAAAATGTTTTGTAATACCGTATTTATTACAATTAACACAATATAAAAATCATGTGTTGGTTTTAATATTTTTATTTTATTAAACATTTTGTTTAATAGTTGACCAGTCATAATTTGTGGTGCGTGATTGATGCGTAATAAATTAAAATAAATCATCCACGATTCTCTGGGAGAATTTTTATGGGGCGTATAATTCAGCGGATTTCAATTAGGGCGATATTGAGCGCATGACCTGTAATGCGTCTTTAAGAAAGCGCTTTCAAGTGGCAAAAGCCGGGCGCAATCTCATCGCTTTCGTCCCATCCCACCATAATTACCCGAGCCGCGGCCATATTTCCCCATTCAACGAAACGGGGAAATCGGATATATTTTTTTCTCTCCCGCATTACGTACATCACTTGCACACAAACATACTGACAATGGAGTCGAGAATGATGGACCGCGTGTCTACGCCTGACCGCTTGGCAATTGGACCGCCACATGCGTCATCTCTCCGCGCACACGGCAACTGCATTAGCCAGAGCGCGCGCGGCTGATTGTTCTCACGCTCTGTGTATGCTGGGAACCAGTGCCAAGTTAATCGGGTGCGCGCGCCATATGTGGTCAGGAGGAATGATAATTACAGCGGCAGGAGCAGAGCGCGGATTCCTTCCGTTTCCTGTCCTATGCAAGGTGCATATGAAGGATGTAGTTGCGTGCCGTGGTGGTACCTTTCGGTGATATGTCGGTGTGGCTGCTGTATGTTGCCAAATGGTGATCACAGCGGTGACGTCAATTAGAGGGGCACTACTCACTCCGCCTTACAGGGACACTCGGGGCCGGCAGCGCACTGGCAGTCTGTGTGTTTTTCCGACTGAATTCGGCCGGAATCTCCATCAATTCGTTGCCCGTGCCCTCTGCGCAGGTTGGATGTGGCATTCAATGCCTGTCAGTTTGAGTGGCGCTCTGTGTGCGTAATTGCACTGCCAGCGTCCATTACATGCGCGCTTTTATACACCCCCGTAGCAGACGCGTTGGTGGGAATATTTTCTGCTTTTCCTATAAGCAGCACATGTATTTAATAATTAATCATTAATAAAATTTCAAAATTATTATTTGGTAATACAAATAAGAATAACAATAATAAAAATTATTCGATAAAATTAAAAATTAACAAATTGCAGCTATGTTTTCAAATTTTAATTCAGTTTTTAATAATTGTATTCTCTAGAGCGTAATATTGCTCGAACTATCAAAATAAAAATACGGAACAACCCACTAAATTTATCTGGCAATTTCTGTTTTTTAAAGTGGTTTTCTCCCTGTTTTCGCAACATTCTCCAATTCTTATCGGCTTCGTTCGTTACGCAATAATCCCATATTTAAAGGACCTAGAAAGTATCCAAAATCCTTTACTTCCGGTCACTTGTTCCGTGAGCCCAGCGTCTGACGAATCCCAAGGTTTATCCCTTTTTCACTCCCGATCGACCGGGTACGCGCGTGCACCAATTCTCCCCTCTTCTCCATAAATAATCCACCGAGTATCGTCTGCTCACGATCACAAGACCAAGACCAATTATCCGCCGGCAGAAGAGCACATCGTCCCCCCACTCGACACGTCCGAGTACTGGGTCGCTTCTCTATCCCTCTTCACGCGCCAGGCGATATAATATTGCATTATCCCTTTCCGTACTGTTCTTTCCCTTAATACCGACACACACGCGCACCGAGTGCCAATAAATACTTGATGGGCAATTTACGCCAGCGACTGACCAGCTGCTGGTAACAGGCGCGCCTATAATTGACCAACACCATCAGTGTGTATAGACATTCGGTAAATATTTACTCACACCAATCGTGTAGTGATACTTTTCGCCGTACATCTCACGCCAACACCGGGGTGGGCGCGTATTTATTGTGGGGTTAACGCAACAACTTCCTTCCTCCAGCTGGCTGTGCCGGGCCACCCCGGCCACCGTCGATCATTTCCGGCTAGCGGGCGGAAATGAGCCACTACTGATTATCCACTGTCGTGCCAACGTTAAGAAAACGGAGAAATCTCTGATATCGAGAAATGGCGATATATGCAACATATTGAGATGTGCCGGTGATGCGCTCGCTGCGAGGACAAAAGCGTCCGGCATGCTGACAATGGGTGTAACGATCGTGGCGGCTCGATAATCGATGCCACTTGAGCGTGATCGCCGCTGAAGTTTCTTAACAAATTTCTCTCAGTTTTTTTAGGAACACTAGAATTCGTTGTGATATATGTGACAATTTATTATGTTGCTTTTTGAAGGTGCCAGTTTCTGTTTGCTTTAACGGTTCAGATAAGTACTGGTTAAAAGAAATTTAAGTTTTCCAGTAATGTATTAATATTGTGCAATAATTTAATACATGTTTCATCATCTATTTAAAAAAATATTTACTTAACGAAATATGCTTTATCAGTTGAAATAAATATGTAAATATAAATGTAATTTTTTTCACTTGTAAGCCGACGCCATTTTACGATTGTTCCGGTTAAAGAGCAATGCACGCGCCCGCCCCATTCTTGGCCGGCGTTACTCCAGATCCAGGCGATGACGTGGTTTTCAAGGAAAATTTATTAAGATCGTGATAGTTTTGGCGGTTACGATAGACGGTTATTCTTCATCGTTGTGATGGGTTTATTGGAAATCGATCTTTAGTGTGGACACAAAAGTCATCAGTGAAAAGCTTAATGTCCATTTAAATACATTATAAATCGCGTAAAAATCGCTCGCCCTCTTTGCCAGTTCATTCGCCGTGGTATGACACACGTTTAAGTTTTCATTCGGTAAAGTGCGATATTATAATCGGCATTCTGGATTATTGTCAATCGAGGATAAATCGCATATTTGTTTCGCATTTGGCTTTGCAGATTATGTTTCCATAATCGTTTTTAATACTTATTCAGGCGTGTTTTGCCCTTGCCTAAATTTTATTTTCACTGATAATTGTTTCGTAATCTAAAAATATAAGACTGCAAATGTTATTGATTATTAAATCACGAATTTACCAAAACGTAATTGTCAGTGAACCCAAAAGCTAAAATTAATAAATAGGAGAACATTATTTTTGACCAATTATTTTTAATGTCGTGGTAGTTAGATAGTTCTTTAATAATTATACAGCCAGCAGACGTGAGAGTATTATAACAATCTTAATTATCCTGTGAATATTTGCCGTCTGCGTATTCGCTGGGTAATGGCTTCACGTAACAACACTCTCATTTATAACGCTGCCTCCACGTGTGTAACTCTCCATCATCCGCGGATCGTCTTCCAAGAAAAACAATCCATTAATCACTAGCATATCATTTCCCGTATCGTTGCCCCTACCGAATCACACACTGATGCGATATATCCACTGTATAACACAACGCATCGAACATAACGTTGCCCAACTAAATCATCTCGGCTGACACATTCTTCGGGGCGTTGTTTTCCGCCTGTTATTTCTAACATCGCACCCGCGTTCTTTTTTTTACGCAATCAGCGCTCGTGTAGGGCTGTAAAAGTGTAAATGAGGGGACATAAATCAACAACCGGCACATTGTCAGCCGCGAGTACGGATGTACGCGCGCGCGGTGATTGCCGGTTTGACACTTGCATGTAACTGCACTTCTGAAGCGATGACCTTCACCTTTTCTCCACGTGTGCCGGGTGGTGAAAGGGCTATTGATTGTTGTCTGCGTCATGGCGTTTTTGTAATGTCGAGAATATACAAAAAAGGGATTAGTTTTGCCGGTTCGATGGAAACGTGATTTGAAAGCGTCGAAAATGATGCTCTTATCATAATTACACCCGTTGAATAATGGTGTAATTCGGGATAAATGTGCGCCGCATTTGAGTAATGTAACAATGATGTCGCATTTCCGTTACCAGGGACGCGGTCAGAAAAACTGCGGCGACCTTGAGATATTCTTAGAAAAAGCTTTTAATGCACACTATTAACATGCTAAGAAAACTGTAAACTTTGATTACATGAAACCGGAAAACGCCGACTTCGTTTCCGAGTATTGATAAATTAGCTTCTCCGGTTTGTAAATAAGACCTAGTATGTATTTGTGATTTTTCATCGAGTTCTTTAAGTAAATGTAAGAATGCCTAACAAATAATGTTTGACGAATTTTACATATTCCGTATTTTCACCCATTCCGTTTGCAGTTTTGCTTTAGTTGTCTTTACCTTTCCAACTATCTTATAAATTCAGTTTAAATAATTTTTAATATTTTCTTGGATTGTTAACGACAAAAGGCAAAAGGCTTGAGCTGGAGGTTGGGAAAAAATGTTACATAAACGGTAGACGTAATCTTTTTCTTATGCCGCAGTTTTTTTGGCATCATTTCTTTTGGCTACAGCGATTACACATTGAGCATTAAATAACCGTCTCCCATCCCATTCTGCCATGGACATTACACACACGCGCAATGGATATTCATCATTATTTCTTCAATGGGCTCCTCGACAAAATTTATGGTGTGGAACGAAAAGAAAATGTCTATGCAAATCGCTGCCGATCAAAGTGCGCGCAGCCCGCAGAGCCGTATGCAGTGCGCGCGTTGTTTTTCGGATATGGAGAAAAATCCTGTCTATCCCAGGAGGCACATCAGGCATCATGGGCGCTGATCTGCGCATTCATGTTCAGCCTATCCAGGGGCAATCAACTCATATTTACGTTGTCGGCTGAGTTGCACAGCCAGCGGGATGCAATCAATGCTCGCACCCGCGCTCCGATCATTACGCGATCACGAGCGTTAACAACAACCCTTCTAAAACACCAGATGCGTGACCTTTACATTTTTTAGTAAATCCTCATAATTTTTCCGTGATAGAGAACAAACTACAAAAGTAAAATTTAATTTACGATTGATATTTGTTTCGCAAATTAATATTTACACTAAAATGGTGACCTTTCTGTTATACAGATATAAGAAAAACTCACTTGCAAAATGTGGTAAATTTCAAGCGAGATATTTTTTGGAAACATTGTGAGGAAAGCGGGACATTCAGCCCCGTTTGTAAAGAACAAAGCGCCAGCCGGAAGTGCAGATGGAGTGTTGTGCTCTTTGGCCAGAGAATGGTTGTATCTGCCGTGGCGGCGGACTATTCTTGATCCGACAATCGGTGAAGGATAGCCAACAGGAAGCGCATGGCTATGGCCTTATCGTCGGCCAGCATCTTTCTCCTCTACGCCCTCACTCTCGGGGCACAACTACACCGGCATAATCGGGCACTGCTCACAGCGTCCCCGGAGAGTCTTCATTCTTCGTGGCTGCATATATAAATTTAGCCCAAACATTCGAGGCTTGGATTCCTGGTGCGGTCATGCGTGGAAGATCTCTTTCCATGGCTATGTGCTGATTTACAAAACAGATTGCGCCAATCATCGCATAATTGCGCGGTCTCCCGTCCTCAAAAAACTTGCCAAAAAAATGGAAAAATCAATGCTGTTCAATTTTGCTTTAAAAAATTATCACGTAATAGCTAAAGAAATATACAGATTATTAGCCATATGCCAAATCAATATTTTTAAAAAAGTGTTTTAAAAAAGTTAATGTACTTTTTAATACTAGAATAGTGAGAAAATTTTACGGAATGGGCTATAGCGTAATATAATTAAGCCGGAAATAAGATTTCCATTGTCGCCATTAAAGATAGTCCGTAATTCAGGATTTCGGAACGGCGATATTTTTAACCGTTGACAATTTGAAAAGATGCCATAAACTTAGCGAAATGTGCGTCAATCACAGAGCCGTATTAAAGGATTTGTTATTTCGGCTAGCACGCAAGGGCAACGAGCACATGTTAGAAACCAATCAGAATCTCGCGTGACAACATCCAATAACAACTTATCGGTGTGTGGGTATACGTATACCAACGGATGCGATATCGACACTTTTTACGTCGTATGTATAATGGTGTCACTACGCTTTAAAGCTACAGATTTCAGTGTATTTTGTGCGCGCTGTAACCTGCAATCTAAATGTGCAGTACAGAGTATTGTTTCTGTACACACACAATGCAAGCATGCAATTTGGTGGGATTATGCTTAACTGCAAAAGCTATACATGTACCGTAAATCTAAGTCAGTAGTGAAGTGTGACAACTACAGTATATCATAAGTACGTATTTGTACCTACGTATAAGTACCTACAGTAAATTATCATAAGTACGTATATAGTCTATATCATCAGTACGTATCAAACGTATTTGTATAAAATTTTATACAAATACGTTTGATTGATTGCCAGTTTTCCCACCTCCAAAATTATATGTGATCTATCTGGCAAAAGTTATCGAAGCAACAAAAGCGCATTTGAGCGACGCTACTTAAAAACGCTGGGGTAATCATACGTTAAGAAATTTGATGTTTGTATACCGTTAAAAAATTCTATTAATTTGCTGGTTGCGCACAGATATGTAGACCGTAGTTAGTGCGTCCCAGATTCGGAGCAATTTCCTGCTGCTGTTTACTTCTCGACACGACATTAATTAGCCAGTCACCGGCGACCGCGTTAACCCCCGTTTGTACACGCGTGCACACAGCTCATTAAGCCAATAAGCGGCGCTATTAGAGCCGCCGCCCGGTTCGCTGTTGATGATTATTATGTTTATATACACAGTGAATAATATGATTATGTGGACATATCATATAGGCCGTGCCGTCCCTTTTTTGGAATACTCCGTCACTCATCTGTCAGTACTGACGATTCTGGCCATCAGTTTCGAGCGCTTCCTGGCCATCATCTATCCGCTGAAGGCCCAGTATCTGGCCAGCCGCAATCGCAGTCAGGCCATGATTATTGTCATATGGGGCGTGGCCTTCGTCACCAGTATCCCCTTTGCGCTCATACCCACATACTCTTCAGGTATGTACTGCGGTTGCTTATGCGGCAGTCATGGACGTGTTTCTGTCTTACTTGTCGACCAATCGCGTCAATCATCGTCATACATCAGTTTCCGCCATGGACCTCTGCCAACCGTATTGAGTAATGGCTAATGGTCTTTGTTAAGAAAACATTCTGACAGAGTTTTGAAACGCGGTTTAATGTTCTTGATGAATGGTATAATACCAAACTGTACTCGTTTATCCGGCTATACAGCACCGTGCCGCTCATAGCGTACAAATTTCCTTCAAGTACAGGGTTAGGGTACAGTAACTGTCTGTAAGTACTGTAAAAAAACCAAACAGAACTTGTAAGAACTTAAGCGCTCATGCGCCTACAAACGCTTTTTAGAAAAGGATATATGCCTCGAATATTCCTTTACATCATACAGATACCGGCATTTGCAGAACCATAAGCACGCAAAGAATTTAAAATATATGATTAGTTTTAAAAATTTATCGGATATAAAATACATATTTCAAAATGCTCGCTCGAACAGCGTTTTACAAAAATAATTTATTATGAGCACTATCCTTTCTGGAAAGTTACGGACGGTTGTTTAAATGCTTGGACTAATCACCGCGCAGTAATATCTGCTCACTATACTGAGAAGGAACAATGACCTCTGGTTTTTTTACAGTAAACCACAGTCGTTTTGACCACTTGGTGCCGTCCTGTGCACAACCGATCGACACCAAACTGAAGGAAGCCTACATGATCCTGGTGGTGGTGGTGTTCTTCGTCATCCCTTTTTTCATCTTACTCGTCCTGTACGCTTTCATCAGCCACCACCTGATAAGGGACTCCTACAAGACCCTCGGCGTCACCACGGACTCCTTGGCGACGAATATGCGGGCGCGGAAGCAGGTCGTGATCATGTTGGCAACGGTGGTAAGTTGAAGAAACGGTGCTTCTTCGGCTGAGCCAGCGGAGAGCTTGAGTAATGGTCGGAATGCTGGGGTGGGGTAATTCCGGGTGGCGAAGAGTAATTGCAACTCTGCCGGTTGTTTTTGAGTAGATGGAGCGCCACTGCTGATGGCGTTGGGCAGATTAGGGAGTTTATGTTGGGACGATGCGCACGAGTCATTTTTCTTTCAAGGAACCGACGCGGCCGTGGCGGTCGGTAATTGGGCATAATTATGTTGTGCACAAGGCGGCTGCTTGTCGTCCATCTGACATAAATCATGAATAATGAAGATGCCGGGACGATGTTATCAGGAGACGCCAATGACGAATTCATCGTGCGAATCTGGCGGCCGTTTATAACGATTTGCACAGACTAGTTTTTGTGGAACAGCGACAGTTCTTTTACGCTTCCTCCAATTCAACAGCGTATATGAAATCACGGCAGAATGCTTACCGACGTTCGTTGTTCTGTTGCCGAGGACCCTATGTACGATCGTCCTCCAATCTATTCAGCGTTCTTTTTTTGCGTCCGACTCGGATACTTAAGTATTTCTAAATCATCAGAAATTATGAAGGCAACATGTTCTTTTATTATACGAGTTCTTTTCTTCGTTGAACAGTAGCGGCTCGATCAAACTGCACAGGAGACTTTTGTGTATGAGAAATCAGCACTAACTCGTAAAGTGTGACTGTTCGTGCATGCGAACGCATGAGCATGCACTCGCTGCATATGCCGTTTTCCGTGGTGCAACTTGGGCCGCTACAGTTCACACAAATGTACTCTGTACAACAGATTTAATAATGACAGCCAAGGCAAAATTTTGGCGCGGCACGTAACACGTTAAAATACGAAGTACATATTAATAACTTAGAACTTTATTATTAGCAAAGGAAAAGCCGTAAAACGGGTACAGAATACAAAAATACATACTTTAGGTTTAGCGATGATGGGCAAGACTAGCAGCGGGAAGAAATTTATTGCACATGCAGCAGTGCCGGGATGCAATACGAATACAATACTCTGTCATAGCAGCAATAAACCGGTCAGCGCAGTTAACGTCTGGCACAGCGTTAGCCATCAGCTGAATTTCACTTTTGGTCAGTCTTCATAACCGGTTAGCGTGCAGTAAGATCGGTGTCATCTAAAACGTTTCACTTTTCTATCCAGGTTGGAGCATTCTTCGTCTGCCTACTGCCATTCCGCATCTTGTCCGTCTGGACCATCTACGCCGACACAAAATGGTACGAGGCCCTGGGCGCACCCAGCTGGTTTACACTGCTGTACTTCGCCCGCATCATGCTGTACATGAACAGCGCCTGCAATCCGGTGGTCCTCTACTTTATGTCCACGAAATTCCGCACCAAGTTCCAGCATGCCCTGTGCTGCCGGCCGCTGCCGGCGTCCAACCGGGATAACATCAGTCGGAGCGGCACCTTTCGCTACAGCGTCCGCACCGACTACAGCGGCAGTCTAAAACGGCCGGACTGCGGGACGCAGTACACGTTCACCTCGTCAAGCTCATTGAACAGACGCTCACCCATGAGCAACGGCAACGGTAACGCCTCGGTGACGCTGACGCCGATCGAAGAGCTTCCCATGCTATAAGCAGTTTTCTGTTTCTTGTCAAACCCGGGTGATGGTGTCACAGATGGAAAATTAAGTAGTGTGTAAATTAACCCGCAATGGAAATTCATTTCACTTGTTGTACATAATGCCGACTGTGATTGGGTACTGTTCATGCCGAATGTGCGTAAAGTCAATGAAACCCTCAGTAATAATAATGCAAATCCGAACTTATGTTAAGCTCTTTCGGTATTACAGTTTACTACTGATTTCCAATGTTGTTTCCAATTTACTACTGATTTCCAACAGCACAGATACCCGTGCAGTACTCATATCTTACCGCAGCCCTATGATACTGGTGCTACTGCTCACTCGTGCAACTAGCAGGTTATTGCTCGTAATACAGCAGTTTCTGTATTTCAACGTTACGGGTTTTCAGCGATTTAGGCTCCATAGTATAGGAAGCTGATCAGTTAAAAAAATAGCAAGAAAACGACTTTTGTGAATTTTCCGTGCGCGCAGTCAGTATTGTTACGAACTCGTCTTGTGCGTGCAGCCAACCCCCTCGTGTACCGGTTCATGCTGCCGTAATACTGTAAGCTACTGTTAATGTTTCACTGTTAATTTACTGTAAAACTGTTAATGCTTTCCGTTTGAACATCAAATCTGCGGTAGTTTAATTCAAAATACTTGAAAAAGCCAGCAGCAAGAAATAAATGCTGCATCGTTGAACCGATCCCTTGCCATTACATTCAGCTTTGCAACATGAATACCGTTTTAGGTATTAAACGGAAGTCAACAGAATGCCCGGCTGCTTATATGTTACATTTTCCATAATTTGGTGGGAAATTAGCACGAAATCAACCAACTCATTTACTTATTTTCCGAGAAATGAGGGAGTGTTCGCTTGCGCCAAATTTCGGCGGAATCACAACAGCAGTACGCTTTGTCGCACCCTAATAGTAAATGAATTCGATAATTACGGCGGAATAACGCCGTAAAATTAACTGCCTATTGCAGAACGCTGATGCACGAGTAATTATCTCTCAGATATTATCATTTGAGCGCTTTAGAGTATAGATTCGAGGGCATTGCATCTTTTACATAAACCGAGGAAAAAAGGTAGTCAGCTCTCTTTATGCACTTGCAATATATCGGAGAGCTTTTTGTCCGTCGGACGACAAGAGTGGTAAGCAAAGAGGCCCTTGGATGCTAGAAATCAGCATTAAGAGCGGAGTTTCGCCGAATTTCTTTAAATAGACATCATCGAGTTACGGTATTTACTCGAAGCTAATTTTATCCGTTTTCATCACCCCCTGCAATTTTTATGACGGTTTTCGGAAACTATCGTAACCATTCCGCGCAGCTTTGGCAGGAAGCTTTTAACCTAATTACGTTACGAAACAAAAATGGAAATTCAAAAGAGCAGCAGCCTGTTTTGAGTGGCCAAATACTCATCGAACACAGAATTTCCAGTTTTGAAGGAAAGTCTCCGTTTTCAAGCCCAAAGTTCTAGGATCTCTGGTTTACAAGAGGTTTTTCAGTTCACAATCATGAATACCGTGGCGAATAACAGTACTATTTTCACACTATATTATACTGAATCATGCGGTCCGGCTGTCAATCCGTTGACCTGGTCCTTTGATGGTATCCTGTTGGTCTGCATTATTGCCGCCATTTTTGCACTGAATGGAACTGTACTGATATTTTATCTTCTTAACTTTGGCATGGTCCGAAATTTTCATATATATGTCTTTGCCCTTCATTACGCCAATTTCCAATATGCAGTGGCATTTGGACCGTTGGAAATCTACAACAATATATTTCCGCATTGGTGCTGGGGTCCAAATTGGTGTATGTTTCGTATCTACAGGGGTGCTACGCCAAGTTCGGGCACTTTTTTCCGAAATCTACCACAGGTCACCCATCACAATTGACTGAATCATTACAATTTTATAGTATTGCCGTATGTGTCTACCATCTTTTGGATTATCGTTCCTTACGCTAAGAGCGTGTTTCGAATTGCAGTGCGTCCGAAACTAGAGCAGACCAGTTTTAGAATACTGTTGGACCCATGTACCGTGAGAGTCTTCCTCCGAATTATAATTTGTTTAAAAATTCCGTTGACATTTTTATCCAAAATACATAAGTCTGACGTGTTCGCCATTTAAGGCTCTTGCGAAATGTATCTCAGATCGTTCGATTACAACCTAATTTACGTGACCTTTGCGATGTAACTGTGGGCATAGTAAAAGTGGAGAGTGACCCTTTGTGCACGCTTGCCCTGCAACCCAGTGAAGTTTTCGACGACTGTTTTTTGTAAAATCTCATCTCTAGGATACTGAGGGATAGTTTAAATGCTTCAATCCACCCACTTTGCCAGAGACAAGCTGGTCTAGCAAACTCAAACGGCAACCATAACTTTTTTTTCCCAGTCGCTTTGTTAGCTTTTGCCTCCAATTATCTGGCGCTTTCCTCTCCCCACCTCAGCAGTAGATATGCATTAAAACGTTAAAATCGTTTAATGTGGACCACGTTCCACCCACGAAATATGTCAGCTCGAAGTTACTTAAGTCTCTGTGCTAGGCAACCCCATCCTTCGTTAGGTACGTTACAACATATAAGTCTATGGGAGATACAAGTTGTGTCGAGGTAATCTCGATCACCGATGACGCGAGATTCTTTTCCTAACCCAAAAAAGACACCGTTGGACCACTCAAACGTTTCCAGAAAATGGCGTGCAAAAATATTGTTTGGGGAATTTTAATTATAAAGGCTGTAATAACCATCCCTAAAACGCCCACTGCTCCTCCCCGTTATTAAGCGCCCAACTCGTTACTGACAGACTCAACGGATCCAATTTTGGTATCATTAAATTTGCCATGAAAAGTTCCACTAGAAAAGTGCAAAACAGAAAACTAAAAGACCAACTGGAATACTGTAGGATTTATTTTATCCAACTGCCCGAACTTGGCGTAGCACCCCTGTATATCGGGAATACCACGGCGACATTCCAGTATTTAATCCATACAACGATCGCGGTTAGTCGCTGCTTCGCCGTGCTGTACCCAGTGCGGTATCGTGAACGCCACAGCACTCGAGTCGCTCTTGTTGTGTGTGGTCTGTGCTGGACAGCCTCCCAGTTAGTTGTGATTCCCGTGGCCCTTGTGGATGCGCTGATCTACCGACCACCGGAAACGATATTCGGCTGCATGATGAACTTCAGAACAGCGCCGAAACAACAGGCCTGGTTGTACTTCTATCAAGCTTTGACGTTCACCACCCAGTTTGTTGTGCTGGCTCAGTATCCGGTGGTCTTTTACATCCGCAGGAAGCGCTTGAGAAGACTTCGGCAAATGCGAAATGCCGGTACAATACCTTGTATTTTGTTTCGTGCATTACCTTATTTCACAGTTCATTTGACAGATTTAAGTACGACAGCCGGTAAAGCGTGCATGTTGCAGCACTCACCAGAACTAAAACAAACAGTTTGAGCGTACATGCATTTTCTGCATCCTTACTTGCTATAAAGTACTCCACCCCAATAATACTGCTACGTTATTGGGCTGTGCTTGTAGTATTATGTAGACAAGCACCGAATATTGCATATAAGGAGTTGTAATAAAACTCGTAGTGCGGCAATCTTACGTTTCAGTTGTCTACTGCCACTAACTTATCGAGCGTTTAAGATGTACTATGTGAAACGTTTCTGTTCTTAACAAATACTTGTATCTTTCTTATAAATTAAATAACCGTATGCGAAACTGTACCACACCACGCGGCGACTCAATCATAGCTCGTAAGGGCGTCAGCTTGGTACTAAGCTATTAGTAATCACAACACTTTAAAAAATCCTTCCGTCGACCTTTACAGGTGGTCAAATACAACCAGTCGACGCGTCATCATCACAGCCAGCGCAGACGGTTAATCAGCAGCCAAAGCCGGAAGCCAACACGTTTTTACTGCTGACGATTTTGACCGTCAGTGTTATCATCTGCTGGACACCTGCCAACATGTTTTTGCCTGTTTTGGCTACTATGCAGGATCACATCGTGATGTTTTGGGTTTTCACCCTAGCCGAACTGCAACCCGTTGTCGATCCCATAATCTTCAGCTTATCTTTACCGGATCTGCGGCAACTGATTTTTCTGCGACGTCACTGTTGAATCCTGCAGCTCGGTCACAGTTTATATTATTTTTGACACTGTACTATTTTTTCGATTTGTTAACGAGGTGCATTTGTTAACACTAGACCTCTTCGTTATTTCAGTGCACGCGTGATGGAGATATTGCACGAGTATAAAGGAGAGCAGTAGCCTCCGATCTGTTCGTTCCATAATGGAACGAACGCTTGCGAGCATAATGTTTTTCAGTCACTCCGTAAATGCAACGTAAAGTTATCAAATAACTCAGAATTATCGAAAATATTCACAGATCCATTATAATTTGGCGGTATGAAAAAAACGCTGAGTACAGTAATATCTTTACATAGTCACGGTATGATGCAATATGGCTTCGCTTTGATCTTTCTGTTTCTTACCGCTGCTGAGGACAGGAATCAAGTATTTCCCGATTCACAACGCTAGCTGCACGCACGCATTCATTAGTATGTGCATTGGCATAATTATGCAGGCAGTTGCCGCTTGTCGAAAACAATCTACACATGTGGCACGGTTTGTTTCGCCACGAAGATCGGTAAATTTCCAGTCCAACGTAACCTATGCAACCCAACGTAACCCAACGCAACCGCCACGCAACCCAACGTAACTGCACGCAACCCAACGCAACTGCATGCAACCCAACGTAACTGCATGCAACCCGACGCAACTGCATGCAACCCAACGTAACTGCACACAATCCTACGTAACTGCATGCAACCCGGCGCAACTGCACGCAACCAAACGCAACTGCATGCAACCCAACGCAATTGCACGCAACCCCACACAACTGCATGCAACCCAACGTAACTGCATGCAACCCGACGCAACTGCATGCAACCCAACGCAACTGCATGCAACCCGACGCAACTGCACGCAACCGAACGCTACTGCATGCAATCCAACGTAACTGCACGCAACCAAACGCAACTGCATGCAACCCAACGCAACTGCATGCAACCCAACGTAACTGCATGCAACCCGACGCAACTGCATGCAACCCAACGCAACTGCAGGCAACCCAACGCAACTGCAGGCAACCCAACGCAACTGCATGTAACCCAACGCAACTCCACGAAATGAAACGCAACGCAATGGCACGCAACCCAGCGCAACTCTACGTAATTTCATGTATCTTCATATAGTTGAATGCACCCCAACCTTACATACTACATGGAGGTAAATAATCAATGTAACACAAAGCAACCTAGCGTAACTAAACGCAGTACCATGCAGTTAAATGCATCTTGACGCAAGTCAGCATAGCTCACATGCTGCAAGAAATTTTTTTAGTAGAAAACTCTGGAATCTGTACGAAGTCACGTATTTGACGGAACTAACCTTTGAATGCCATTACAACATTTTTTAAAATTTTTTTAATTTCTCGGTCTTTTAGGGTTCTTAGGTTTCTTAGGTTTTTTCAGGTTTCTTAGGTTTCTTAGGTTTCTCTAATATCTTGGGGTTCTTAGGTTTCTGAGGTTTCCTAGATTGCTTAGAATTCCTAAAGTTTTGTTAGATTTCTCAAATTTTTTAAGTTTCTTAGGTTTTTTATGCTTTTAGGTTTTTTATTTTGCCTTTTGCTTTTTCTCAGTTTTTTTTGCGTGTTTAAATCCCTCGAAAGAATAGGTTTCAGAGTTTCATGCATTCAATTCCATCTGCGTTAAGTTGTTGAGCTGCGCTGGGTTGCATTGAGTTACGTTGAGTCGCATTGATAGCATTAACTTACGGTGAGCTAGGTCGAGTCACACTGAGTTACGTTGAGCTGCATTGAGTTACGTTGAGTTGCATGGAATTGCGTTCAGTTGCGCCAAGTTGCGTTAAATTGCATGAGGTTGCGTTAAGTTGCGTTGGGTTGCGTTAAGTTGCGTTGGGTTGCATGCGGCTGCGTTAGGTTGTGTTAAGTTCCGTTAAGTTTCATGCAGTTGCGTTAAGTTGCATACGGTTGCGCTGGGTTGCATGTTGCGTTGAGTTGCGTTGGGTTGCACTAAGTTGCGTTGGGTTGCGTTAAGTTGCGTTGGGCTGCGTTAAGTTGCGCCAATTAAGTAAGTTGGCAGGTTGCGTTGTTGCGTTCAGTTGCGTTGGGTTGCGTAAAGTTGCGTTGGGTTGCGTTAAGTTGCGTTAAGTTTCATGCAGTTGCGTTAAGTTGCGTTAAGTTGCATGCGGTTGCGTTAAGTTGCGTTAAGTTGCGTTGGGTTACGTTAAGTTGCGTTAAGTTTCATGCAGTTGCGTTAAGTTGCATACGGTTGCGCTGGGTTGCGTTAAGTTGCGTTGGGTTGCGTTGAGTCTCGTGTGGTTACGGTAACGAACAAAATAACCGCATTACGCGCGAAAACAAATCGTGCCATATCTACGAAAACAACCACCGCTCAGTAAAAGTACTGCAGATACTTTTACTGTCCGGATGTTGTAAAGGTTGCACGACAATAAGCTTAAGCATAAGGTCAACCGTTACCCTGCGCAGCAGTAGTTGATTTTTTTAGCCTGCGCGCATTATACCAGCTAGATATTTGCGAAGTACGTCACATTTACAAATGTCTTTGTATTTGACATAATCCTATTCCTATACCAAAATCTTTGCCAGGACTTGTTTGGGTCTTCATGCTGCCTTGTATCGAACTGATTGTTTTAAGTACTTCTAATCGTTGCCGATCTTTGCTGCCCGATCCGATAAAAATTAATACTAGTATACGTATGCGGGATATAATGCGGCGAATATCATCTACTGAAACAATGCACGGCGAACTATCATTGCAGCAAATATGCTGGTTTCGAAGATGTACTGCAGTTATCCCGACACACTCTCGCGGCTGACGACCGAAAGCAAGGAGATCATCTTCAATGTCACCCGGGAGAACTTGCTTTTCCTTCGATGCCTTGATTCTTCGTAATCGCAAAGAGTCTGTCAATAAAATCGTATTTAGTCAGTTTCAATATCTCCTGATGAAACGTGCATACCTTCATCCTTTCCGTTTGCAGATACTGCCACAACAGCGACAGAAGTACAAGAAAGAGCATGATTATCAGAACCACGCCAAAAACAATTCCCGCCACCACACCGTCAGAAAACCCTAAAACGACAAACAGTTTAAAGAAAGAGGCGGGCCAGCCTGGAGAAAATCCCAGGGGAAATTATGTACCGGGCTCTTCTGTGACTGGGAGCAAACTGTTTGTGTCGTTTAACGCTGAAACGATTTAATACACTGGATAATGATTACAAGGCTTTCCCCAGAACTCTCAAAATCCTTACGCTGCATGGTTTGCGGGTTGAGAATGTAGCTCTCAGTCATCTGGTGCATATTAATTATGACGTTATAGTTTGCCGGATCCAAATAGCCAGAAGATATGGCGCAGTTGAGCAGTCCGTTGGCCGCTAAAGCAGCGGCATACGTCAATTTTTTGTACCCTTCGCCTGCATCAGGATAATTAATGTAAATTATGTACAGATATGTTCATCAAGAGTTTGATCCAAAGCAATACTACAACAGTAACAACACACCATTACAAATTTCGAATGGCTTCACCCGTTGCAATCATCTCAAGCCGAATTTGATAGTTACGTATTCTAAAGTAACTGAATATATTCGTTTGGTTTGTCTACAAGAAAGGCTTGTCTACATGATCCTAAACCGCCGGACGTATCATGCTACTACTACACTTTTCTTTAGCCGCAGGAAACAGCCGAAACACAGCAGTAAAACGTTGCGTACCATACAGCGAAATGTTTTCGATGAAAGCGATCACTAGAGCATTCTGATCGTAATCACGATGGAATTGTGCCCTGCGGTCCCAGCCTCGTCCTTCGAATATACTACCGTCCATTCCAATCAGAAAACTGCAGTGCATGAAAGTATTCACCATCAGCAAAATGTATTAAGAAATGTATTTTCGATTAAAATGTTACTGAGCGACCAAACTGTAAAGTTACTTGTAGAAAATTTCGGGTACAAAGTTGGCAACCGTCTGTGCTGTCCATGACGAAGTATCCATGTGGAAATCGCGGATAGCGCTTACCACCATGCGACACATTCGGAAATCGTTGCAGGCTTCTCCGTAGGTATGCGTGTACACGATATACCGCACTGGATGGATCAAGTACGGTATACTAACGTTCATACTGGGAGCGCCCCATGCAGACCGTGCGGTGATGTTTATTCCAGTGCATTTCATTTTGTCACCTTCGCATAAGATAATTACTGTTTACAGCACCCTTACACAGTTACACTGTAGGTGTGCGCGTATTTCATGTCGGAAAAATGTTTGACGCATTAAATATTAAGCACTGATATTCTATCTTGAACGCCATATTCAACATCCGGTATGTATATCATAATTACCGGTTCCGCTTGCGCTTCGTCATTAATAAACCTCTAACTTGTTGGCTTAACAATCGAAACACATCCTAAAAGAGATACGATAGCGGACAGCGTAACATGAAGCAAAACATCGGCAAATTTTGCCATGTGTAAACATGGTCCATAAGGAATCGGTAAGACACAATGGCTTATCATCGGCTGACGCAATTTATATAGTCACGATAAACACAAAAAAGAAAAGAATATCAAAATTTGGCAGGAAGTGGAGGTGTATAACTCGATCTTGTTCAGTTCACCTCAAATCTACAAAATTTCGGTAGTGACCTTATCTGGGTTATTGTAATTTGAAGAGGTATACAAATTTTCTGCAGCTGCAATTGATTTCTGCGATTTCTGCGCTGCCTTTCTGTGGCTCTGTTATTGTGTAATTCATATTCAAGATTGGCGATGATCAATTGGTGACTATTTTTGCAAAGCCAAAAGCGGCAATCCTGTCTGTCAGTGACCCAACCGGTGCATTTTGCAGTTAATGCAAAAATATTTGTTTGTTTAAAGTGTTTTTCCCATATTGCAGTCTGCCGAAATGGACCAGTGCTCTGAGGTCAACATCATCGCGCGGTCGTCATGGGGCGCCCGTCCAGCACTGGAGGATAAAATGGCCAAACCTTCTTTTCCCGCTAGTTCCATTGTGTTTACGCATACAAACGGGAACTTCTGTTACAATCCACGGAACTGCTCTAAGATCACCCAGGAAATGCAGACACACGATGTGGATGTTAATAAATTTACTGATATTTCTTCTAAGTATGTCAGTATGCCAGAAAAGGAACCAATACTTATACAGTGTGCACTTTCACTGACACAACAGTCGCGTTATTAGTTCAGTTATACCGTAAAATAACAGTTATCATATTAGTTATACCGTAAAATTTTGATTGGCTTGTCTTGTTATAGCTTTTTAATCGGCTACGATGGATCGGTCCTCGAAGGTAGAGGCTGGACCTCCCCACCGGTTCTGAATCTACCTTACGAAACTTACAGCTATGAAATAGCGTTCATAGGGAAGTATCCGCCTTCTGGGGAATTTTTTACCAAAATGCCGTATAAAGCGGCCGTTGCTGCCAATGCGATTATTCAGTGCGCGAAATCCAAGGGGCTTCTCAATCAGAACTTTACCGTCACCACACATCGAATTAATCCCGTCATGCAGAATTATATCATGCAGCCCAGCTTGCTGTTATGTAAGTTTGCACTCTGCGCATCAAATCAAATTCAATTTCAAAGCTGTTCATTTTGTTAAGCGCCTCCCATTCAACCTTCCCACCCAAAAGAAGCTCAAGGTACGAATACTTCTATCTTGAAAAGTGGATCATCCCAACTACAATGAGCCGGTTTCTACCTGTTTGTAGCGTTCCGTGACGGCTTCATCGCAGGCACAGTACTGGCGCTGTTAATCGGACTGTTTCTGATCGTTTGCATCTACTGGAGAGGCAAACAGCAGCGGGAAAGACATAAAGTAATCCAACTCGCGTTCTGTATGACATGTACAAAGACCCAGACGATAAATACGTAGACAAGCGTTATGGTGTTAAATACACAAGAGCGTCTGGAAACCAAAAACCGTTTGTCTTAGTTTTGCAAACGGCATTTTGTCGCAGGACTGAAGCACAGTAGTTGAGACGTGAATTCGTGGCAAAATCTTTGTTGCTTTGCTAAATTTTTTGCTCCCGACTTATATGTACGCCAGCCATCTTGATCGTCTGAACGTTTCTGCCGCTCACAGATGGGATTTGCGAATGTTGTAACATTGTGGCGCATCTTCAGCAATTTTTTAGCACTTTTGCCGCGCTACCGACCATCGAAAGGAGCTCCTCAAGACAGTTCCAGTGGAAACCATCGATGGCTTCGTTATACCACGACATTCGATCGAGATAAGTAAGCGGAAGAGCAGTATGCTAGCAGTTGTCAGCTTCCACCGTCTTTGTGTAATTTAGGGGATGAACACTTGGGAAGCGGCCGTCACGGCCTCGTTTTCGTGGGGACGTTGCATTCAAAGTATCTGCGATCTGCCAGATCGTCATCCATGACACCGAGCTCGCATCTCGTGGCAGTGAAGATGTTGCGCTGCCTGTACCAAAAGGGTCAAGCAACACGTGAGTTCCTGTCAGAAATGGCTCTTATGATGAGTGTCGGGCGACATACAAACATCGTCAACTTAGAAGGCATCGTTTTACAAGGTACTTGTATAATGAAAATTTTTAGCGTAAATAAGTGACAAGAGTTAAGGCGAATAATCCGGTGAAGCAGAAAATTTAGAGTCGGAGTTAGAAAATTTCTACTCTGTAGTTACTGGCTTGAAGGTACTTGTCACTATCGTAATAAAATCACACAAGGAAGTTCCTCGGCCAAGGCAACGAAATGACCTTTTCAGGCAAACTCATGATTGTTATGGAATACTGCAAATACCTGTCCTTGGAATCGTATCTCCATACACTGAGGGCGAATCCGCTATATTTGCAAATGAACTCCCTAAATCTACATTTGATCGCGCCCGAAATCGCACACGAACTCGTCCATTTTGCCTACCAAATAAGCCGTGGTATGGAATTTCTCTCCAATAAGGGCATAGTACATCGGGACTTAGCGGCACGCAATGTGCTGCTGGATGAGAAGAAGATAGCAAAGATCGCCGATTTTGGTATGGCCAGAAACCAGCCTATCTATGCACTGGAGCGCGACAAAGTATATAACATGCCTTCTCTTCCGTTCTTGTGCAAAGCCAAAACTATTGATGAAGTTGTCATTTAGGTCCCCCTGCCAGTCCGTTGGCTAGCTCCCGAGTGCTTGCACCCCAATAGCGCCGTATTTTCTGCCGCAAGCGATGTGTGGTCTTTTGGAGTGGTGGTATGGGAAATTTTCACTCTGGGAGCAGAACCGTATCAAGAAGAATTCCCCTGCGGCATCATATATGACCAACTTCGGGCTTTTTTTCAACACGCCCACCGGTTAAAAATTCCAGAAAATTGCCCTGAGAAAATGTATATGATGTTGTTATTGCGAGTCATTGCAACTTTTAAACTGACGTTTATTCACCAACAGACGCCAAACTGTATGTGACTGCTGGAAAATTTTTCCCGAAGAACGCCCGCCGTTTGCCGTGATTCGCAGTCGCATGGAAGCGTTGGTGCCGGCTGCACAGAAAGATTCGTACATTATGTGTGATTCTGAATGTAGTGTGAACAAGCAGGAAAGGGAAACAGCTGTAGCGACCAATCAAGCAGACGCCCATGTTCTCTCTGCTGAAATGCCTTTTGTGGCATAACGTGGACCTTTTGGTGAATGAGAAGATCATCTTAATGGTGGCTGATGGTACTTACTACTGAGGACTATTACAGACTGTACCAGTTTGCTACATAAGTATATCTGTAACTTTGTGCTCAAACTTATCAGCATAGATTCTGCTTATCCTAAAACCGAGTGGTTACTAACTGGGATAGACATCAGGTGTACTCACTCGTCTCAGCGTATGCTTCCATACTCGGCGCTGCAGTAAGCCGATTCTTCGTAACTTCTCTGAAAATGCACTCACTCCCGTAATTGAATCCCTATAGCTCGAGAAATTTGATCTTACACCTCTTGGTAAAAGTCGATTGATTACTGAAAGTGCGGGTTATAACGGAGAGGCTCAGTTTAGACAAAAGTGATGTACCGTAAATATGGAATGATAAGCCCTGGGTCATAGTTGTTTGGAATATTGTAGATCTTTTCATAAAGTTGCGCTTTCGAATCAAACGAGTGCAACATTCACTTCGGCCTTCAGTCTTTCTTTAAGGAAAATGTGCCGGTACATGGTACCAAATTCGGGAACACGTACGAAAACTTTCGCTCTCGCACACTTACAACACATTTTTTTTCTTTGTTTTATTATGTTTTATACGAGTAGTCAAAACGTTTGTAATATACGTTGGCGTGAAACCGTACGAAGGTACGAAACCGTCTGCGCGCGCAACATCCGGTTTGACAGTTATGGGCGAAATAAAATTCACAGTTTAGGCGCACGTAGGTGTTCCAAACGTCTCATTATCAACCGATCCTCTTCAACTACGGTATCAGTCAGCCAAATAGCCGAGCCGCCGGCATGAACACCCAGGTGCTAATTGGACACTCAAACGGAAGCGGTGGAGTTATGGAGTGGAGTCCATACAGTGGACCTTTGCTCCACTGTATGGAGCGGTGCGCCTGTATCCACGCTGGAGCCGCTGGCTGTCGCGCAAAGAAAAGCTATTTGAGGTAGGGCCAACTATGCCGAAGGGTCCACCAGCGACCTGATGAATCAATACGAGATTGCGCCACTGTTTGAGCTATTGAAACACTAGGAAGCAACATGGTTGTACAAAATCCTGCACCGGAGAAGTTCCAAGTGCCCCGTTACATCAGCGAAATGATCGTCGTAAAGCAGCATGCCAAACCGTACAGCCTTTGAAGCGGAAACAGGACCTTCATCGAAGGACGGGGAAGGACAAGAATCGGGAAGTCCACGTTGGCGTGGAGGCTGAACAACGTTATCGTGGAGGCTGAACAACGCTAACCGAGGCTGGAAACGACATTTGTAGTAGCAATTCGCTTGCTGTTTTTCGTAATGCACTGAAGCATGTTACCATTACTTGATTGCCATCCTTTTCTTAGTACTTCCCTTTGATTAGTGGCTTTTTATCTAATTTCATTACGATGCCTCATGCCTGTTATTAAGCCAGGTTTAAATTCCCATGCTAGATTTCGATCCCAGCTTTTAATGGGTTACTTGCCTGCCGTACAATAAACAATAAACAAACCATTTCCAGAAATTTGTCAGCTTAGAATATTCCACAAATTCAGTTCATTGTTTCGCTCCAGAGCGAAACAACAATCGACTCATATTCTACACACTTACTAAGCCTTGTAATACTTTGCCGTGTATTAATAATTATCATCAAATAGTTTTTATGTACATATAACCAGTGCCGCTCTACAGTAGTATAGGCTACAGGCGTAGCTACGCCAGTAGCTTATACTACTGTAGAGCGGCACTGGTATATCATGGTTTGTTTCCTTGAAATACATAATTATTGGTTAATTAACAACCGTCGTAATAATGCTCTCGTCCAACTCAAATTTACAATGTTTTGAAAGGCCAGGGTCAAAAAGAGGGAGGAATTTCTGAAGCGAGGGAGGGAGGAATTTTGATATGGTCAAAAAGAGGGAGGAAATTTTTCGAAGTTCAAATGAAGTACTTAGTGACCTCGAACCCAGGTCTCCGATGTCGCCACCAAGATTTTCTCATTACTTGCACAGTATGAAGGTCTGAGTCGAACTGAAGTGCTCGGGGACCTCGAACCAGGGTCCCCGAGGTTGCCACCGAGATTTTCTCATCAAGATGGCGAGCGAAGCGAGCCCGCGTTTCTAATTCAAGACATGTTGAGAGTTCGTTGAAACGGAAGCACCAGTGACCTTTAGGTTGCCACGTGACCTTTGGGTCGCCACCGATTTTCATGGTGATTCCTATACAGTTTGACATGCTGAGTTGAACTGAATACTCGGGGACCTCGAACTGGGACCCCGAGGTCGCCATCACGACATGCACCATATGTGCACATTGTGATGTGCTGAGCCGAAATAAAGTACTCAGGGACCATCGAACCATATATTGAACTATTCAGATGTCTTCGTTTTTAGCTATTTTAATATTTGTAATAAATAAATATTTATAATAAATAAATAAATTTATTATTAAATTATATATGCACTGACTTTGATATTCTGGTGTTCGGAGATTCAGTTATAGATGTAGCTGTTAGGTAATTCTGTTGTTTAGGCTTCTAATCATTTTAAACAATTTTAAAAAAAGTGAAGTTTCTAGGAATATAAATTCAGAAATATTTAGAAATATTTAGAAATATTTAGAAATATTTAGAAATATTTAGAAATATTTAGAAATATTTAGAAATATTTAGAAATATTTAGAAATATTTAGAAATATTTAGAAATTTAGAAATATTTAGAAATATTTAGAAATATTTAGAAATATTTAGAAATATTTAGAAATATTTAGAAATATTTGGAAAATATTTGGAAATATTTGGAAATATTTGGAAATATTTGGAAATATTTGGAAATATTTGGAAATATTGGAAATATTTGGAAATATTTGAAATATTTGGAAATATTTGGAAATATTTGGAAATATTTAGAAATATTTAAATATTTGGAATATTTGGAAATATTTAGAAATATTTAGAAATATTTAGAAATATTTAGAAATATTTAGAAATATTTAGAAATATTTAGAAATATTTAGAAATATTTAGAAATATTTAGAAATATTTAGAAATATTTAGAAATATTTAGAAATATTTAGAAATATTTAGAAATTGCAGAGATTTGTACAGAAATATCAGAAAATATAATTTTACAATAATCAAATGTATATTCAGAAATCTGGTAAAACATAATTGCAGATTCGAGGAACGCGGTTCTGAGGTCCCGGGGCACTTCAGTTCGACTCAGCATAGCAAACAGTGAATATATGTTATAAATCGTTTTCGCGACCTCAGGGACCCGGGTTCGATGGTCCCTGAGTACTGGTTTATTTCGGCTCAGCACATCACACTGTGCACATATGGTACATGTCGTGATGGCGACCTCGGGGGCCCAGTTCGAGGTCCCCGAAGACTTCAGCTCGGCTCAGCATGTCAAACTGTATAGGAATCGGTGGCGACCCAAAGTCACGTTTCGACCTAAAGGTCACTAGTGCTTGCTCTCAGCGAACCCTCAACATGTCTTGAATTAGTAACGGGCTCGCTTCGCTCGCCATCTTGAGGAGAAAATCTCGGTGGCGACCTCGGGGACCGTGGTTCGAGGTCCCCGAGCACTTCAGTTCGACTCAGCCCTTCAAACTGTGTATATAATGAGAAAATCTTGGTGGCCTCGAGACCTGGGTTCGAGGTCCCTAAGTACTTCATTTGAACTTCGAAAAAAATTCTCTTTTTGACCATATCAAATTCCTCCCTCCCCGCTCATGAATTCCTCCTCTTTTGACCACGCAGAAATTCCTCGCTCAAAATTCTCCTCTTTTGACCCTGGCCTTTTGAAATACGGGAAAAGGAACCTGCATGCAGTCGGTTTCCTATACGCCATACGGCAATCCATAAACCGTTTTATAAAAATACGAAATATAAAAAACAAAATGCATGTTTGGATTTTATGTACGTCTGTTCCATCTGTCTTACATGTATTTTTATACGTCAAACGCTAAATGTGGTGAAACATCTACCAGGTGCACGTAGTGATATGTAGCATAATACATGTACTTACGTAAAAATGCTAACTGAGATACAGTGACTAAAACATCCACTCTCCAGTATTTGGCGGAAGTACTGCGTCGGTGACCTTTCGGCAAAGACGTCAGTACAGCATATGTTATGGACCCAGGACGAGTACTTATACAGCATATATCCACGTATTGCAATGCAGCAATATGAACCAGCAGTACCGACTATCCCGCAAATAATTGAACAAAAAAAAATTAAAATTGCAGAAGTGTCTTCTTATATTTAATTAATTCTGCAGAACATTCTAAAAATATGGTAGCGCCCTGCTTAGATGCCGCTGCCCGTCATGTATGCTATCAGGTTCCATTTGCGAATAACAGAAATAATTGCCCTCAATCGGCACCTTTATGATGACAATTTCGTGACCTACGAAGCATTACGTTAATAGTGCGTAGAAGCATGGCGCCGACCGGAACTGGCGCGGGATAATTATGGCGCCCTTTGATAAATCCAGTTGCAGAAGACCACCAAGATTATTCCACAGGAACAGCCTTTAGCAACGGAAAGTGACTGGATCTGTGAAAATTCTTATAAAAGTGTGTTAATAGAGTGTGTCACCCGCGCTAGAGCTATGGCCTATTCTGACGGGAGCTAAGATATTCTCCATCGCTTACTACACTATCTCCATATATAACTTAACTTTTGTGCCAGTTTATGTCACCTCTTTTATTACAGGCTACTTTGAACTTCAACTCACCTGTGCGCGTTATCATTCGGACAAGTATTCACCATGCTGTGTTGTGGAAACTGGCAGGAATTCTGGGCACTTGTACTGGCCGGTCTGACCGTTGCCGCTGTGTGCTTCGTATTCCGCATTGTGGCTGCCTATTGGATATTTGGGCGCTTGGATCGTCCCGTCTGGATGATGATTTTTGGCTTCTACGGCGCCACGGATCCAGAATGGGAAGACTTGGATGCTGATAAGCAGCCAAAGGACTCGAACGGGCAGTATCCATAATTCGCTACGGATCACCGAACCAGTTGGCAAAAGGTCAACTGAATGTCACAATTCGGCTTTACTCCGTTTCATGGACTCTCTACTACACTGGTTTACGATTACTTACATACCACGTGAACGAGTTCACTTACTGTAATATCTGGTCACTCACTGCATGAATCGCTGTACATAAACACGTTCGTCGGTTTGCATTCGGATATTAGAAGCCTACCTGTACCATTGCTAATTAGCAGTTTTGCCTGCCATAACGGGTCGTAATTTTGTCTTATTGAAGTTAACGTTTCAGTTCGGACAAAGTACAAACTGATGAGGAACAAAGTATGTATAACAATTGTTTGGAAAGCGTTGAAATTTTTCATACATTTCAGAGTTTTCTTGAAACATGTTTTCAGGAGTACTGCGGAAATTTTTCAAACGCACTGACGTTTTGCGAGATTTATGGTTTATTGTTACAAATTTCTCATGTGTTTGACGGCACTGGCCTTTCTCCATGAACAATTAACACGGATAACGGGAATTGTATCGCAGTAAAATGATGAATACTCAGTCCGTACCAACTCAAAGTATGACTTACAGATACCTCTTTGTTATAAAAGAAGCAATCCATAATATGCAAAGTAATTTGCGGAAAGAAACCAATTAAAACGGGAACCATTAGTACATTAATTACTACGGGTCCGCGGCCTTTCTTGCAGCTTAGGACTTACAATTACATATATATATATATATATATATATCATATATATTACATTTTTCATGTACATACACAGACATGCGCATCTACAACACGCTTGCGTACTTTTATGTAAAGTATTTTTATTGCATTACAGTACGGTAATTAAAAATATGGATATTATTAATTTTCAGGGGTTTAGAGTACGCGGCTTCGCGCTAATGCTATATAGATATTGGTTTAATGCGATGTGTAATTCAGCTACATTACACTGATAATCAATGCAAATTACTGTTTCCGGTGAAGTATGTATGTTTTCTACGCACTCTGTGTGCGCAATTATGTACCGCATACGAAGTACTGTACTCGTATAGATATCTCCGTATCATTACGTTTCATTTCGTACATGTCAAATCTACTACTGACCAGTGAGTGTAATTCTCTGACTGCAAATGAACGTCCATAAACTGTCATAATTATTGTATAAAACCTAACTCCAGTTTTGCTATTTTAAATATATTTTTTATTCAATACATAACGTGATCGTACGTGCCATAACTTTATATTTTAAATTTCAGTTACGATTATTTTATAAAATGTATTCCTGCCATGCATTCACCAGAATAAACAATTTTGGCTCCATAGAATAATCTATATTTCAAAATACTGCTTATGTTTATCTTTGTTGTGGTTACTGTTCAACGTGACGACGTCCACATATTACGTCGGAAGTTGCGCTGTTCAGTGTCTGTAGACAGTTATTTAATTTTTCAGAAGATTTATTTGGAAGTTGTTTGTTTACAATTAGTTTATAATTATTTAATTACGATTTTCGTATTTGAGTAAGTACAGTATTAGTAAAATCGAATTGAGCGAACCCACTAATAAACAGTCGGATTTGCTCCCACCGGCCCACCATGGCGTGAAACACCAAAAACTGGAAAACAGGACCTGTCCCCGGGTTGTTTGCCCAGCTTATGTGTATTGCAAACTTAAAGCCGCTTCGTACAAATTTCAGAAATGCGTCAGTGTACACACATACACAATTGATATCAGCTGTGAGCCGAAAATTACAAAATGCCAAATCTATCGGTTGGAGGCATAAAGTAATCAGATAGTGGCAGGTTTTTATCACGATCTATGCGGGCCAAATTCGCTACGAGGGTAAACCGAGACTCTGCAGTTGTGACTTGTCATTTGCTGTACTGTACACTGTGCTGCGTGCTTCTCTCCGTGTATGTGTATCTTTTTTTCTACCGTACTTTTCTCATTTGTAATTAGTGTTCTGTGGCTATAAATCTCGCAAAATCGATGAGGAAAACCTGAATTCTTCGTGATTACCAGCGATTGCACAATGGCCAACCGCGATCGGCGCAGTACTTCGTCTGCCTTCACGCGCCGCGATCAGCCGCCGCAGCAGCAGCAGCGCCGATCGCCTGAATCATCTTCACGTTCATCATCGCAGCAACAGCCGCAGCAGCAGGCCAAACACGACCAACGACCTGCACGCGCTTCTTCGCGCCGCTCTTCGCCTGGTCGTGCCATGGGTCCCTTTCGACGGGACAGTGATTATCCGAAGAATTCGCAGCCGAATTCCCGGATGATTAATCGGAATTATCGGGAAAATGTGCACCGTAAGGAGCCGCTGGATCATCGCCGCAACAGCAGGCGAACGCGGTTTAACGGATTTAACGGGAATACTCAGCAGCGGTATGTTCTGTTTTTTCTAGAAATATAAAATCTTAATTTTCCCCGATAGTAGGATTAAAGATTTAGACGAAGAGAAACGTTTGTTTTGCTTTTGAAAGCGAAAATCTGCAGCAGCCAATTTTTCGATTTTTATTTTGGTGAAAAACGTTTTTAGACAACTTTTCCCTGTTCCGACTGCATGAAATTACGTAGTCTGAACGGGTTGGTAACCGCGCGCGCAGCGTTTTGTCGTTATCCGTCTCGAAAATCTGCACCGTCTGATGTAACACTGCGCATTGTGAAAATTTATCCGTGCATCTCGTTGTGTTGCTATTACATCATACAGGGATTTGCGCGCGTGTGGCCCGTTCTGCGCGTTTGTTGGTAAACAAAGCAGGCACAGGTGGTTTTGGTTTCCAATCCTGATTTTGTTTCTTGAGCAGTTTCCCGCGAAATGATGCGGCAGATTTTGGTTTCTATGTGATGATTGCGATGAGTGAACGCTGGGGATACTCCCGTTTGCATCGTTACTCGACCAGCTACACGTATGCAAATATAGTGTTGCCAACGAAATTTCGAACGCAGGGTTCGCAGCAGCCGCAAATTAATTTTGTTGAGATATTTCGTTTAGATTTTTTCCTGTTCGAAAAGATTTATCGTGCCAGTTCGTTTTTTGCCAAACTCTACATTTCTTCATTAATTTGCATTTTATTCATTAGTCAGAAGTTTCGCTGGTTGAAATTTGAACCGTTCGAGAAACTTCTCCTGTTCGTAATATTTGCGTTTTACTGTTTTTGGAATTTTCCCGCGAAAGTTCGTGAAAATTATTCTTCCGCGGCGAGACTTGGCTTTTGTGTGGAAAATTGATTATCCCGATAAACCGCAAAAATAGCTGCGGAATTTTACGTATTATTTCAGTTTTTAAAATCTACTTCGTTAGTCGAAGGTTGGACGGAGCGTTAGAAATGCAGGGAAGTCTCTAATGTATCTACTATTTTTCCTAGAAATAAAAATTTAAAAAAATTATTCTAACGGTGGGAGACTCTGGTTTTGTTCGAGAAATTGTTTAGCCCGATAAATCGCAAAAATAGCGGAGCGCGAGTGTTATAACCCTTCCGCGCGTCGTGCCCTAAACCGCCGTCCCTTTCATCCCCGCAGACACCCGCCCCCGGCGCCCCGCCGCGCCCTCCTGGCCACCCCGCCCCACTCCCCGGGCGGCCGCCAGCACCCCCCGCGGCGTCCCTACCCGGGACCTCACCACCACCAGCCGCAGCACAACCACCCCAACCCCTACTACCGCCATGCTCGTCCTGCTCGTGCCCGTCCTCCTCCTCATCCGTGGACTGCGGCACAGTCTGCCGCCGGCGCCGGCGGCCCACTGGACGGCCCTGCTCGCCACCCATCTGGACCTCCTGATCGGCCTGTGGATTTTTTTGAATATGATGATTTTCCAGATCATTCTCCAGCAGCAGCGCTGAAAATCAAGGCCGAGCATCCAACGCCGCATCGGCTGTCGCGCTGGGATCGGGATCAGCGCCCCGGGAGTAGGAAGCACGAGACGGAACCGATTTCTGAGGATGAGGGCGTACGATGGACGGGTGATCGAAATTGGGAAGGTGATAGGAAGCGATCTCATGCCAACAGTCCGGTGGATAACGGTAAGAAAAAATTAGGGAATTTTCTAATTTATTTTCTTCTGTTTTTGTTAATTGTTATAAATTGTAAAATTCTGATTTAATTGCTGCAGTGCAGCTAATACAGAATTTATTTTCACTAATATCACGCATTTTGTTATTTTTATTTCTTTTTTATCTCGTGTCAGGTGGTCCATCTAATTATTTTGTTCACATTTTATAGAGAATATTTGATAACAGATACGTGTTCTGTAATTAAAGCCTTGTCTTAGCTCCTACTCAAGTGTCTTGAATAAAATCTTGAAAAAAAATAGGGAAAATAATTGTTTGCAGTTTTATCTGCGAACAAGGCGCTGTTTTTTGCTGAATCATTAGACATTTTTTAATGGAATTTCAAACATTTTTCTTCACATTATTTGTGTTTTATGTGTTCATGTTTTGCGCATTTAATCACTCAATACGACGGGTGTTTCATGTGCTGCTCGTTAAACCGTAGATTCTGCGCTGGGAAACACATCGGAGAGCCTGCACACGGACGATGAGGATCCTGTTGAAAGGGTCCTGTATATTGACGCCGATTCCCAGGATGATCAGGTTATCGAAACAGCTGACTCAGCGCAAACATCACCGGCTGATTGTGTTGCGAGCACACCGGCAGTTGTGACAAGCAGTGTTCCGGCGATCGTTTCAGACGATGCTGCGCCGACGAGTGTGGATGCTGTGCCGATAGTACCGGAAACGCCGGATCAAGGTAAGCTTTAACTATAAATATTTTCGAAACCTATCCTTTTTAATTTAAAGTTTTTTACTTGTTTTACTTATTGTTTATTTATCATTTAATTGGGTATTTTTATAGGAATTTTAGTTCTATTAATATTTAGTCATTTTACTACTCAGTTGAGAAAATTAAGCTTGTGAGTGTACCAGAATATTTACGATTAATTCTTTTTTCTATCTGAATTTAATTATTTATTATTTGTTTGTTTTATTCAGTTTTATTCTCGACATTGTTTCCCGAAATATTTTCGTTTTCTTTTACGTGTACGTCATAAATTGGCTCTGATAATTATAATTAGTTTCGTATTTCGGAAGAAGTAGCGGAAGAAATTGGTTGGCCTCTTTCAGGAATTTACAGAATAATTGCTGTAATTTTTAACTGAATTAGGCCGCGTTTCCAGGTTTCTATAAAGCGGGGATTATTAATAGCCACTCCAGTTTTCTGTTCGTGCTGTTCTGACATTAACCATTACGTAAGGCGTCTTTTGAAAACCGGTTAGGTGAGGCGAGGTTGCATAGATTGTAGTCAGTACTTTTACATGGCAACCGATGCATTCAATACTGCCGTGCTGGAAGAAATCGGCCAGTTTCGAATAAATTGCCAAAAATATGGTCGACAGAAGCGATTTACTTTTCACATTTTTTTTCTTTTCCGTGTTGGCGATTGTGACTGCAAGCCTTAATCGGCTGTGCAACGTTGGAAACACGATACCTTATCTTACATAACCGGAAAAATACCGGCAATGGCAAATATTGCCTTATTTGTTTTACAATTAGCAACGCCGATGTTACAGTACAACTGTTCAAGCATGCGAATTTCTGCATTTCTCTCAGAATGGTTAATATTTAAACAACAATCAGGAGAAAATAGTAAACAATTTGGAAGTGCATATAATTTATAGCATACAGAAATTGTGAAATTAACTTGAAAATTTGGTAGCTGCAGAAAACTGAAATTTTACTATGGTGGAATCTGTGCTGCAGATTAATGAAGTCTAAAATTATTATTAATTATTTAGTCTAAAGTTAACTGCTTCTCTGCATTATTTCTAAGCAGTCACCGGAGCTTTGTACTGTTTAATGGGTTGATAAACGAGAACTACCGAGCTTTGTTAAAACAATCGGAGCTGTTATTGTCTTGTTGATATATGCTCGTATTGGCGTGAAATTCATATTGTTGTAAAATACAAAAATTAAGAATTATTCAAATTTAGTGTTGGATATCGTGGAAGATCTGGTAACTTCCAGCGTGGACGACAGCGGACCGACGGTGACCGCCGTGGACCAACCCCCTGAACCCGATGCCCAACCGGACACCGATCGCCTTTTATCGGATGTTAGCACTTTTCCGGAACCCCTGGTCTCCCCGGCCTCACCCACTCCGGATGCCGAAAGCGACATGGAATGCGACGTATTCGAGGAAGCATCACCCAAATCAGTCCAGCCGATGATCCAACCGATGCCGATTGTCCAACCGATTAAATCCCCGTCACCGAAAGAGCCTGTGCGAATGTTCCGCAAGAAAATGAAACCGATTCGCCGCCGCGCGGCCTCCTGCCCCTTATTCGAACCCGACGAGCATATCCCATTGCGGAGCGTGAAGAAAAAGGAAGAAGAACCGGAGAAATTGTTCACGGAGCGGATCCGGGAGCTCTCCCCGGTTTCGGACGTCGGCGAGGCGGAAAACTCCTTCGAACCTCAGTTACTGGTTCCGCCGTTGTCCGCGCTGGAGACGTATGTCTTCCCGCAAATCTCATCCGGATATTTCAACCTGGATCCGCTGCACACCGTCCGATCGAAATTGACCCCGTCGACGCCGGTTCCCGCGGGAATAATCGCGTCGGGTGCCGCGGCGTTTATCGAAATCCTCGATCGCCTGAACTCCGATGCCGATCTCTCGTCAGAATACGACACGCTCTTCTCCCATCTCCAAACCCACCTCCAGTGCGCCGTGGAGTATTTCAACTGGTTCTCCCCGGCGGATCCGGTTGCCGAGCAACTGGGTGTCCAGTTTGTCAACGCCATGAAGTCCTATCTGGCGGAGACGAAAAGCAGTCCGACGACGGCGTTGGAGGTGCTGTTGAGCGTGATGCTGCGGGTGGAGGGTGTGCCGGAGTGGATGGGAGCATCGGGGCTGGTGGACGCCCTGCTGGAGTGCGGTGGTGTGGCGGGGAATGTGTTGGAAGCGTGGATGGTGTTGGTGGGAAAGGCGAAAGACGTATTGATGCGAATGGAGCCGCGGATGAAGAAAGTGGCCGGCGGGCGACGCAGTGCGTTTGTGGGACTGTGGGAGCTGCGGATGAGCGTAGAAGCCGCCGTGGAAATTCGTTGGGTGCAGGGAGAGAATGGCGGGAATAATGCCGGTATGATCGAATGGGGAACAGTAAGGCAGTTCGGTTGAGACGTTGATTAATTGGCAGAAATAGTTATCTATTTGTTTATTTTGATTCACTTACTAATAACGTTAAAATCTATGGTTTGAATATTAGTAATGCACAATCTGGTTTTTTTTGAATTATTATCCGAAGGAAGAAAATTCACTAACATTTTAACACAGCAAAAGTACACACTTGTAAAAAAGTGGAAAAGTTGTAAACAGCAATTATTCAGCATTAATATCCTTTTGTCAGAGTTTGCGGTTATTCGAATAGGTTACCAACGAATCCCTTTAGGAGCCGCTTCTCTACAGTTTTCGTGCTATTGAACTGGAGCACATGAGCACCATACTCGATAACTGTAGAAGTATGAATTTTCTTTTAATTATTACTGTATTATTTGGATCTCGCGGTTTTAATTTGGTTTATGTTTTTTTTTCTTAGAAGTCGTTAACATTTTTGTAGTAATTGTTAGTGGGTTTTGCAGAATTTCAGCATTCCTTGAAGTGCCATATACCTTTATTTTGTATATAATAGATTGATTTTTTTCGTTTATAATTCCGTTGTCATGAGATGGATGAAATTTCTAGGTCCAATTATGAAAGCGCGTTTGGATGGCATCTACGGTGCCCTGGAGACGCTCCTGACCAAAATCACCGACTATCGCAACCTCCAGCGTGAACCTACGATACAGTCTTTCCTCGATCCGCACGCCGCCATCATTGCCTGTCTGGACCAATGCAAATTCCTCCCCTGGCTGGCCGACATCCACACCCGCATTCTGGAGTTAGACCAGCGCGACATCACCGTCTGGCGCATACGCAAACTCATCTCCGATCTCCTGGACACCCTCCTCCACAACGAACTGACCGGGGCGTACCTCCTGAAAAAATCGATAAAAAATTCCACAAAAATCCTCTTTGACGGGTTAGTCAGGAGCGGGGATAATCTGGAGAGCCTCCGCACCGCGCAGAAGATGGCCACCGCCATGGAGACCGTCCGTTGCATCGATCAACTGATCGTGGAGTCGTACGCCAACACACCGGAGATGGTGACGCAGCTGGCGTCCCTGGTACAGACGGATGTGACCGCGGGGATCGCGGCGAATGTGTTAACGGGGAAATGTTGTCAGGGGGTACTGCGGCATTTAATGGAGAAGGCGGAACGGGTGCGACCGGTGTTTGAGATCTTGGTCAACGGGGTGATTTGTCAGCCGGAGCGTGGAGTGTTTTTGATTGAGTGCCTCGGGGAGTTGGCGGCGTGCTACCAGCAGCGGGAGGATATGGTGCAGTACTGCGCGCTGACCTGTGCCGGGGTGCTGGCCAAGGAGTTCCGCCATGAGCCGGTGAAGGCGCGCTTTTTCCAGTGGGTGGTCAGGGAGTTGGGGACGCTGCAGATTCAGAGTATTAATGGTGCGTTTTCTGGTCTGTAGCCTGATTTTTGCTCATTTAACATGCACTGACCGCTGTTAATTGGATTTAATTGATATTAAAATTTTCGTTAAATGTTAATTTATTTCAAAATTTTATTGTAACTACTGTAATGCCGATTTAGAGTCCTTTTAGTTGTCAGTAGTTGTCGAATTGCGTGATCGTTTCCCACAGTATGCGGAATAGGAAATTTCGTAGAACAACGGCTTCTCGTCGAGTATTGCATTTGGCTTAATAGAGCTTGCCTTTAATAATGCCAACGAAAAAGCGTTCAAATAAATGATTTTTCTGATTGACTTTTTGAATTGAATTGAATTGCTGATTAAAATATTTTAAATGTAATTTTTCAAGTTTTTTATGGTTTTTAGAGCACAGTTGTACCTGTATCGTGTTAGTATAGCGTTAGTTGCGAACTTGTCAAGGCGGTTGATTTACTGAATAGTAACGATACGTAATGTTACTTCTGTAAGTTCTGTTCTCAGTAATAGAAACTAGTTTTTAAGATACAGTGATTGCGGCCCGCTTCTACGATTTTACTCGTAGAGGCATGCTTTTAAACAGGAAAATTAAAAATAGGAATGTGTGCTTGTTACACGTAAAACGTTGGTCAGTGCAATACAAAGTAAAAACTCAAATAAAATCTGAATCAATTTCCGCTGTGTTTTGACAGTGCCGGACAGTGTCATTTACGTCCTGCTGGACACTTGCGTCTACTGCCTGACGTTCTGTCTGAAGTCGCAGGAACGCGTGGCGTTGGCGCTGCAGGGCAGCGGCGCCGTGGTATTCGTTAATTTGCTCAAGTCCGTGCGTGTTGTGATTGAAAGCATTCTGATCTCGACGACGGTCCAGCCGGCCTCACCGTCGCTCAACATCCAGCTGTGGGAATCCGCCTGGATTAATTGTGCCAAAATATTCGCCCTCGCCGTCCTCTCTGGAGTTATTCCTGATTCATTGGCTATTCTGGTTAGCAGTCGTGCTTCATATCAGTTATAGACTTATAGGAAAGTGTATTTATAAAACAAAATAAGCGCGAATAAAAAGCATAATAGAAGAGATGCCTGCGGATTAGAACCAAATGGAAAAATTAATGGAAAATTACTGAGCTGCTTTTCTGGAAAATTTCCGAGCTTCATGTAATATGTGTTTGTAGATTTGGGTAGTGGGAAGTTTAAACTAAAATTTATTAGTTAGGGTAGGGAACTGAGTTACTGAAATCGGTTGACTCATAGGCGATAGAACTAAAATTATCGGTAAAATTGCTGGCTTGCTGAATTAAATCGAATATCCGGCAAAATTTCGTTTCGAAAGTTACGCGAATTTGTTTCATTTCGATTGTTTGCTCCATACGTTTTCTTGTAAGAGAGTGATTTGGTATTTTTTGATAGACATTCACTGAAATGGTGAGTTTTTCCTGCCGAGCGGAATTGCCGGTGAGAGACGGCTGCCGTACGGCCGTTCAGAAGGAACTGGCGCGCGGATTGAAGGAGATCGTGCGGCAGACCTTGTGCAGCCTGAATCCCGACGCTCTGTACTCTTCTGATCTGTACAAACACGTTCACATGGCGATGTGTGCGGCCACCGCTCCCGGTCAGCCGTTAGCCAGTCTGTGGGCCTACCTGGCCATCGTTAACCGACTGCGGCCCGATAATCTCCACACGGCGCCGGACATTGTCAGCGATGAGTGGATCCGCCGACGGAATAACTGGGAAGCGCTGGTAAGTGGAAACCGGTGCCGGTTTGGTGATCGTTTAGATTTTCGGAATTTAATAATTCAGATAACGGTGTTTGTAGTTAGCCCGGATTTCGGCGTATTTTAATCTTAAATACCAGTTGTTGAATTTTCTTTTACGGTATTTTTCAGAAGTTTTTAAGATTTTTAAATTTTTTATGCCGGTGAGTATGCCTTTTCGTCGCCAACTTGACGAAATATTTTGCATTTTTTAGAAGTTTTCGGTTGGGTTATTTCTTTCAGTTTATTTGGTTTATTATCCGAAGTGAGTGGGAATTTATTGCTTCTAACCGTTTGTGAATTTTTTAACATGTAGATTGTTCTGTCTGCGAATTTTATCATTATGCCGTTTCGTCGTTCATAAGATCTGGCATTTGATGTTTGCCGGTGCATTGACAAGTTTGACATTAATAAGAGTGTCGGTACTTTAAATGGTAACGAGTTTTCGTAGAACAACGGCTATCATTGACGGGAAGGCGCTCGGCAAATGATATGTGATTTAACAAAGTACAGAAGTTTTGACTGGTTTACGATGACTTTTCTTTTGTATTTCTTATGATCGCACCCTGTTCTGTTCTTTCTGTTTTTAAATTCGTAATTTAGCATTTGGGGTGACCGTGATAATTGTGCTAACTGCAAGTCTGCAGGGATTAGTGATTGCTGTATGCTGTTAGGTGCGTTTGGATTTCACCCGCCTGAAGTGCATCATCTGCTACGGCCTGTCGACGAGTATCGGCTACGCGGACGCTGACTTCCGGTTGTGGTTGTGGCGCTACTGCGAGATGTCGGCGCCGGCGGCCTACGAAGCCGTCTCGGTGCTGTGGTGGACCTGCACGGTCGCCATTAAGGACGGCCTGCATGAAGAGAAGCTGGCGCTGATTCTGCAGAAGTTGGCGGCCCTTTTGCGCGTGGATATTGTGCGCACCGTGTCGCTGTATCTGCTGCAGCCGCGGCCGGAAACGACCACACCCGATGGGCCGTTGGAATATATTGATAATCCCATCGGCTGGCATCCGAAAATGTATGCGAATAAATTGAAGAACTTTTCATTCACTTTCACTATTTTTAAAAAATATATTTTATGCGCGATATTTTTGGTAAATTTGTATTACTAAAACTTCCTTGTCCTAAAGAATGGGCTTTTTTTCCCTTTTTGCCTCCATTATTTGTTATCCTTCTAAGTTTTTGTATTTTAAATTCTGTAAATTATTTGTGCAGCAGTACAGAAATTTATTTTTGTCCACAAAAAACATAAAATTGAAGAAACGTTTCACCCAATTAAAATATCAAAACTTTCAGAAATTTTTCTTCATTGTTTTCTCAAATTTTAAAATTTATGTGATCGATCAATACAACCAGCAATAAAAAGAGAAGCTTCAGGGAATCTAAAGAATATATTAAAAAATTTTTATTTTTGCCGACAAAACTGCACCAAATTCCTGAGTACTTTTAATGGTAAAATTAAAGAAATTATTTAGCATAATAATGGGGCCTTTCGCTGGTTACATTATTGTAATTTATTTAGGTTTGACTATTTCCTGACCTTATTATCCACCGCTCCGCTTTATACGAAGAACAACCAGCTGCCCTCCCTGCATCCCGTCTTGCAGATCATCACCGCCCTCCTGCCGCCCTGGGCGCCACCCCACACCCCGCCCACCCTCCAGCACCACGTCCCGGCCATCATCAGCGCCGTCCTCGCCCGTCTGGAGACCAAACCCAGCATCCCGCTGCTCGCCACCTGTTTCCCCTTCTTCCACATCCTCCCCTACTACCCGGACGTCTTCCTGACCAAGAACGCCAAGAAACCCCTCCTGAACCGGCTCCTCCTGGAATTGGCGCGGGAACTGCGTGCCGACCCGCGGAACCCCGCCTGGGTGGTGCTGGCCCACCGCCTGGTGGCGGTCTTCCGGGATTTGGGTGCCGGAGGGCGTGTGGAATGGCCGGAGGTGCGCAGTATGGCCGGGATGGTGGTGGCGTACACCCGGGGATATGATCGGCAGCGCCCGACGTACCGCTTGATCCAGAACCTCGATCCGGAGCGGGCAGCGGTAGGGGATGGAGAGCCGGCCACCCCCGAGGTGGCGGAGTTTGTGGGGCTGGTCAAACGGATGTTGGGGGAGTTTGCTGCGGAGGGGAAGAAAGGGAAGGGAAAAGAGAAGGAGAAGGAGGCCGGGAAGGGGAAGGAGATGGTGGAGTGGTTCCGGACGTATGTCGAGGAGATGGCCGGGCTGGATGGGGCGGCCTATGAGCGCTGGCAGCAGGAACAGGTACGGCGAGTGAATTTACAAGCGTTTTGCTAATCACCGTCTCGACACAGGTTTTTGTTGATTTTTTTATCACTTTTTTGTTTCACGTTGAGACGTTTTCTTTTCTCTAAAATTTTTTTTTTTGTAAATATCACGGTATAACTTTGTGTGGCTCATCGCTTTTGACTTCTATTCTCTTCAGTTATAATACATATCTGACATGTGCATCCGTGTCGAAATAAATTATGTACATAATGCAGGTTAACATCGTAGAATGCGGGCTACTAAATTTGACGCCGTAATCGGTTTCAGCGGTCGCCGACATTTTACAGTATATGTACTTAGTTGCAGTAGAATTCTCCGTTGATTTTTTCATATCTGTTACGCCTTGATTGTTCATTTTGTTTTCAGGTTTTTAATCGCGGTATTAAGCGGTTCCTTACTTTTCCATAATTATTACTACATAATTTCAGTTAGTAATTTGATAGCATGGAAGTTTGTTAAAAATTATTCTTCAGTAAAAATTGTGAATTTTATTTGCTGCTGTTATTGCGTAAGAATTATACAAGTAAGTAACTGGTTTTATTGATTCGTTAATTTTTTAAATAATAGTTTTCGTGATACCTAACGATGGATTGCAAGTGCTCCTTTTTTCCATGTTTTCACTGGTTTTTAATGATAATTTCCAGGTGGACCAGGCGGTATACATGTACAGTTCGCAAGCGGTAACCGACAAAAAGCCAGCGGTCGCGAAACAACCGCTCGTCCTCCTCAACGACGCCATGAAGATCGAGAAGATGCTGTCCGACTGGATGCGCCGTCAGAGCGGTCCCGTGGCGTCCACCTCGACGGCGGCGGTGTAATAATGAACGAACGCCCGTGGTATTTAAACTCTAGTTGTTTTTGTTGTTTGATAGCCTTTTGAAAATTAATGGCCTTACTAATTCTCGGTTGCGGCAAATTATAGTTCCTCTTCTGCCTTATAAATTAACAAATTTATTTTGGAGATAGATTAGTGCACAAGTGGCGATTGATAAGTTGACTGTTATACTGGACAGATTTCTGTTTCGGATGGCGATTTGTTTAACGTGATATATAGAACCGATTCGCGTTGAGTTTTTGTTGGGATTTCTTTGTTTTACGGTGTTCGGAGATTTATTTTTATTGATGGCTAATATACTGGAATGGAATTCTGGGCATAAATTGTTTTTTGTGCATTAAAAATGAGGGAAGCCTTGATTTTGTAGTGCTGAAATCATCGCAAAGGGGTTGGTTTTTTAATGTCAATTTTTATAGGTAAATATGGTAAAATAATAAATGACAGAAATCGCAACAGAAGCGTTCAGTTTTATTGCCAGTTAAATGTTTGGTATTGATAAATAAATGTTGAGCGGAAGAGTTGTTCGCTTCATCTGTTTAGGAACGCAGGTGACCGAATGGTTGACCGGCGTAGTAGAAGGCCGACCGGTGGGAACGGCGCAGACAGCGGTTGTTGTAGTAGTCAACGTAGTGGAACTGCTTCAGATTGAGAAATTCGAAGACCAGCTCGAAGGCGTCGTAGGCTTCGTCGGTCAGCGCGTCGCCCATCAGGTATTCCAGAGCGGCGAGTTCCGCATCCACCATCCACTACAAGAGAAGCAAAAATATAAATTTGTTTCTAATTCGGTTGCAAATACTCTTAATGATGACATATGAATAATAAAAATAAATAACAATACGCGTTCTTTTTAATTACATAATACACTTACAAAATAATTGTTATACATAGTATTAGAACTTTAGAAGTTCTTTTTACCATGAAATATGGCATGTTGTGATACATTCGCCCACGCCGTAAAGACTCCTCGTACTTGGCAAACGCTGCATTGTCCAGCAGCCGCTCTAGATTGGCTGTTCATCGAATGCACAAAACAATTAAACATGAAATAAATCCAGTTTAATGTTAATTACAGCAACACCCGGTAATTACATGTACCGAGGTACGTACCGGTTTTATTTTGTGGCTCGTAAACGGTCAGGTTGGCTGTAACACAACGAAAAGGCCATCCACCGGTTTTTATATGCGAGTACATCGTCTTGATGTGTTCTAAACTTACTGATTTGCCAGTTCATGTCCCTGTAAAAGCAATCCTGATGTATTCATTTTGTTTACTAGTGAAAAATTTTAAACAGGAATAATAAAATATCTTTTCTACTGACTGTCCGAGCTGGAACATGACCGGATCCAGGGCGCGGTCAGTCCATACGTCCTCGGCATCGTTGACATTGTACGCCGGCATGTACTCCGGATGCCATAAAAGCAATCTAAAAAATGTATCACATTATTTTATTAAAAGGTCTGCTTACTTATTTGTTATCCTATCTATGTATTTTACAGTATTGTATTATATTAAATAAAGTAATCATTTAATTTTTGTGACCTTTTAGATCAGTTTGATTTTTCGGATATGGCATTCTAATGGTTACAGTTAGCGTTTTCTACAGTAGAAAATTTCAAATAGTTATCGGGCTGAAATGACTAGGACCTGGTTGTGTTTGGGCAGATCTATGGTGATATCGCAGATCGTAGTAAAGTGGCTTTTGAACAAACGGTATCCGACCGCACAGTGCTATAAAGCAGAACTCGATACACCGGAACGGCTTCCTTCATTAACTTTCATTATTATTTTTGGAAAAGTTTCTATCCTATTAATCGTACGAAAAAGTAATCATTTATTTTTTTTTGCCTTTTCATTGATTTAGTTTACGTCGCTCTTACCCAAATGCACGTAATTTAGCAATGTAAATTGAAAGGATGTTAGGAATGTAAATGTAATACAACATGATATTTACATATATTTAATCAATTTTAAAGTAATCAATGTAATGCACGGCAATTTAATAGTATTTATGTGCCAGCGAATGCACTACTTGTAAGTGGACTTACAACCAGATAGCTGTCCGTGCAAACACTTCCGGCGCCTGGTGTATGGGAACGTAGGCCTTCCCGGCCGCGATGGGCATCAACTGCACCCAGGTATTCTGCGCGGTGTTTAGTAGTTTATAGGAGATCCCGCTGGCGCCCTCGATGCGAGTGTAATTCTGTCCGCGCACCGCCTGATTGGGCACCACTTCCGGTCCGAACGCGCCCGGCGCCGGGGTCGGGCGGGAGTACAGCGGATGCCAAGTGGGGTCCGGCGTGGGAATGGCGATGTCGTGGGTGGTGGTCTGTTGGGCGGGATTATTCCAGTTGACCGTCGTCTGGGCGGTCGCCAGCACAAACATCGAAAATGTGGAAAAAAGGCTGAAGGAAAACATGGTTATTATTTGTAAAAAATTGTACTGGTGGAAAAAATAAAATAAAATTTAATAATGACGGGGAAAATGAGAGAAACTGAACGTTTATATCGGCTTGATATTGGGTATGCATATTCGGAAAAACTGCGTTTCCGTTCGATGGACGGTATACGTAATTGTGCATTGCAGCATAATCGTGAGAATAAAAATTAATTAACATTTCAACATGCAGCGCACTAAAAATTTGATTACTAATTATCGGTATATTTCCGCTTTATGTGTATGTAATATCGCTACGATTACACCCAGCGAGTGTTGATTTACACCCCTTTGTACACCGTCCGCTCGCATGTTCTGACATCGGTAAGCGAGTTTACTGTGTACCGGTGACATAAATTCTGCTCAGCCTATAAAATACATGATGAGTGTTTGGTACGCCACAACATTTCGACGTGGTGTGGGCAAGTTTACCTGATTTGATTCGACCATGTTCGTCAGCAATGTGGTGGTTTTTCTGCCGGTGTTAGCGGCGTTGGCCGACGTGGATGTGAATAATAAGCCGCTTATTACTGGGGCAGCGAATGCTGGAACGAATCTTCCGCCGATATACGTCCATCCGACAAAACCCACGCCCGCTCCCGGAGCGGCGGATCCACGCCTCCTACCGTTTCCCTACAGCGCCACGGCCAATAAATCCTTCGATGGATTTTCCGGTAAGCCTTCAAATTTTTTTCGTCAGCGGTTCAGCGTTTTTTTTGTCTGGAAAAATTATTTCTATTAATTTTTTATGTCTATTTTTTAAAAAATTATTTCTATCAATTTTTTTTCTAATTTTTTAATGTATTTTTGTACATAAGGTCTAAAGGATGTCTACACTCTACATTTTCATAATTTTAGTTATTTCGCTATATATTTTACCGGAACTATAATGTGCATTAGTTGTACTGATGACCTTTAAACTAATGCCATTGCGTACGATAATTAAATTTTAATCGACCAACTGGCATTTTGTTTTACGGTTAGGAATGTCTTTGGACCAGCTAAAGTTTATGGCTGCCGACTGGGAAAGGTCAAAACTGCGTGCCGCGCATGCGCTAAATCAAACGTCGGTTAAAGAAGGGCTGATCATCATCGGGAAAACAATTGGCAACTAGTAAGCATTACTTGTACGCGCGCTATACCAACTTGTTCGTGTGTCACAGATAACACTTGTTTGATTTCTCGGATACACGGTAATATTAATGCTTGTAATTCGAATTTTTTTCGAAAGTTGTCTAATTGACTTGAAAACACATTGTGTACTTGTGCAGTTAGGTGGAGGTATCGTCAATCGTAGAAGAGAGGCGTTTGTGCAACCTTGGTCTCTGACATACAATGCAGTCTTCTAATAAAGCACAAAGTGATACATCAGAAAGGCTTTCCAATTGATTTTGATAGTTAACTTTTTTAGAATATTTTATTTTTATATATATAATCTCTTCCATTTACCGGATACATGTAGTGGTGTGAAATGTGAATTAATATTTAACGACGTAATGTAGCTTTGATTACTGGAATCCGGATGCCGGGCAGATGCTCGGTTTGGGAGATTTAAGTGTGGATTTGGACACCTTCTGGACTTTCCAACCGGCAACACTGGTCATTCAAGTTGTTATGGGGTATCACTATTTTTTACAATAGATCATTTTCTTGCTTCTAGTGATTTTTGTAATGTGATTATTTAACAGTGCTTCGATCATTGTTATAGGGAATTCGACAAAGAAATGCGTAAGTTACGGAATACCGGCGTTTCCGTCTCCACAAAACAAAACGGCCATTGGTACAGCTAATTGGAAATAACGATTGCTTTTCTATTTCAGGCGCACTTTTTAATTTGGAATCCGGTAAATTACGTTACACTGGTTTAAGATGCAGTTTTCGCAAAATTCAAGCAAGAAAAAAATCGAAATAAAAACGGACGTTGTAATGAAAATAATGTATCAGATATCATAATATCTTTATCGTCACTAAAAATTAATTATTAATCAATTAAAGCAATAATTATTAAAAAATAGAGTTATATGTAAAGCAGTAATATGTGCAATGTGAATAATTAAATCTGTGTACTACAAAATATTTAATATGTTCGGGCAACAAACAGAAAAATACGTGGCTGCTATCGATGACACCGCGGAATTCCATTGGTCCCGTAACGCCCTGCACTTCTCCGCCATTCGCGTAATGCTGTCGGGATTTCTGGTGCGTATTTTGCGCGATCATTTTAGTTGGTAGCGATGAGACAGTGAGTGTATATTGCAGCGGTACATCGCACCCAACGTGGCCGGTGTGAAGTTCTACTACGGATCGGAGTGGACGGAGGAGCAGGAATCCGGCTACTACACCGTCTTCCGGCTGATGAACTGGTACAACTGGCATGTCTTTCAAAAGTACGCCGACGGATGTAATGTCCGCGCCAACGGCACCTTTGTCGCCTCCATCGCCTGCGAAAACTGCATATAAAAAGTTCATTATGTGCTGAAAAGATTTACTGACTACGCCAATAATGACGTGTCATTAGATTACGCATTTTTACCCGGCGTTTGGATGTGCAGTCACATTCGCTTCGTTATTGAACTGTTTGTGTGTTTGCCATAGTTTTATAATTTATTTTAAGTGCTTCATCTTACGTCGTTTAATTTTATCTCCTATGTAAGAAACGTTCTATTAAATTTTATATAATTATTATGGTTTTAATACTGCTATTTTTCGGTATTGTACACAAAAAAGTCTGGTGCTTACTAAAAACTCAAGAACTGCGTTCATTTGCTGATTAATTGCCAGAAATTTTAAAGAAAAGTTAGAGAAATAATCGTATTAAAGAAATGTTAGAGCTGCACATAAATGCACGTTTTAATTACTTTGACTAAAGTAGAAGTACTGGCAATGGCATGCAGACACCGGCAGTGTTCAAATCAAGTTACTATCGATTATCGGAGCCATGCAAAATAAAATTTTTACCAGTTTTGCTCCTTACCATTAGTGTAAGTATACATACGCGTGTATTTTCATTAAAAATAATCAAAATTTACAATACTGCAGCAGGGTGAAAACTTATGGTTAGTTCGCTCCTTGCGTGAGCTATACATCGCGGCCATATACCACGGGAATTTTACAGTAGCTCTGTATAACATGAAACATTAAGGGAAATCTTAAGCACCGATGCGAATACATGTACCAAATACAAATTTCCTCTTCACCTGGACAGATTAATTCGAATATATCGTTATACATTTTGTCCTTTACGTAAAAAGGTAAATGCTTTTATGTCCTTGATATACATGTACTGTGCACGAAAACGGATAATTCTGTTCTGTAAAATTACTGTAAAATGTAAATATCCCGGCATTCGTACGTACGTACACAAGGTTCAATTGCATATATCTGTATGTATAGTATATAAACCAGTACGCTAACCGAATAAATTAAACTTGAGTAAATTAAAATTAGTATTATAGACATAGATAAATTAATTGTTAGAAAGCCTAGAATTATTAAAAGTATTATTATGGTACATATCAGATTATCTACAATAAAAATGTGTATTCCGATAGAATAACCACATGCGTATCGTAATCGGTAATTGTATGGTATAGAGTTTATTGTGTGATATTATTATATTTGACGGAAGGCAACAGTTCGTAGAGCAAACTAATGACTGCTCGTATGTGAACTTCTAGTTAATGTTGTGCAGTATATCCGCCCACGCAATGCTAATAGAAAGCTGTGTATCGCAAACATATACCCCATCATCTGGGCTTAATCGCATGTGAGTCCGTTCACCGACGGAGAAATCGTTAGTACAGCGGAAGACGCTCAACGTTTGCGTGGAGCGCGCTATACGGGAAAGAAAAAATAGACATCCCTGGACTGCTGCAACGATTACATAACCATTGCAGCATACCGCGCTAGACGCAGAGGATCGATAAAAATACCCTTTCCCCGACTGACGGTGCACTGCACATCCGCCCAGCGTCGATATATTCCGAATGCGGCACCATGGCGCTATATAAGCCCGGCGCTGGAGCCGACGCGGGCGTTAGTCGAGAACGGTTGTTAACTGCAGCACTACATAGTACGGTGCCGGTGACACGATCCTGCTTCGCCCCGTTCATTGTTTCGCGCGTTCTTGCCGTTGGAGACGTGGTATTAGCACTACTGCAACTATAGCCATGGCCGATGTCGTGAAGAAAATGGAAGAGGCGCCCGGCATCCTGGGCAAGGATGACAAGAGCCACTCCCTGTTGAAGAAATACCTGACGCCCGATGTGGTCAACAAGCTGAAGAACACCAAGACCAAGATGGGTGCTTCCCTGTGGGATTGCATCCAGTCGGGTATGGAGGCAGATCATCCCGTTTTAAATTAAATTAATCCTGATCAAATTAAGTAGGCACTAGGCACTCGTCAGTGATTAATTTAACGCAGGATGTTTTTCAGGTTTTTAATATCATCAGTCTTAGTGTCTTACTATTTAGATTTATCCGGATAAATTTAAGTCGTTATTGTATAAACAGGCTGGTATACAGGAGAATTTATCCAGCAGCAAAATTTCTTGCAGCTGAAACATTTAAATGCCTAAGGTTAATTTTTTGAAATATGATTTTAATTTTTAGGTGTGATTAACACCGACAGTGGAGTCGGCATCTATGCTCCCGATGCGGAATCGTACACCACCTTTTCTGAGATCTTCTATCCCATCATCAACGTACGTCGCCTTATGCAACTACTAACCGATATAACAATTATCGCAAAAAAATGCGCAGGTCAAAGCCAACAGAAACATTAACAATAAAATACATAATGATATGTATGTATTTGACGTTTCTATTAAATAAGCACACCACTATATTTACCTGAGTTAAGCTTGAGTCATATTTATATATAGGTTTTTACTTTTCCTACATATTTAAATTGTTTCGTAAAGGCTGTAGCTGGAAAAACTGCGATAAGATGGTCGGTTAATTTCCTAATTCCGTTTGTAACGTACAAATTGACACTAACTGTAAGTAGAACTGATGACAGAAATCTATCGATTATACGAAAAGCAATTAAATTTGTGAAAAACGCCCTGTCGTGCCTGTACACAGGACTACCACATTGGCTTCGACATCAAGGGCGGCGCCAAACATCCGCCGATGGATCTGGGCCTGGACAAGATCAACTTCCCCAATCCGGATCCGGAGGGCAAGTACATTATCTCCACCCGCGTGCGCTGCGGTCGATCGCTGCAGGGCTATCCATTCAATCCGCTCCTCACCGAGCAGGTAAAAACGCACTTCTTCCGTCCATTATTCGCACGTGATTCTTTCCAACATTCGCGCGGCGTTCCCAGCTACACGGATCGATAGATCGATCAACAACTGTCAGCGTTTCTCAGCTGGGCCGAACAATCAACGGGATATTTATCCAATAAACAGACGGTATAATACGCGGCTTTGTGTTGTTTTGCAGCAATACAAAGACATGGAGGGAAAGGTGAAGGATGCGCTGAACGGGCTGCCGGGTGAGCTGGCTGGTACATACTATCCGCTGACCGGCATGTCGAAGGACACACAGAAGCAGCTGATCGATGATCACTTCTTGTTCAAGGAAGGCGACCGGTATGTAGAGGAGTACCGCGTATACAGATACAATAATTAATAGCAGCCCGCCAGTTTTAGCCGCTCTTTGTTACTGCGCTTAGCGCGCTGCGAATTGTACCGTAGCACTTTACTCTTCGTGTTAAAAAACACAGGTGCAGCATAAAATTCTTCGCACTTATTAGCGAAATTAGAAAGAATCAACTCATACAGTATGAAAATAAAAAGCTTCGGTTTTCTTTAAAATTTGAGTGAATCTTGCTTTTGTACCAGGCGGATAACTAACTTCGGTATACGTGGTAATGGTAACTAAAAAGTTTCTACAAAAATTATTTTGAGGAATCCTCTTAGAAAGATAGCAGTTTTTTTGCCGGTTAAATCTGAAATTAAAGATCTTTCTTAGTCGCGCGTTTGGTCACACGGCAAATGACGTGGCTAACACGGTTGATTGCTCCGTCTAGTTTCTTGGAGGCTGCCAATGCTAACCGTTTCTGGCCGACCGGTCGCGGTATCTACCACAACAAGGACAAGACGTTCCTGGTGTGGGTTAACGAAGAAGATCATCTGCGCATCATTAGCATGCAGAAGGGAGGCGATCTCATGGCCGTCTACAAACGCCTCATCCAGGTATAACTTCCGCTTAGTTTCTTGTTTTTATTATGCTCGTACTCGTATACTAACCATTCTGCTAATCGAACAGGGTGTGAACGAGATTGAGAAGAAGTTGCCGTTCTCCCGCGATGAACGTCTGGGCTACTTGACCTTCTGTCCGACCAATTTGGGTGAGAATAAATAAAATATATAGCAACAAGGAAAGATCCGCAACTATATGGTATGCTTTATACAGGAACCACCATTCGTGCCAGCGTCCACATTAAGCTACCCAAGATCAGTAAGAATCTCGATGAATTCCACAAGATTGCCGCCAAGTATAATCTGCAAGTGCGCGGCACATCCGGCGAGCACAGCGAATCCATCGGCGGCGTCTATGACGTGTCCAACAAGGTCAGTATAAGCAAGAGCAGTGGAACGCTGACGCGGCAACAGCCGCTGCGATCGCACCATAATTCTAAATTTAGCTGCCTATTAACAAACTTATTAATAACACCATCGTCTGCCAAAAAATTCACCCGGCTGCATTTTTTCCCCTCAACAGCGCCGTATGGGATTGACGGAATTCGATGCTGTGAAGGAGATGTACGAAGGCATCGTCGAGCTGATTAAGCTGGAAGAGAAATCTTAGATTGGGCGTAAATACAGCTCCGTGTGTGAAGAGATGCTGCGGAATGCAACTGTTCTAATCCTGTCCCTTTTTTCGGTCGTTGTGCAGCGTTGGTTAAACGAAGAGAAAACCTGTATAATACTACTCGGATAGATGATATACTTCCCGGTTTGAGTGTTTGAGTATTTCTGATTATGGTGAGATTTTGGTTAACGATCGTTGTGATTGATATAATGATGTCATACCGTTATTTGATGCGCTGATGACTGATCAATAAATTTCCGGTACCATCCAAACAACTGCAGTATAAATTTTGTTACAGCAACAGTCATATAAGCCACTCATAAAGCGAACAAAAGGCACAAAAAGACGAACGGTCATCGTAATAATAAAGCGAAATTTAATTTACACACTACCACTTATTTCTAACCAGGAATCATATGACTGTATAGCGGATTAATTTACATATTTGGTAATTTACCAATACATGTGTATATAAACCAGCGTTGAACGTACGTTACTCGATGCTTTTTATGTGAGTACATATTTGCGCGGTACGTTTTACACCATCTGTCAAAATCGATGTAAACAAGCGCTGAGATGGGTGTCCATGTATTACGGCTTATTGTATTCTGTGTAGCGATATATGCTGGGATTATTACGGCTGTGGAATTCAATGCGTTTGAAGAACGATGCGGTTTTGACGGAATACAGTGTTTAGGGATTCCACGAGGATGTATTCAGCCAAATGGTACTTCAGAATGCTCAGCCACTGGGATGGTCTCTATCAGCCCCATGTCGCCAGGTGTTGTAAGGATACTTCTCACTGGTGAACATCAGGGAAATACAACAAATCAATGGATTGGAATAGATTTTTCTGAAGTACGTATGTATAAACACCAAAATTATAATTCCTGATAACGCAGAGTACACCCAGCGGAGACAAACTACTAAATGCCGGGCTAAATTGTGTATTGTAAAGTGTAAACTTTATATCTAATAAAACTGTTTCACAGTTATTAAACATGAAGTGGTACAATGGCCGGTATCTGCTGTTCACTATTTATAATTATAATATTACGTATTTATGTACTAACCCATATGTACATGTACAATAGACGGATTAAAGTACCGCGTACGATCTAAAAACTGTTGTACAGTGCTATCAGCTTGTGGTATAATTCTAGGTACATGTAATATGTAGAATTCTAGCTCAAATGACTGGTGAGCAAGCTAGTGTACCTACATCTGCATGAGTATACGTACATGTATGTCAGCCCAGTAGAGTAAAACTAACTGAATTTGCCTAGCATATGTACGTGTATATTCGTATTTATAATTTGTTACCATCCACAGCTATATTCCTCTCTTATTCCTGTTTTAAGAACGTGAAATTTCTCAATTTTCTCAACGTGTAATTTTTTTTCTCAACGTGTAATTTCTCAATTAGTGTATAGATATTACTGTTGATTTGTTTCTGATTGCCATCAGGACGGAGAACCTGCAGGCAACACTACCGGCATCCAGTGTCGGTATCAGAAAGGCCAAGTAGCCGCCAAATTAACCTGGACCACGAATAACGAAACCTCACAAATGGACTGGACGGCGGCTAATGTACAGTTTATTCACATGCTCGCATCAAACGATTTCAGTTGTACTTCATATATGTAATGCCAATAGAAATCGGCGTTGATTGGCACGAACAACACAACTAACACAACCAGCACTCCTCAGTACCGCTGTTCCGTGGATATTCCTTCCCGGTTCGCCCTCAACGGCTCCATGATCCTGCCGAACCGCATGGCTTACCGGGTGTTCTCTGCTGGTGTTTTTTCCGGAGAACGGGTTGTTACCAACGTCACGGATCTGTATCTGGTATCGCGAGTGCGACCGGACTGGAGTGCGGACGAACGGATGTTTTTATCGTACTGCACGGAAGGAAGACGAAGGATTCAGATCAAGGCTGTGATATGGATGAATATCTGGCCTTTGCCACCAGTCAGCTGAACGTCTAAACGGTGCCATTCTCAGCGTAAAATCAAATTTTTTTGTATACCTGTGCAGACCGCACAGTAAACGCAGTATGTAGACAAAAATTCTCAGCGATTATGGTCAAATAAAATTTTAAATTTTGATTGGCAGCACGGTATTTCTTTTGCCAGTATGAGATTTAATGCATAAGAGGAGATGTCAGTAGCACATCTAAATAATCCCTGTGTTTGTTGCCGTATGACGTTGTGGCAGTGCATATCGCTACATCTGGCGCGGTACGTTAGCATCTTGTGTAGTTGTATACCCGCAACGTCACACGGCAACAGGTACACGGATTATTTAGATGCGCTACTGACATTGCTTTTTTTAACTGCCGGCTCGCTTACAAAAATGCTATACCACACATTAGTGCAATTTAAGCTTCAAAAAATGTACCAAGGTCTGAGATATCCATTTCATTACTGAAAGTATTACGTAAAAGTATATTTTTTATATAGTATCATGATGTAAGTTTTAGGTACAGAGGTAAGTATTATGTAAGTCTTGGTCATTTAAAAAGCCGTACCTTATATTGTTAGACTTATTTCACGGTTTTCCTTATACCACAGTATAAAATAACGACTACCCGTAGACCTAAATTAGTATTTATTAGCCGTACATTATGGTTACAACATTTAGTAGCGTAATGCTCCTGTGAAATGGTTGTAGCCAACTGAAATCTATACAAATTACAAATGATTTTTTCACATTTCCAGTGCAGCCCGTAGACGCAATCCCTTTTTCCAATAAATTTAATAAAGATACAGTATACGAGTGGTACCATGCCACATTGTATCATCCACAATAAGGAACTGCATAGCAAATGCCTAAATACCGAAACACCGAAAGTGCGCTTTGGATATTCAAAAAAGCCTAAAACGTTACGCTAACATATATGTAGAAATACGATAAAAAACGTTAAAAAACGTTAAACGTTAAAAAGCCTGTAAAGTAAATAATTCACGATGTCAGTACTAGTATGCGTTTAATGATTATTTAAGCGGTTATGCTGTCATAAATTTTCGCCGGAAGTCTTATGCGGCTGGCCAACCAAGTGCAAGGGCGACGTTACAATGAATCAAAATTAAGGCTCTCCTCTATTTCTTTTCGGACTTTCTCGGGATCTGCTCCAAGATCTGTGATTCTAGCAGCTAGCTGTTTCAGCTCTTCCAGAGTGGAAATGCGCTCCTCGAAACCAGGACGTCGGTTTAGGTTCTCCGAATTGATAAGGACCTCGATGTATTGCACTGTGGACGTGGGGTTTGGGCGAAGAGCAATCTCTGACAGTTGGTTATGGCATCTATTGCATGTAATCAGTAACTGTAAGATATTCTTGCGGGTGTCAATCATATCCCGACGCACGGCGCGGAATACACCTTCAGCGGTTAGCTTTGTGCCCGAAGCTTTCTCGTACAGTGCCTTAATGTCCTCAAATGTTTTTTCCACTTGCACTGTTTCATAGTGGTGACGATAACCGGCATTCTCATGCACTTTCCAGTGGCACTGGCAGTTGTTACACGTTCCGCTGGGGTTCATAGCCGAGCATTTTGCCTTGTCCTCGTTGTTGGGGTAGATGCACATGTGATGGCACGTAATTAGGCATCGAGTGCAGTTGGTAACGTATTCGCCAGCTATCAGAGGTACTCGAGTTGGCCGTACATCCGGTACTGTTCTGGTGTGGTTCGCATTGACCTCCATATGTGCCTGACTATCTTCAATTATACTCTGTAAAAAACAACCATTGTCAGTTGTCAGTACAAATCACTGATATTGCCTGTTTCGGTGTGTTTCATTAAATCATTTGGCTATAGAAAGTATGAAATGATGTAAAAAATCGTCTGGAAGTGCGCGAAATCAAAAGTTTCCTTGCATATATACGAAATTGGTACCACTGCCCCATGTATGTACCGGTCATTCCCTTAATAATAATAATTAATTTTTTACATAAATATATTTCGTAGATGGGAGTCGGGACATTTCTAAATCTGCCAGTGTCTCGAGGCCATCAAGTTATGTTATGCTTTGTAACTGCTGCCCAAAGAGAACAGAAACGAATTCGAAGTCGTCTACCTTTTCTTTGCGTAGTTTTTCCATTTTGCCCAAGCCTTGCTGTACTTGCTTGTTAAGAGAAGCCACGGCCGTCTCCAGCGCATTACGTTGCCTTAAGACGTTATGCGTCAGGGTTTTATTCTGCGGCTCAATCTGCCCAAGATAATCAAATAGCTGCACGATGCTTCTGCGGGTATCATCCCAATACGGTTTGTTGCGGGCTCCATTTTCCCCGGTGTTATCGGCATATAAGGAGCAGTTGTTCAGTTTATAATAACGCCCATACGGTACTCTGTACTCATTCATGGCGGCCAGCAAATTCGGCTCGCTCGAAGTGGTATCCGCGTGGGTACATAGCAGAATGATGTTCTTTTCGAAGTCCTTTCCAAAGACAGACAGAACGCAGTCAATGACGTACATTTGTGTGGGTGTCAAGCGCTTTTCGCCACTCTGCATCACAATGCCGACCGCATCAATATCCTGAATATCACAGAAAATCGGGTTGTCGCTGCTAAATAGTTCGCTTAACTGCGCGGTAATTTTGCCATCCGAGGCCACGCCGTCCGTGTGGCCGAAACCCGGCGTGTCAATCAGAACCAGGTTAAATGGACAAGGACTATCGTAATTGGTGTACAATTCATAGGCGGTAACGCAGTCTGTCACGCTTTGGGTCTGTTTCCGGTGCTCTACAATCAGCTTCAGACGCGCTCGATCGCGAAACGTCACGCCAAAAAATACGTTACACACGGCATTGATGTAGGTGGTCTTTCCAGATCCGGTGGGTCCTACCAGTAGCATAACCTTGACCTTTTTAAGAACAGCCGGTTGTGGCTTGGTTCCGGCACGATATCGCTGCAGCTTCAGTTCTGCATTAACGGCAAATTTCTCTAATTTCACTTCGTAAATGTCCGGCTTGCCAGGGGTCATGTGTCCACTGGATAGGATGATCTGGTCCAGATATCGTGGTTGCCCCGACGGAATGTCTTCTGCCTGCTCCGACACTGACGACGACGGCTGAACAATACCGCTGGGATTTGCAGCATCCGGAACGTTGATGTTGCTCTCCAGAATGTTTGTAGTGCGCGTGATCTATGTATATGCCAAAAACGTCTTGTCAGTAAAGTGGTGGTAGCAAAACAATACTGCGATATTTCTATCTTCTGAACAACCGGTCAGCTATTACTGAACATTTTGACCAGCCGGTCACCTCGCTGCCCGAACGCAGACAGAGAAGCCACCTATTGCTGTACGAAGTAATAAGCTTATTCATTCTATTTTATTTTTTATTTACAGTTTTTAGCGTTCGTAGTTTATTTGAAAAGCAATCGGAATGGCACTTCTTCGCGCCTTTCGGAACAGCAACTTTATGATTATGACTCACGAGTGACAGCTATAATCTTTAACTGACGTGTAAATGATCTCTCATCCCCATCGCTAACCAGCTGCCTAAACCTCATAAAATTTAGTAATAATTATACCAAAAGACTAAATAAAGGGTAAAATACATCCTGCCTCACAATGCTAAACTAAAAGGCGTAAAAGCTACATGCCTACTTCCGGTCCATGTCACGACAACGCAAGTCGTCCATCTGCACAATGCCTTAGTGCTCAAAGACTCCATAGTCCATATGTTAATGTGTTAAGTGCTTTTAATATTATAGAAGTCCAAAACATAAAATAAAGAGGAGAACCAAATTGACCAAACCAAACCAAAGCACAGAAGAGAGATAATTTTAAGATTTTTTATGTGCTCGTTTATAATTATAATGCCGATAAAATATTTTAAATAGATTTAAAAGTGCATGCAGTTCGCACGCGCGGTCTGGGTTGACCGTTGCATTGGCATCATATGCTGCTTCGATTTACTTTGGAAACGCTCTAAAACTCTAATTCAAAAATTTATTTTGTTACTGAAAATGTTTGCACTACCCGTAGAGGATGTAAAACTTTTGCTCTTTCTTCTGGGCTACACCATATTGATTTCACAGCACGAGGAAGTAAAATCGTTTTCCGATAGCAATCTATTGAGTTTACGAGCCATCAAACGTTGCACTATTGGGCCGTCTGCCTTTCGGTGGCGCTCTTTAGTATCGCCATGATACATGAACATTATCAAGTTTTCGAAAAACATCTATCCGAAATAATTCGACGCATTGTGGAGCAAAGCTTGGTTTTATGCAGTCATTAACGCACAATGCATATTTCTAGTTAACGCGTTGTTAGCAAATACCACATACTGTCTTCGCATAGACGAATTATTCTTAAGAGATGGTACGAGTATACACGAACCCCTGAAACCCTCATCAAATTTTAAAATAAAATTTGCTTATGTACTTTGACTTTTCTCGAGAACTGCTCATTTTGACTAAACAGCTTATTTACTGCAGTTTGTCACGCCTTATGTACGCGTGTTTTGCGATTCAGTTTATCGAGTAACGCCCCGGTAACCGGTTACATATTGGTGGCTAATACTGTAATTTAAATTTAAATATGTAATAAAACAATTTTTAAAAAATTTCCCAGCAGAAGACATTTTACCTGTATCTGTGCAGTTTGAAGAGTGTTGGATGACTTTAATTTGGCCATGTTAAGCCGGCTGAGATTCATTGGCTTGGGAACGAATCTTTCCCCTTCCCAGTGGGCAACGTCCTTTGCCTCTTTAAGGAGGTTATTTAGTCGGTCGTCTTCGTTCCTGCTGCTTTTTGACGCATCTTTACTATGCTCTTCTGCATGGGCGTTAGCTGTACGCAACGAGCCCCCGAAGTCTGCATCTTTCGAGTGACTTGTGCCGAGTTTTTCTTGATGGCTACTCTCGCCACCCATGCTTGTTTTCCCGCCGAATTTCAATATCTTGGCTTCTGCACTGAAATTCCATTTGGATGCGGAGTCATCCTCTTTGTCATAAGTCGTTTTTTCGCTATCTTTTTGGCTCAAGGTAAAGTGCGCTTCATTAGACGCGTTATTTTTGTCGAACGACTTGGACGCTTCCGCCAGTTCATTTCGCATTAACGCTTTAGTCTGGCTATCGCTTTTATCGTACACTTCGTTTAGCGTCCGCGCAATTTTATCCGGTCGAGCATTGTCGTCGTGCCAGAAGGTTGAACTCCACATTTCCGATGAGAACTGTTTTGTGTCGACATTCTCCAGACTCAACACCGAATCCACCAGCGGCATGAGGCTTAATGACGCATCGGTACTGACAAATTCACCGTCTGTAATTTCCGATGCCACTATATTCGTCTTGATATCCAGTGCTAGCTGCTTGGCATCGTCCGACTTCATATAGATAACATCACGTCCCGGAAACTGCTGCTCCAGTTTGCTGATTAAGCCGGTTGTACGTACATGTTCGGCGGTAACGTTGATGGTGCGCCGGACACTTTTCTGCGATTGTACATCGCACTGCACAACAAGATTGTCGACCAGCCAGTCCGGTTCCTCGGTAATGCACTTGCGGACTGTTTCACAGTTGGCCGCCTCCGTACAAAACAGGCGGAACGTCACCGTCCGGCGACTGGATGCGTTGTTACGCCACGCCGTGTCCACCGTGTACAGTGGCGATGGTTCGAGTGACTTGAGACGGATGTTACGGATCGGTACCGGTACGACGCTGCCCAGACCGACATCTACGTTCATGTCCGTTTTCAGCTGATCGCGTATGTACTTTTCAACCCGCAGATCCCGCAGCAAGATTTCAAACGTCACCATATGCGCTCCGGTTCCCGGATGGGTTTGGATTCGAGCAGTTTCCGGTTGTAGCAGGAGAAGTGGCGTGTACACGTACTGCACAACAGTTTTCCCGTGGAGTGTTAGGTTTTTTTGGAATACCGTGATGAGAGAGTTGTGGTACGGTAATTTCATCAGGAACGTTCCGTCAATCTCCAGGTTGTCCCATCCTAGTACTGTAAACAAACACACACTTTATTTGCCGGAGTGTGTATTAGGAAAAGGACGGTTCGCAAAAGTGTTAATTCGGGGCGGACGGTTGAGCTGTCTGGATAATTTCACTGGATATACGCATACGTGAGCCGCTTTTTAAACTTATTTTAGAAGATTTGAAGCTTTAAGCTTTTTAGTTCATCAATAATTACTAAAATATTATGGAAATCCCTAAATTACAGTCAATTTGCAATAAATAACAGTGATAACACTCGTACCAATAGCACGGGTAACCGTACTTACAATTATTATTAATAATGTATGAGTATAGTAATTAGTATCATTTTAGTCCCTACGCTACTCGTAGAAACAATGCGGCTAATCTCTGCTTTTTGTCCCGTGCCTATTCGATGACCGGCTATTACAAAAATTTCGACCATCTGAATTTAAAAAAAACTGGGCTTGTCGCCGGCAGCATCCGCCACCTTTAAAAACGTGCAATTTAGCATTTTATTAATGCATAGTTACTGCGCCTACTCTGGGAGGCTAAGAGCGTGTTACTATTACTGGATGTGGATAGTGGATAATAAAGCTACACGTATCTTTTAAGCTAGACGAACGTAAGCGTAAATACTGTAGATGGCCGACACCTTGAAATTCCGCTTATAAACAAGAAAGGTCACAACCGCTAGCTGTTTAAAAATAGCAGCACTGCGAAGAATTGAATATTGAAATTACAATGTATTAATAATTAATGTGCGCCTAACCTGCCGATGTTTCGCCTTCTGCGTTGGGAACCACGACGAGTTGACTCGGTTGAGCGCTAGAATCCATTGATTCAATCCTGAAATGGCCGTTCAAGCTAAAAGACAGATAGATCGTTGCATGTTCTGGTAGTCAAAATTGTTTTTATTAACACAATAATACCAGATTTAAAAATGTTTTTTGTTGCATACTTTTAGGGTTTACTATGACATTATATGCACAGTAATTCAACAACCTTAGCATAAATAACATTATTTCCTTATGCAACACTGTATGCTTGTATAATAGATCTTATTCTGCGGTAAGAATATAATTATATAAAATACATATAATACATATCACATACATATTTGTTTTTATAAAAAAATTATTCGAAAGTCGCTAATTGAAATTCTGCATATCAATTCTACTACATATTTAAGTATTCAACTAATCAAATTCAATAAAAAAGGAAACTGAGCTCCTTCCCCGTACGAGCGCGACATTAAACGAGAATACATGGTTTCTTACCGATCAATAAAAAGGGGTACCGGGAGTATGTGAAGTAGTCTCTGGATAAGTTTCCAAGTTACAACGTTCGTATCACCGTATGCAATAAAGATCCTTAACAACTGACAGCGCACTTTGATAGCTTGATGTAAACTCTTTCAACAAAAATCGGCCTGTATTTATCATTTAGCTAGCTCGGAAGATGCTTTCTGAGCAGGGTTTGTGCTCAAACAGTAGATCTGTACATACTGATACACCCGTGATCCACTAAACTGTGAGGCACCAATCTGCATTACTAGACTTCAGTGGAATGCACTGTCTCACTACCAGTTTGCAAACATCCGCTCGCTGGGTGCGCCCGCTTCCTGTTTTTTGAGTTTGTATGCTTGTGCAATGTTTATCAGATGCTGACCCCACTTATCGGAGTGACGTGATGTTTACTGTTTACCGCTATGCAACCATCTTCGAATTGTACGTGAAGATATTCTGGGGTCGACCATCCTTACCCTTGCCTTTGCTGTTTCATGCTGGCTTTTTTAGCTTTCCCGCGCCTTTGCTTTGCCGCCGCGAAAGCCTTCTACCGTTCTGTGTAAACCTTGGAAAACGCCGTTCCCGGTTTAGAAAAGCCTCGTTTTTGAGATAAGATTCGTAGCTTACCAACATCTGTTTCCTTCTGACTTGGTCTGTGCACATTACTGGTGCAGCTCCCACAAAACGTTTTCAACAACATATACGTGCGGTAAGAACAACAACAGAAATTGGAACACTATTTTTTTGTCATTCACAACACGTGGAGGTAATGGCCACTAGCGGGGCATGCCATACGTAAACATCAGCGGGGTATCAGAGAACTATTGTTTGGGTAGTGGACCAATGCAAGGTAGACCTTACTGAGGTATAAGGTGGGAAATAATCCCATAAATATCAGATGCGAACTACGTGTACTTCCGCCGCTTTTAAACGTGAACAACAATGCAAATACAATGACAGCTTACTAGCTTTAATAATTAACACAGTATACGGTGCAAAAAACATTCAGAAAAATAAATACTGACAACACTGATAACAATAACATCGAACGCCGCTGTCATCACTAAACTGAAGGAAAAATCAAAATTGAATTGTGGAAATCCACACTCACAGTACGGGCGAAACCGCACACGTAAAATACGAAAAACAAAAACGCAAAAAATGCTTTACCTCTTTAAGCGGATCCGCAAAACCAAATTAATCGTAAAAAGAACAATGTCAAACGTAAAACGGGGCGCTCTCAAAACTTCACCAAACGCGATTTCGCATTACCCGGAATTCACCAAGGAAGATCGTGCTTCTAGGCGTAGACTTTCACGTTGTAGTCCTTCCAAGCGCCAAAGGCGGGTTTCATTTTCGCGACCCTTTATGTGTAGCGCACTGGAAAACGCTGTGAAAAATTCGATTTTTTAAAAATGCAATTTTCTACATTTAGCATTAAAAAATAAAATGAAAAAACAATAGACAAACGAAATTAAAATTGAATACAGTGAAACGAAGTCACGAAATGAAAGAAAAATAAATACATCAAAAATAAACAAGATAATTTAACCACTAAAATAAAAAGATGAATAGTGAAACGAAATTATGAAGTAACTAAAATATGAACAGATAAAGTAATAAACGAACCTGATGAATGTAAACAATACAAATAATTAATAAATAAACAGAAAATCAAAATTGAATTGTGGAAATCCACACTCACAGTACGGGCGAAACCGCACACGTAAAATACGAAAAACAAAAACGCAAAAAATGCTTTACCTCTTTAAGCGGATCCGCAAAACCAAATTAATCGTAAAAAGAACAATGTCAAACGTAAAACGGGGCGCTCTCAAAACTTCACCAAACGCGATTTCGCATTACCCGGAATTCACCAAGGAAGATCGTGCTTCTAGGCGTAGACTTTCACGTTGTAGTCCTTCCAAGCGCCAAAGGCGGGTTTCATTTTCGCGACCCTTTATGTGTAGCGCACTGGAAAACGCTGTGAAAAAATTCGATTTTTTAAAATGCAATTTTCTACATTTAGCATTAAAAAATAAAATGAAAAACAATAGACAAACGAAATTAAAATTGAATACAGTGAAACGAAGTCACGAAATGAAAGAAAAATAAATACATCAAAAATAAACAAGATAATTTAACCACTAAAATAAAAAGATGAATAGTGAAACGAAATTATGAAGTAACTAAAATATGAACAGATAAAGTAATAAACGAACCTGATGAATGTAAACAATACAAATAATTAATAAATAAACAGAAAATCAAGTACTCCGAACACGGCGATCTGCGAAAAACGGTTGTGCAGTCAGCTTGTAAGCATCAATCAAGTACAGGGATTATTCTGCTAAGCCGCTTTTATCACATACCTTGCTTAACTCGAGTTCGCTCATTCTTGATCCCCTCCATGTGCCGCGAAGTTCAGGATACAGTAACGACTGGTGGCAAGTTCAAGTAAACGAAATCGTTTTCAGCAGCTACAAAGATGATAAAATGACTAATTAGGAACACTTCGGACGGCTCGTTCGGGATCGCGCGACACTGGAACAGTAACTTGTGGTCTAATTGTAGTGACTTACTGTAAAGTGTAATGCATGCGACCTCGCTTTGGTTGGAGCTGGCTCGTTCTCCGTGCCGTTGCTTGTCCTCCATAGCTTTCTAGCTATCCCGTGGCCGTGGTTGTGGCGGGGTTTTTGTGGGTGAGTCAGAGAAGAAAACTCGAGAACGCCCGAAATCCATCAACCCAGGAGAACAAGCGACGTCGCTTAAGTTTGGAATCAGTCACCAATCAATGCACCTTCGCGCATGTGCCGAACCGTATTGCAAATTTCGGGATCGCGCGACACTGGAACAGTAACTTGTGGTCTAATTGTAGTGACTTACTGTAAAGTGTAATGCATGCGACCTCGCTTTGGTTGGAGCTGGCTCGTTCTCCGTGCCGTTGCTTGTCCTCCATAGCTTTCTAGCTATCCCGTGGCCGTGGTTGTGGCGGGGTTTTTGTGGGTGAGTCAGAGAAGAAAACTCGAGAACGCCCGAAATCCATCAACCCAGGAGAACAAGCGACGTCGCTTAAGTTTGGAATCAGTCACCAATCAATGCACCTTCGCGCATGTGCCGAACCGTATTGCAAATTTATGTCAAAAATGAAAAACTCGTTATAAATGATAATCATGTTTAAGACCAAGTTAAAGAGAAACAAAAGTGAGATCGCTGGAGCGGCAGGAATTTTAACTTTTTAAGATTTCCAAAAACCGAACAATGTGCACTAATTCATAATGTGCACTGCAAACCCGCGTCCAGCCAGCGCTGCCAGTCTTTGCGGCAGCTTTTACACATTTGAGCACGTGGATTGGGCGCTTTGCCAACCGCACAGTCGGAGAGTTACATTATTTCCAGCATAGTTGCTAACCGTCCAGGGCACTGCACATAAAATCGTACGGCGGTGAGAGGCCAGCCGCTAGTTTGGAATTTTATGGCTCTAGCGGCCTGCGATTAACACCACAGCTAACGCATGCGTAGCCGCTCGAGCAGCGGCTGAGCTGCTTATATGTTGGCCGCGCCAAATTCTTTTGTTACTATCACCCGAAATACAATTTTTAAAATCTGCCGTGGAAACCGGGGTTGCAGTTATTCGCTGTTGACTAACCATTAAAAATGTTTTCAAGTTGACACACTAAATATTCTGTAGACGTTAGAAAAACTTGCGAGTGGAAATCCGTGCTAGAACAGTTTCTGACCACGATAAATTATCGCTGGCAGTGCCGGCTTTAAGGCTCAAGCAACAAGCTTGATAATTGAATAGAATATTCGTCATCATTGACATAATTATATCCGAAAATACTTGTGGGCAATCTGCATTGTCTGATATATGACAAAGATAGAAGTACAGCCTTTAATGGTGATCAATACGTATTGAACAAAGTTATGGATGGATATCAGTTAACCTTAAAGACAGAAGATACATTTCAATGGGCCTTTTATATTCTATAATGGTAATTCGTCGTCATTGTTTAGGACAAGCAGGAATGCTACTGAAGCCTCGGACAAATGGAAAACCGTCCATGCATATGACGATGGTTATAATTTTTTAACGATTAATCAAAGGCACAGGCAATCGAACGGTGTTTTCATGCGGTCAGCAAGGATGGTAAAAGAGAATGTTTTTGCGACGACAAAAACAGTTGGCCGACCTTTGTTTTGTCACGCGAGCGAAGAATGCAACATGTTACCCTTAAATTAAGATGTTGCGTTTGCAACGGCATTGGAAAACAACGGTTGGCAGAAGGTGTGAGCTGTATGCGGAGTAGCCTCTGCACTTAACTTGAGATATTATTATTAAATTTTATTTGCAGTATGTACAAAGCGAGCTTTATAGCTCAGGAAATGCAATCAAACAAAGAATTTGTCGCGATTTATAGTACATGTAAGTAGCTGTTTAAGTACTGATGCTGAGCGGCATTAAATACTGATTACTGATAGGCAGTAAGTACTGATAGTGATAGGCACATTACTTTACCTAATCTGCTTAATCCTGAGGCATATCCTGACTACTTGAGCAATACGCCAACTCAGAATTAAATGAAACCACACATTACTCAAGTATTACACTTTAATCTATTTATTAGTGCAAGCCAATAACACTCATCAGATTTAAAATGAGAACAGAATTAATTACAACAAAAGTATTTCCTTACACATTGAAAGAATTGAACTAACACTTTAACTGAAAGACACTTTAATTGAATGGTAAATATGTATGTATAAACTGTACAACATACCATTTTTTTCAAATTTTAAATTATTTTTTCAAATTTTTGAAATTCATTTTAAAATTTGAAAAAAATGGTAGAAAGCTGGTTCGGTACCAAAACGATCTTCATAGTAATGTATGTTTTCGTGCAAAATTTGAAAAGCATCGGTGCATAATGAGACTTTTGGTACAACTCCGCGCGCTTAAACTTTTGCAATTTTATTTCATTAATAACTCCCGAACCGGATGTTGCGCGCGCAAACGGATTTCACGGCTAAGTATACAAATCCTTTGGCTACAAAATGTCATGAAGCAATGCATATGGAAGAAAGTGTTTGGGAGTGCGCGACAGCGAAAATTCCCGTGTCTGCACCCGAATTCGGTACTATGTACCAGGCCAAATCCCTTAACAATGTAAGACTGCCGGTAAAAGTGTCAGCGTTTGCTTACCATAATCCAAAAATTATATATGTCAATATGGGTTACAATTATGAAGTATGGACTGAGCAACCACATAACATTCTTCTGCTGCTTTAAAAAAGTTGCAACTTGTGGGTACTGTGCACCGGCATTTACCCACATGTTAGCAAAAACGCTTATGCTACCGGTATTTTTGCAGTTGGCTGCTGATAACTGCTCGCAGTCAGTACACTCGCTTATAACTGTGATTCGAGAGTGACTCAGAAAAGGAGAAACATAAAAAGCACGCTTGTGTAGTTGTGCGTAGTTGTAGCCTTGTTGTAAACAGACATCGCATCGCTTAAAACACTTCGAGAACCATACGGTTGCAGATTTCCAGATTTTTGTTCTGCAAGGCGAAAAAGCATTGTCTTTTTGGGCTTTTTTAGGCAGAACGTTAATTTGCCAGCAGATGTTGATTGTTTCGAAGTAAGTTCTTCTACCGGTTGATTATTTTCTGAAAATGCATGCTGATCGGGAAGCCGATATCTTTTGAGAATTATGCAGATGCAAACACATGATGCCAAACTCCATAATTTTATTATTTTTATATAAAACTTTCTAGCTGACGCGTTGCTGACGGTAGGAAATTTTCTGCGGCGCCGAAGTTGACGAACGAAGATATTTCGATGGATAGTGTTCCTATATCCAGCGCTGTTACAGTTCGTGGCGTCCACATTTAAGGTTGAAGTCATGGTGCATCCAGTATGGCTCCCACAGGATGTTCTCATACCGTGGAATCGCCATACTGTAGAACATTTACTCGGGAATGGAGCGTGTGGCGTGGTGGTGGCTATCAGTGATTACCAGGATAAGAACGGAAGGCAGCGTTCGTGCGCGCTGAAACAATGCAAGCCAATTTACACAAATCAGAGAAGAGCGTCCAGAATACTGAAAATGTTGGAACGGATGCAGCTGCTGGCGTCCGAACACCGATCCATCATGCAAATATACGAATATGACTGGAAGATGGCCAATGATCTTCTGCACATTTCTATGTACACGGAATATTGCGATGGTACTACTTCCGAATTAACTGCGATGCAGTACGTTATACTATAGTACGAGTATACGCAATTGCACTTTACATTACAAATATCTCAAACAAACGCATAAACAGCCTTCATAACTAATGCAATCTAGCGTAAGATAAACCCTTTTTTTTATCTGCATGCATGTTAACAGAAAAAGGTTATAAGAAACCGAGAAATTGATAAAAAAAATTAAACTCACCAGGCGAACGCTCGGCTTACGGAGCATTACCGCTTGCTATTCGATTTACGAACCCTTCCGCTGTATTATTTTGTATAAGAAACGCTTAAGTGCTTTATCCGTCAGCTGACGGAAGTCAGTGCATGCCAAACAAACTTCGGTCTTGTGTTCTTTTTACTGTACATTTTTCATTCTCCGAACAGTTTCGTATGTATATACCCAAACAGCTTTAAAAAGTTGCTTTCGTGTGGTCTAGTGCGAAACAGTTTGTGCGGCGAGTTTTTTTCTTTGAAAATTCATATCTAGCACGCGCTTCCCTAAAAAACGTGTAGTGTTTATGTAGTGTAATGTTTGTTTTGCAGGAGGAAACTTACAGCGAATTGCAAAAAGCGGCACCATGCATAAAAGTCGCCTGTACTCGTACGCCTTCCAGATCTTAACTGCCGTGGAATTCTTGCATGTCAACGGGATTATCCACCGTGACCTTAAAGGAGAATGTCTTCCTAAGTTGCCAGAATGGATGCGAAGTAGTCAAGGTGGGAGACTTTGATTCATCCAGAATGTTTCTTTCCTCGAACAACCCACAAGAAACGGAAGAAGATGTATCGGCATGTGGCACACCACTGTTCATGGCTCCCGAAGTCATTCAAGGTGTAGCTGGTGATTATTTGATCAGCACCCCGTCGGACATTTGGAGCTATGGCTGCTTGGTTCTACAGCTGGCTAATAAAGGGCAGATCACGCTACTAGCCACAGCCGACGAAAATAATGCGCTTGCGGAAACTCATTTGTGGACCCACGAGAACGGTACCGCTATGGCTGCCTACGCCGTTGCCACGGGGGCTACCCCTAAATTCCCTCATCACGCCATAATCTCCAAGTCCGATCCACTGGCTATCCTGGCGGAGGAGTGTTGGCATCCAGATCCGGAACGACGCCCCGCAGCCGAGCAGCTGTTAGACAGCTTCAAAGAGATATTTGATGACGATGTCACCAAACCGTTCTACTCTGCTGCCTGCAGTGCGGCTGTCGATGTTCCGCAGGGACTGGAGGTTATTCCGGTTGAATCGGCATTAAGCGGCATTCGTAAGTGGGTATCCTGTTTTTCACAAGAAACGCTTGCGGCTACCGCCTTCAGGTTACTTACCTATCTATATTCTTAAACTGAAAACGTCTTTTATGAGACGTTTTCAGTTTGTGTAGATTCACTGCATGAGTTTTTCGAAAACTCATTGCAGTGCTTATTCCGCTTTTTAAGAGGTCTTTTTGGTTGTACGAGTAAGTAACTTTTAGTCACACTAGGAAACAAGGACAACAAGTTTCATTCTAACTCGAATCGCCAGATTCAACGTGCGGTTCATAAGTAGATTTGTAGTATGCAAAATCGCATCACCAACGCATTTATGAATTATAAAGGTAGACAGAAACGGGAAGCCTAGATCTAAACGTTTATTGGTCGTCTAGATCGCCATATTTCACTTATTGTAAATCCAAGTCACAGCAAAACGGTCAAGAAAAACAACCTCGGGCACATCTCATTCCCGATCAGCCAATCTAGAAGCTAAAAAAACATCTTCGTTGTCTCTCATACTTTATCGTTAAATGTTCCGAGGACTGATACTGCACTTCCGCGTTGTTTCTCAGTACTGGTTCTCTGACGCAAAAACCCCCCGACCGAGGGTTACCGTTCTGTAAAAGCCTTAGATCGTTCTGTACAAGCGTGACGACAAACCTTGCATGTACGGGTACAGGTAGGGCAGCGGCGCTTTACAGTTAAATGTCCCTTACACCGACCGTTTTCTACCCACATTCCGCCAGGCAGTTACAGTTATTCTCATTAAAATATCTGGCGTACACCAAGCCACCAGCCAGTCCAATGCGCGCCACGCTACACAGTGTAAACACGTAATACGTGTTTACACTGTGTGGTGTGGCGCGCCGTAGTATGGATTTAAGCGTAACCCGCAAATTTCGCGCGTAATGTTCGCTGTATTTACTGAATGCTCAGTTTATCAACAAGCTTGTACATAATATTATGTAAAGCAAAGCGAAATATGCAGTTATGATTATGTTACGCTCACGATACGGTGGTTAGAACAATACATCTGTACTCATGGTACAACCACGTACCACATAGGCCATTGACTAAACACCGTCACCTGTTTACTTGTACTGTAAACAACCTTAATTATCGTTACTCTTTTCCTACAAATATATCGATAATCGATGTCAAAAAGAACGTTACTTCCGTATACTAATATTTTAATTTGTAATGCATTCAAAGGGAAAAGCCATGAAAATGAATATGCTTGGTTTGTTTTTTAGGTAAAGGCCATTGGGGCGGTATCGATATTGCGTTTCCAGAAGACGATTATCAGTCTATGATCACTTTCGTAGAGGTATTCATTGAATTGGGAAAACAACCGCGCCATCGCAACATGTTGTACCCTCAAGCCATCATCGGAGAGGGAAATGGTCTAGCACTCGTCCAAGACGATGACAAGCAGCGACATCTACAAATCACACGCTGCCGAAATGTGTTATGGGAGAAACCTCATGAAAACAGTTGTGAGTTATTGCGACTTAATAGAAAACGAGCTGCGGATGAGGAAAAGACGAACTATAACAGCTGTTTTCAAAGGTGTTCCTGTGGCTGCAACTTGGGAGGATATCGTACATTTGATGACAAGTAAGAGCTCATGTCAGAGCAACGTCATTGGATGCAAAGGGTTAAAAGCACTATGAAAAGCAATGGAGAAAGGTTTTGAATTTTATTTACCTTTTACATACGCAAGACGATTTAATTATAGCAAATTTTTGAGCAATGAATGCAGCGATTACATATTGGCGCTCATGCATTTTGTGTTTACTCTTGTAATTCGTCTCGCATGTACAGTTTTTGGGGAACTACAAAGTCAAAGGGTATCGCATTCATAAGTCAAATTCTCCTATAAGGCTGTTTTGCTGAAAAAGAGTTTTTTCCAGAAATCGATCGGCTTAAAGATCAAAGACCGGAACATATTATGTTGTGGTTTGACGCACTCTGCCAGCAGCTGCACAATCTCTGCGAATATTTGCAAAACCTAAAAATGGACGAAGTAGCTGCATGCCGGTTGAATTTGGACTGTTTTTTGCGTTTACCCGATGCTACCCGATACCCGATGCGTTTACCCGATACAACTTTTGATTCTACCAGTACCGTTCTGGTCCAAGCACGGATTATACCCCACCAGAATAATCGAAGGTCAGCTTAAAACAACTCCTTTCTTACTCATAAACTGCAGTTGATTTCCTGGTTTAATCCAAACATTAGCAGATTTCCTCTGAATGCGCTGCATTCCGTGTGCCGCGAGCTTGAGTTCTGGGAGCAAACTATTTGGGCCATCGTAACGCTGGAAGACTGGGAAGAAGGCGTGAAGACAACCGCTTATATTCCGACATCTGAAACGTTCATCGAAAAATCATACACGGTTTCTCACAGGAAGCGCACACTTGAAAGTCAGCTCGAACGTTATCTAGTTGAGCTTGCCGCTCAATGGTGGTAGACTACTTTGAAGTTTGAATGCCTAAAAGATGGGTCGGGGAATGTTCAGGCACTTTAAACTTGCCGCCCTTTGCCTTATCCTGTTTTATTTTATGTTTTTTAACTTTACCTTGGCTTTTCTGCCGTAAATACACCGTTCTAATTTACCGTATGAGGCACCGGTGCAAAAAGCCTTTATCGCTTAAGACAAGAATGCTGAGTTACCGTCAAAACATCGCGCTTCTGAGCTTCTTTTGCGCGTTTTCTTGCTCGATCTACATTCTGGCATGCAAATGCTCTGTTGGAAAATGTCAGTGCGTACGGGCATGAATGTGTGATAATTTTTGTTCATTTGTTCTTACTTCTACCTTCGCAAAAGCGGTCGCATTGGCATAAACGACTACTGGTAGACGGGATTCACAATTCCGATACATGAATGTTAGGTGAACAGAATGGCGCGAACGTCGGCCGCTATTCCCGTGGGAAGTTACACGCTATTGTATCATTTGCAAATCGTGCATTATTGTGAATCTTGCTTAGGACATCAAGCTCCCGATGCCGTATTGGTCCGTATTATTTGTTTGCTTCTGCGCCACTATCGGTATTCGGTTTCCCGCACGAACATAGAGAAGAAATTTACTAATTCTACCCTGGAAAGTACATCAAGCGTAAAGTTAAGTAAAAGGCTGTAATGTAACTACCCGGTGGCTGATTGTGAATAGAAAAAAGCCAATCCCTAAATTGAACGAACTACTAAAATCTTTCCCAAATGGAGGCACCGGAAAAGGCTAAACTTCTACGAAGATTATTACAGTTTGTGGAGGTTATTTTGTGCGCCACGACCACATCCTGCCCCGCCAAAACATTCGCACTACGCCCGCTGCGTGCTCCGATTATACTGTGGATTATCTGGGCGGTTATATTATGGTTAAGTTCCGTCGTTCTCGCGATTATGGCAGCATTTTATAAGGTCAATCACCAAAACGGCACCGTACCCCAAATCATATCGTCCGCTTGTGAGTCGTTCACGTTCGCCAGTCTACCTTTTCTGGCGTTCATTCTAATTCCTCGCTTCCGGAAAGTATCGGCAACAGTACGGCAATCCGAAGCGTTATTCCAACGCTTTACCAGTCGAAATACCGAATACTTCATTTGCGCGGTTCTCATAATGTTACTGAGCCTGATCACCGTTCTACAGTGTATATACGCTTACAAGGAATCCCGAGCAGGCGGCATGGCCGAACAGATTGCTAACGAGTTGTTACTTTATGTTTCGATCAATCAGCGCTATACCTACGTTTTCTTGGCTTTTCTTGAAGTGGCAGGAGAATTTTACACAGTAGGTCTTTTGGCAGCTTTGGCTTACATCGCCATAGTAGCGTTCATATGCGGCGTTTGTGTTAACGAAATTACTAAAGAACTGGAACACATTGATTCCACTGATCAAAAGCAACAATCCGTTTGCGTCAGCAAATGTCTTCGTGATTATCAAAATGTTGGTCAAATAGCACACGAAATCGATGAACTTATGGGAAGTTTCTTATTGATTTATTATATTCATGACACCGTTTCCTTAGTCTACAATACAGCAAACTTCTTCCAAGGCGAACGTTTTTTGGATTCAGGTGGCTTAGTGCTCCTAAAATTCACCCAAGTGGCGTTGAGAACTGTGTGTTTCTTATACCTAAGCGATAAGGTACTAAGCACATTAAAATGAAACATAAGTATGAAAGATTGGAAATGTGTACTCCGTGCTGTCTTCCATTGTTGGTCGTTTATCTAGGTGGATGCCTTCGGTTCGGCTTTCAACCAACTGCTGCAGGAGGAGGAGCTACAAGAAAGAAAGCAGTACTACCTGCTTGTATTAAACAACATGCAGAACAACCCGCCCGTTATGACTCTCGGATCGTGCGCTCGTCTGAACCGGCAAACCGTAATGACCGTAAGACATGTTTTGCTTTATTAAGTATTACTTAGCTTTCCGCAATTGCTTTCCCACATAAAGAAGCACAACTTCAAGACAATATATTTTGATTATTATTTGCAGCTGCTGGGATTGTACCTGACGTATCTACTGCTGTCGTACGACAGAACCGATACTTCTTGCGATTCTGTGAACAGAAGGCTGGACTGGCTGGTTGCCCTGCATGGAAACGAGACACACGAATGAGCCCATGACAGCTGATAATATAAGCCCAAGAATCCAGTGGATCATGTCAAGTTAAGCAGTATGCATTATTACGCAGGGGCTGCACGGTTGCAACGGGCAAGCCTAATATAACATACGGCAGACGTAGTCTGTCTATATATTATATTAGTATAGGATCCAGCGTGTAACTGAAAGGTCAGAACTCTCTAAATGAAAGGTCAGAATGATTCTGTCTGTTCTGAGCTTTTGCGTCTGTCTATCCTCTAACGGGGAAAAGATGGAAAGTAAAGGACACTAAAGGTTAGCCTCAATCCTGTCTGTTCAGTTGCCGAATCTCTGTCGGATTCCCATTTGAGTAGTGAAGGGATGCTGTACATCAGTACGAGATGTATCGCAAAGCTAGACGGTCGGTATTCCAACAACAATCATTAGCGGATGACTCACCACACTCTCCATACTATCTGCGCTCAGAAAAACATTATTGAACTGGAATACTTGATTGCTCGTTTCCCAGGACAAGAATGCAGTGTCCAGGCTGAGCAGGAGAATATGAAATGAAAAGGAATGCAGGTCAAGAAAACGTGCTGTACATCAGAGTTGCTCAGCCAATCCCAAATTCTAGAAATTCCACGTTAGAACTGGGCAACTCGTACGCAGAGTCGCAGATAACGCATTGTTCCGATTTGACTAGCATAAATGAAATTCAAATTTTCATTAAGCACACCGAAATTCTCTTGCACGGCTGTAGTATTTTGTGGTTTTTTCGGATTTATTCTTAATCAATCCACGCGCCTGCGTAAGGCTTCCGTAGGAAGCGTTCCGAAGGAGTTTCTACACAAAATCATTCAGATTGTATGCATACACTTCCAAATTTTGTTGTGGATTTCGACTGTTTGGTGAAACTATAAATTCAGACCGCACACGATTGCGTATTGTGCATATAGGTCATGTCGATACCGACTGAATGTTGTCACCTTTCGCGTTAAGTGTAGCAGTTTTCCTATTCAGTCTGCGTGTCCTCTTATGCAAATTTAGCTCGCCACCATTTCCTGAATGTGCTTTAGCAAAAATGACATTAAATAGGTACTCCAAAATAAGCGCAAGAAATTCAACGAACGTATTTGCCACGAGAATTTCTGAATTTTTTAAGAAACTTGGTTTAGCTTTCTTGTAAAGCCAAATTTCGAGCGCAACCTGTGCATGTACCAAGTACCAAGGAATTATACTGAAATTATTGAATGACAATTTTCACTAATTTTGGAGCAAAGCGTAGAGCCAACCACTGCAACTATTGCGCTATCTAAAGTTATATGATAATGTTGCAAAGCCATTCCCCTCTAGTACTCACTACCCGAAGGGGTACAAAGTGTATTAATTATGTTTGAAACGCAGACTAGTAAGAAATAAGTTAGTGCGCCGCATCGAATGTTACCGTGCACGGAGTGGTATTCCATGTATACCAAGTTTAAAAAATGATATTAAATGGTAATTTTGAACACAACACAGAGCCAGCCACCGCAGTTACTGCGATATTGAAACGTCCTAATATGTTGCAAAGCCATTCACTTAACTGGGACACAGCCAAACGTAGATACGGAGCCTTCTGCATAAAACCTTGGTTTCCGGCTTAGATGGCTGGATCTTACGCAACACCTGCGCCGTTCGTTAATGTTCTCCGCCTAACCGCGGCGGTTTGCATTCAATTTCACCAACTTCTGATTTCTAGCCAGGTAATTTCCGGAACGGCCGAGGATTTCATTTACAACAAGATTTCATTGAAAATTCGCACTGGAGGGTAGCAGCGAAAGGTTGACCGTAACGTCGGTTTTTACCGACCTCGACCGTAGCAGCGTTAAAACTGCTCATTCACCATACAAATATTTGCCTGAACCAGAGGACAACAATGGCAAATAATAGTTCAGTTTCTAACGCATCAGTTAATGACTGCAGTTCTTTCAGTAATTCCATTGATCCCGCTCGATGGTCCCTGGTTCCTGTTACAACACTTACGGTTTGCTCCTTAATAGTTGCCGGTAACGCTTTCGTCCTGGCAGTATATATTATCAATTTCCGCGTTTGTCGAAACTTTCACGTTTACATTGTTTCACTGTTGTTCGCCAACTTTCATTTCGCTATACTCTTCGCACCACTGGAAATCATTTTCCGCCTGTCCAAAGTCTGGTGCTTGGGTTTTCATTGGTGCAACGTGTACATGTACGCACAATGGACACTGCCACTCGTCCCGGTGTTTATCCACACAGCCATCGCCATCAACCGCTTCTGTGCCATAATCTTCCTGGTGCAATACCGGCACATTCACACGACCCGCGTCGCCGTGCTAATCAACGCCATCTCCTGGACTGCGGCGCATGTCGTATCCTTCCCGGTTGTTGTGGTGGACGCGGTGGTCTACCGCCTGCCGGAAACCAAAGGGGGATGCCAGATTAATTTCACTCCGTCGTCGCAGCAAGTTTATGTATACGTGGCAGCAGCGGTAAATTTGGCCACTCTGTTTGTAATACTTGGTTTGTTTCCTGTTGTTGTGGTTGTTTGGCGAAGGCGCGCGAAGAAACTGGCGGCTATGCGCACTAGCAGAGTTGCTCCTCCTGGTAATACGGATTCAAACCTTTTCACATTAAACATACTAATAATTATCAGCACATACTACACAGTAACGAATTTAAGCGTACTAACCAGGGCGTATTTTCCGGGTTTAATTCAAAAAATTAAGACTGTTTGTAGAAAGGTAGAGTACTATCCTGGCTTGCCTAAAAAAAATAATTTTATCTGCATATGCTCAAAAGGCGTGGCTATACAGATTTAAAATAAACACAAGTAATAAGGAGTATTATCACAGTGCCTTAGAGCAGCACGTTTTCAGGCCTTTTCCATACTAAATAAATTTTGCGGGTACTGTTCTAGTTTTAACAATGGACCCTTCCAGTTGTCAAGTACCGATGGCATAGGCACCCGTGCTGCTAGCGGAGATCCCGCGAAATCAAAATGAAGCTATTATATACACAATAAAATAAGTAATTAGTTTTGTGGTTACTGACTTTGTATAAATTTTAGCGCGTTCAATGTTGCAGGGCCTAATGCACAGTCAGCAGATTTGTCGTCCACTGTCACCAGAAGCAACACAACTGAAAAATCTGAAAACAATACCTTTCTCTTGTTGACCATATTGACCATCAGCATCTTTATTTGCTGGAGTTGCGCGGTTGTGTCTTATCCCTTCTATCCGTTCATCGA